TTCAGCTCTCCCGCCCGCCTCTAGATTAGATCGAATTTACCTCTCCAGTTCATTCCTCCCACGGTCCTCTGAAACCTCCTACCTCTGGACCCCCGATGACGTTTCTGACCACTCATTCGCCCCCCTCTGCACCCTCATCTTCGACAACCCGGCCATGGCTCCACGACCTTGGCGCTTCAGCTCTTCTCTCCTCCGCCGTCCCCAAGTCGCTGCCATAATTGAATCGCACCTCCCCTCCCTGCCGTCACGCCTTTCCCCCGTAGCATGGGATTCATGGAAACTAGCCCTCACCCTTAGCCTGAAATGCTTCTCGAACGAATAACGTATCGGCACCACCGATCATCTCGTACGTCTAACCAGCCGCCTCCAACTCCAATCCGCCCTCTCTCCTCTGAACCACGAAGAGACCGCACATCTCGTCAAAGCCCGCCTACAACTCACAAGATACGAGTCATCTAAATCCGCCGAACTCGCTCTAAAAGCAAAGCTCAAAGTTGAGGGTCACAGGGAGATGGGAATCTCCTCTCTCCTCGCGGGACTTAATTCCCGTATTAAAGACTCATTAATCTCCTCGCTTACACTCCCGGACGGACAAACCAATCCGACCTTCGCGCCATGACTGCTGAATGCACCAGATTCTTTCGTTCCCTTTATAGCGGGGCATCACCGGGCGTGCCAAACCCTGGTTTTTGGGCACACATTCCCCCCTCTTCTCTCCCCCCCCCGACTACTCAACCACCTGCAAGCCCCATTCTCCCTTCTAGAAATCAGCAAAGCCATCGGGCAACTTTCTCGCGGAAAAACCCCGGGCCCCGACGGCATCCCGGGTGAGCTGTTCCGACAACATAAGACACGCTTTGCCCCTGCATTTCTCTCACTCTTCTCCTCTCCCCTCATCTCCGCAGCCCTCCCGCCGTCAATGCTCTCAGGCCGCACAGTCCTAATGCCCAAAAGGGGTAATTTTTCTTCCGCAGAGAACCTTCGACCCATTACCCTTATGAACTCGGATTACAAGGTCTTGGCCTTGTGCCTCGCCAACCGGTTGCAACTTGCGCTCCCCTTGATTATCCACCCCTCTCAGACTGCGTTTATCAAGAACAGGAAAATTGGCGATACGATTAACGACACGCTCGACATTTTCGACTGGAGCACATATACCAAGTCCCCCCTGCTCGCCTTAACTGTTGACTTCCGGAAGGCCTACGATCTGGTTGACCGGGCCTTCCTCTTCCGGGCGCTCGTTACGCTAGGACTCCCTGACTCGTTCATCGCACGGGTCCGTCTCATGCATACCAACACCTCCACCCAAATCTCTGTCAACAACCTTGCTGGGCCCACCTTCCCCGTTCGAACAGGGGTCCGACAAGGATGCCCTCTTGCTCCCCTTCTTTTCGTTTGTGTCATAGAAATCTTTCAGCGCTACCTCTCTCTTTTCCTCCCGGGGTTTCCCCTCTCTGCAACACAACGTCGCCTTATGGCTTGCTATGCTGACGATGTCACAATCTTTCTCTCCTCAGTCAGAGAGCTCGGGACCACACTTATACATCTCCGAGTCTTTGCTGCTGTCTCTGGAGAACATCCCAACTGTAATAAATGCTCAATTATCCCTTTCTTCATTGCTCCAGAACTTATAATCCTTGCTGGCCCCATCCCCATCCGCACCCCTCAAGAGGCAGAACGTATCCTCGGCATCTACGTTGAACGCGCTCAACCAGGCAACACCACGTGGTCCTTGACCCTTTCTCGCGTTCAGCGCACGGCGAAGTTCCTTGCCGTCCTCCGTGCCACAGTTTCCTGTCGTAAGTCACTTGCGTCGATTTTCTTAAATTCTATTCTCTCCTAACCTGGGCGCTTTCAACCTCCCTCTCCTGACATTATTAAACATCTTGATGTCATGGTCGGGAATTTTCTATCATCCTCTCGCTTCAAAGAACACGGCCTTGCAGTTCGCCTCATCCCTAACCGTCTCCTGTATAACACCACGCGCGACGGAGGTTTAGGTGCGTTTGCCCCTTCTACTCAGATCCGGGCTCTAAACACTCATCGCGCGCTACGCCATTTCGGCGCCTCACCAACGGAGGAGGTTGCGAGAGCCGCCGTGTGCCTCCCCTTCGATACTCACTGCTTCTTGGCTCACCCTGCCATCCTCAAATCAGGCATTCTCCCAGCTAAAGTTCCGAGCCGAGCGCTCGCAGAACTCCACGCACTAATAGAGACCGCCCCAACTATCGTCCCCCCTCGGCTTGATCCTAAGTGCATACTGGCTGAACCCACTGCGTTTAACCGTTTCATTTTGAAACCCAATGGAAAGCCTTTTGGAATCCTTCCACGTGAACGTTTTCTCCTGTCCATGCAGGTTCGAGTCGGCAAACTGATCTCCTCTTCCTTCTCCTTTCTTGGGCTGGTCAGTTTCAAACACTTCACCTCCTCGTTTCCCCTCGCAGACTCCTCCTCGGGACGGAAAGTCTGGCGAGATCTCATTCGCGCCATTCCCAAGTCCTGGTGGTTAGCCCTTCGTTCCCCATCTCCTCCCGTGGCAGCCCCAGGGGATTGGTTTATTCCCTTACAAGACTCTGACGCCTCCCCTGCTCTTGCTCTCCAGGTCACGGCGTTTTCCCCTCCGTCGTCGCTGTCAGCCTCCCTCCACCGCGTCCTCCCTAACCGGTTCATCGAACGCTCTTCGATCGGAGACGGTACCTATCTCCTCAGCGATCTCTGCGCAGTGCATGTCGTTGGGTCCTGGCTTACAGGCCCCTTCTATACAGGTGCAGAGCTAGGCGCGCGGCTCGATATCCTACAGGACGGATGCCCAAGTGTAGCCGATCTTCGTCGCAGCCTCTACTCCAAGCGGCCTCTTGATCACGCCGTCCGTTGGATTCGCATCCTCCCCGCTCCTCCTCCTCTTATCCCCGATTTCTCCCACGTTTTTTTACGCGAGCAACCCAGCCTCCAGCGCGACGTCTTGTACCGGTTCTACACTCGCGCTCTTCCGTCGGGTTCGCGTTTCAACTTCGCCGCAGATCGAGGGATTTGCTCACTCTGCTCTACTGGAACCACAGAGACTATTTCCCACATCTTCTTTGAGTGTGGGGTGGCCCCTGCAGTGGTTTCTGCTCTCTCCTCTGTTGCGCATCGTCACCTCCACTGCTCTCCTCCTCCTGAGCTCTTGCTCTTTCCGCTTACCTCGAGAGCCGGCAAGGTGGCCCCCTGGAGCCTTTTGGTCGGTGCCTCCGCAAAGGCAATCTGGAATGCGCGCTGTGACCATAAATTCAACGACTCAACCTCCTCCCGCTTTGAGATCCTCCAACTCATCCTGGCTCAATTTCTCCTAGCCTTCAAAATCTTCCTCTGGCGGAGGAAACGACAATCAGTGAAAAAACAGCAACACTCGGCTTCTCGCATCACACTAGCCAGTCGGCTCCGCTTCCTCATCTTTGATCCTGACGGGAACCCTTCTATTCACCCGGATCTCCGCTCCTCGTGGCTACTTGGAGACCCCTTCCGTCCCCCTTAGGCTTACCTTTTTTTCTAGCATAGAGCACTCTCCAGCCTTGCTGGAGGTTATCCTTTAGGATACGAAATAACGTGTTTCCTACGTACGCCTTAGGGTTGTTGGTTGTGTAGACCATATTTCCAGTTGCTCTATGTTTTGCTGCACATGGTTCCTTTTCTTCCCCTGCATGCTCCCACCGACCCCAAAACCAGCCGACGAATTTGAGAATCACGCCAGTCTCCACTCCACTCTATTTCATCTTCCCCCTAGTCATCTGACACCAAAGCCCCATCGCCTCAGCTCGGTCGGTGGTTTCAGCGAAGACAAAGGCGCGGACTGGCACCGATTCTAACCGCCCTCTCCGTCGTTCCGGGCTTAAAAAGCTTCAGCCAGCTTCACCGTGAGGTCTTTTTACCCAGTTCCGATCCATAATCCGAGCTGACTTTTGAGTCGACTCAAGAGTTCCGATCCATAATCCGTCGCGCCACCGTCGACGAGCTTACAGAGGTCGCGACGCGCCAACGTTCCGATGGCGGCAGTCCCGGCAGGCCCAGTAGGGGCGCTGCCGCGGATGCGCGTTGCAAGCCCCGAGGCCGCCCAGTCTCTCGACGTTCCAACAGTCACTTCGCCGCAACGTCTCCGATTCCGCCCAGTCGCGAGCGCGCAACCAGGAAGCACCGCACGCGGAACCTGCGATAGGTGTGCCCGCGTGTCGAGGTCTGCCCCGGGCGCGCTCACGCCCGTGCGTCCGTCCCTCGCTCCTCTCTCGCTCGCGCCTGTCTCGCTCGTTCCTCGCACGTTCGCTCATCGCGCTCTGCCACCGCCTCGCAGACTGCTCGCGCGTGGCCTCGCATCTTCCGATCTGCGCAGGCAGGTCCTTCCGCCGCTTCCCCCGCTGCTCTCGCCAACCACAACCGGATGGCGCAGGCGAGCGCGTCTCGTTATACGCAGCAGTGCCAGTAACGGGGATACATCTGCCGGTTCCATCTGCTCGTCAGAGACGTCCGAAAAGCCAACGCTTTTAGCGAGTCCCCACTCTGTATCGGGGACAGAAGACCCATGGAGCGAAGGAGAAACAACGCCTTCGCGTAGATCCGCCAACGGGAATGCGCATACGCCTTTAGAAAATGCGGCGCTAGAGAATACAAGTTCAGGGAATGTGGCAGTTGAGAATACAAGTGTAGAGATTGCGACTTTCAGGGCTCGCACGTGGCACGGCGCGAACCCGAGTAGCGTGAGCGCCCGAATTCCTGATTCTGAATCAGCGCAGGCGCGGTCAGCGCAGCTGCAGGCGCGGCCGCCGCAGCCCCTCCCACCGCAGCCGGCGCAGGGGCAGGGGCAACCAGCGCAGGTGCAGCGGCAGAGACAGGGGCAGCGGCCGAGGCTGGGGCAGGGGCAGGACGTGGAAGCGCGGGGTCGTTACTCCCCGCGGAGGAAAGGAGGGCCGGATGGGCGTACGCGTTATTGGAGCTGGCGAGAGGTTGTATCGGAGTGGGCGGCGCTGGAAATGCAGAAGAAGCTTCTTCTGGCCAAGGAGAGGCGAGCTAGGCCAGGGGACAGGGTTTTAGCGAAGAGGGTTCTAGAAAGTCGGGGTTTAGATAACAGGGCTTTAGACAGTGAAAACGGCGAGGTGAGCGAGGAGACGGAAGATGAAGGGGAGGAGAAGAGAAGGGAGGGGAGAGGGGAGGAGCAGAATGCGGAGAGGAGTGAGAGGGAGCAAGCGGGGACATGGAAGGGGTGGAAGAGGTGGGAGGAAAAGAGGCAGCGGCGCGACAGGGAGGAGAGGAATGAGACGAGTGGCGAGTGGCAGATGGAGGCGGAGGAGGAGGAGCAGGAGGAGAGGGGGGAAGGGGAACGAGGAGCGGAGGCACGTGGTGTTGTAAGGGGTGGTGAGCGGAGTGAGGGAGGTGAGGAAGGATTTTCTGTCCAGGTGGCTGCTCAGGTGGCGGCCCAGGTGATTGCAACAGAGAGGAATGGGGAGGGGCGGAGTGTGGAGGAGATAGTGGATGGATGGAGGGGAAACCGGTATCACATGATGGACCTGGTGAGTGCCACGTGGCAGGAATCTTGTGTGCCATGTCATGTATGAGGAATGCCACGTGGTGCTGAGCTCAGCGTGTGAAACCTCAACTATTGCAACTAGGAAACAGCGTGAACCAGAAAACTGAATGTACTGACCCATCCCATAACCCCAAATTCCAATCTTTTATTGCTTGAACATGAAACCTTAAACCCCAAATTCTAAACCCCGAACCCCAAACCTTGAGCCATGATGTTCTGGAGGTTTGCAGCGTCTGATTAAAGGCTTCTGCAGAGGTGTTGCTGCCGCCACCCCCCATACCACCCCATTTGGCGGATATTGGAGTTGTGGATGCAGCACGCCTCTCTTCTCTCCTTGGGGGTGTTTGTCTGGATGCGCCAGCAGCCCTGGTGCCTCCTTCTCCACCTCATACCACCCCTTCTCACATCATACCACCCCTTCTCACATCATACCACCCCTTCTCACATCATACCACCCCCCCTCACTCCGTACCACCCCCCCTCACCTCGTACCACCCCTCCTAACCTATTTCTTGTTTTTCCAATTTGCCTGGCTACCTGGCAGATCCTGGAGCCAGCAGCCCACCTCGTCTCACCCCTCCTAACCTGGGTTTTACTTGTTTACCTGGCAGTTGTTGGAGCTCTGGTCACAACACGCACCCTCCCTCGCCCTCCGAGTCTTTGACTGGATGCGCCAGCAGCCCTGGTGCCGCCCGCACCCCACCTTTAACCACCCCTTCTCACCTCATTCCACCCATCCAACAGATATTGGAGCTGTGGATGCAGCACGCTCCCTCTCTCTCCCTCAGGGACTTTGACCTGATTCGCCAGCAGCCCTGGTGCCACCTGCGCCTCATACCACCCCTCATAACCTGGATTTCACTCGTTACCTGGCTACCTGGCAGATCTTGGAGCTGTGGATGCAGCACGCTCCTTCTCTTTCCCTCCGAGTGTTTGACTGGATGCGCCAGCAGCCCTGGTGCCGCCCGCGCCTCATACCACTCCTCCACACCTCTTAATTTCCTGGCAGATCTTGGAGCTGTGGATGCAGCACGCTCCTTCTCTTTCCCTCCGAGTGTTTGACTGGATGCGCCAGCAGCCCTGGTGCCGCCCGCGCCTCATACCACTCCTCCACACCTCTTAATTTCCTGGCAGATGTTGGAGCTGTGGATGCAGCACGCTCCCTCTCTCTCCTTGAGGGTGTTTGACTGGATGCGCCAGCAGCCGTGGTGCCGCCCGCGCCTCATACCCTCCCCTGGTTGTTCGTGTTTATTGGTACTTGCCTCGCAGATATTGGAGCTGTGGATGCAGCACGCTCCTTCTCTCGCCCTCCGAGTGTTTGATTGGATGCGTCAGCAGCCGTGGTGCCGCCCGCGCCTCGACTCCTACAGCCTCGCCATTCAGATCGCCGCCCACTCCCGCATGTGGGGACGAAGCGAGGCGCTGTTCGAGGACATGCAGGCAGACGGCGTGCGGCCGGACTCGTTTGTCTTCTCTGTGATGGTGCGCGTGCTGGCGCAGCAGGGGCGGTGGGAGGATGCGATCGGATTGGTGGAGAGGCGGGCGGCAGCACACGACTCGGAGCTCATGTCATTGGTCAAGTGAGTGGGGTGACTTGTCAATAGAGCCTGGTTGCTGATTGGTCCACGTGGCATGTGGGTGTTGTCAAGACTCAAGAGGCAGCAGACGACCCGGAGCTCATGTCATTGGTCAAGTGAGTGAGATGATTGGTGAACTGATTGGTCCACGTGGTGTTGATTGTCCAATCAGTATGCAATAGGAGTCTGTGATTCACCAATTCCCCATTTGTGATTGCCGTCAAAGGTTCACCCCATTTCAGCCAGTATTTTCTTGCACTCACCTATCATACTCCTTATTTCTCTATTCCTCCTTAACCTGATTCTTCCCCATCTCCCGCTCTACTCATATTAAGTTTCCACCTCTCTATCCCCCTTGTTTCCCATCCCCATCTCCCCTCTCCCATCCACCAGGGTACTGCTTCACTGCATGGCCTGCTCACCGCATGCCGCCTCCCTCACAGCGTCCCTCCTCTCCTCACTCTCCCCCCTCCCCTCCTCCTCCTCCCCTTCCCCCTCCGCCTCCCCCTCCCCAGCTCCCTTTTCTCTCGACCACGAGTCGTACCGATTGCTCCTCCGCTCCTTCTACTCTCACAATCACCTCCCCCTCATCCCACCAACGGTAACCAGCATGATCCAAGCTGGCTATCCTCTCAGCCAATGGGATGCTGCCATGTGGCTCGAGGCCCTCGCTGCCCAGGGCGACGTGGCAGGGATCCGGGCAGCTGTTGGGGAAATTTTGGCGCTCGGGCTGCCCGAGCCGGAAAGTTTTCGCATGGCGATGGTTTTGGGGCTTGCGAGAGCAGGAGAGGTGGATAGAGCTTGGAGCGTTTTTGTAGGGGAGGAGGAGAGTGAGGGAGTGAGTGAGAGAGTGAGTGAGGGAGTGAGTGGGGCAGCGCAAAAGGGAGTGGCGAGCCTGATTTCTCAGAATCAGCCAAAGAGGGGCGTGGAGGAGAGCAGAAGAGGCGTGGAGGAGAGCAGAAGAGGCGAGGAGGAGAGCAGGAGGGGTGTGGAGCCGAGCCTGTATGTGGCGGTGGTGGAGGCGATGGTGGGGGCAGGGCGGATGGAACAGGCAGAGGCTGTGTGTGCGGAGTATGGGCGGGCCCACTTGGTCAAGGTGCAAGGCTTCAAGTATGGGGTGAGTGTGTGTGGTTTCAGAAAGGGGGTGAATGCACTTAGAACCGTAAAATATGTTCAACCTGCAATGCCCTTCCTTCAACCCTAATCCACGTCAGCAAGCACCACGTCAGCAAGCACCACGTCAGCAAGTACCACGTCACCGTATTCGCAGCGCCATTTTGCCCCTCATAACCTCAGCTCGTCTTCCCTCCTCCTTCCTCCTCCCTTCTCGTCCGTTCCCTTCTTCCCTTTCTTCTGCTTTTCCTCGTGCCATGTTCCATTCTTGACTAGCCCTTTCCTCACCTCTCCGCCCTTCCCCTCCCCCAGCGTCCCTACATTGTACTTCTCTCCGCCTACCTCCCCTCTGGCGATCTTTGAGGCACCTCAAAATTGCGGGTAATGAGAGGACTTTTGAGGCTCCTCAAGAGAATAATTCTTTCCCCACTTCTCCGCCCTTCCCCTCCCCCAGCGTCCCTACATTGTACTTCTCTCCGCCTACCTCCTGGCCGGCGATCTCTCGTCCTTTTCCCGCGTGTGGGCGGCAATGCTGGCGGGCGGGCGCCCGGCAGACAGCTACGCGCTTCGTCTGCTAGCCAAGGCCTGCGCGTCTGTGGGCGGGCTCAGGGGGCTGGCTGTGCTGCTGTGGGCGGCTAGAGAGGGGCGGGAGAGGGCGGCAGGAGAGAGTGTGGGAGGGAGCGTGGTAGGGAGTGGGGGCATGGTGGCAGGTTCGACAGGTGGAGAAAGTGTAGCGGTGGCAGAAGGCAGTGTGACAGATGAAGCAGGTGCAGCCAGCGTGGCAGGCGCAGCTGCAGCAGGAGCAGGTGTAGCAGGTGCATCTGCAGCTGCAACAGCACCGTTGCCAGAGTTAACAAACCTGACAGAGGTATCACGAGAGGAGGTGGAGGCGGCAGAGAGGCAGTTCCCGGTGCTGGCAGGCGAGCTGAGGGCCAGCGACAGGGCGCTCAGGGCTGGAGTAGCAGGTGCAGGCGTGACTGCAGCACTTGTAGGGTTTACAGACGTGGCAGGGTCGGTAACGGTTTCTCCAGAGGAGGTGGAGGCGGCAGAGAGGCAGTTTCCGGTGCTGGCGGGCGAGCTGAGGGGCAGCGACAAGGCGCTTAGGGTAGTTGTTAGGTACCTCTTTAAGGATGCTGACGTGGCGGCTGGAGAGGACATCGCGCCTGCTGAAATGGCGCCTGGAGATGATGTGGCGTCTGCTGATGTGGCAGCGAGTGGGGAGAAGGCGGGTGATGACGTGGGTGATGGGCACGGGGCTGTTGCAGCGGGAAGCGGATGGTCAGAGGAGAGTGTGGGTGTGCAGGCAGCAGCAGTGCCAGAGGTGGTGGTGGGTGGTGGAGGGGGAGAGGAGTCGGAGGAGACTGCGGGTGTGCAGGCAGCGGTGCAGCAGCATGTGCGTGGTGGAAGGGTGGAAGCTTCAGAGGGAGATTCTGAGGGCGAGGGTGAACAGGCCGTGCTGGGTCAGGCGACGAGGGAAGAGGAGGAGGGAGGAAAAGCGGAAGAAGAGGGGGAAGGAAATGGGGAGGTGAAGGACGTAGGAGGAGCAGAGGTGAATGGGGAGTTGGAGGGAGGGTGGCGAAGCAGAGGGGGGCAGAAGGGAGAGGAAGGTGAGATAGTGGGGGTTGCAGTGGTGGGATCAAGGGGCGGTATAGGGGAGGTTATGGAGGAAGTGGGATTGCCAGAGGCGGCTGCAGCAGGGGATGAGGTAGGGACGGCAGCAGTGGCAGTGGCAGAAGCAGCAGAGGAAGGAGCGGCAGACGGTGTAGCAGTGGTGGTGGCAGTGGTGCCAGCAGCAGAAAATGATAGGGAGAGAAGAGAGATGGAAAGGACGGCAGGGGAAGGCGAGGGGTCGGTTGTGTGGAACGGAGGAGAGAGCGGAGGAGGTGCAAGCGGTACAGATGGTAGCAACAGTGGCAGCAGCAGCAGCAGCAACACGAACATGAGCAGCAATGAGAGCATGGCAGAGCGAAGGCTGGCGATGGGATGGGCTGGGGGAAGTTGTGGGGCCGGCAGAGGGGGCGGAGAGGGAGGGAGGGGGGACACTGTTGGCGGACCCATGCTGCGAAGGCCAGTTGTGGGTGGCAGTGAGGTTCAACGAGATTCAGCGCAGGCGGCTGTAGCGAAGGGTGCTGTAGCGGAGCAGGCTGTAGGGGAGCAGGCTGTAGCAGAGCAGGCTGTAGCAGAGCAGGCTGTAGCAGAGGGTGCTGTAGCAGAGGGTGCTGAAGAGGCTGCTGTGGGTAGTAAGGAGACCGACGTAAAGGCATCTGTAGCAAATGCAGCTGTAACAGAGACGGTTGTCGCAGAGACGGTTGTCGCAGAGACAGTTGTAGCAGGGACAGTTGTAGCAGGGACAGTTGTAGCAGGGACAGTTGTAGCAGAGGCGCCACCAGAGGGCGATTTGCCAGAGGAGATGGTAGCACAGGAGGCTGGAGGAGATGTAGGGGTGGTGGTCGTGGATGGCACTATAACGAAGGTGACTGCAGCAGAGGCTGTGGGGAATGATGCTGCTGTAGGGGAAGGGGAGGGCGACAGGGTAGGCAACAGGGTAGGCGACAGGTTAGGCCAGAGGTTTGGCAACAGGGTCGGCAACAGGGTCGGCAACAGGGTTGGCGGCGACAGGATCGGTGACTATGTGCAGAGCACTTATTGGGGCGTGGTGTGGGAACCTGAGAGTGGCGCAGAGGGCGGGGAGATGCGGGTAGGAGGCGCTGGGAGGAGGGGGGGAAGTGGGGGAGGAAGGGGGGGAGGGCGGGGGGCAGGGGGGGAGCAGGCGAGGGTGGGGGAGAGAGTGCGGAGTGCATTGGAGGAGCTAGAGAGGGCGGAGGAGGGGGAGCTGGCGGAGAGATGGGCGCAGCTGGCGCAGGGGGAGGGGGAAACGGGTGGGGGGAAGGGAGGGGGGAAGGGAGGGGGGAAGGGGGGAGCGTGGGGGAGCAGGCAGGGGGCGCCACAGAGAGTGGAGGTGACGTGGGAGCTTATGGGGGAGAGACGGGCGCGGCTGCGAGGGGATCGAGAGCGGTTGAATCCGGTGATGGGGGGTGGTTGGGGAATGGGTGGAGAGGGGAGTGAAAGGGCGGAAGAGGTGGGGATGGGGAAGTGGGAGCAGGAGAGGGAACGGGAGAGGGGAAGGAGGGGGAGTGAGGTGGTGTGGAAGAGGGTGGATTCTGAAGAGGCTTGGCTGTTCGTTCAAGAGCAGATGGTGAGTGCGCTGTGCTCAAACCCTGTGCTCTCAAACCCTGTGCTCTCAAACCCTGTGCTCTCAAACCCTGTGCTCTCCCGCCCCTTTCAGGCGGACCCCGCCGCCCCTCCACCCCCTCCTGCTGCATGGGCACGTGTTGCGTTCTCTCTGTCCTACTTGTGTGTTCGGTCTCTAACTCTCACTTTTCTCTTTTCCTCCCCCTTTCAGGCGGACCCCTCTGTCCCTCCACCTGCTCCTGCTGCATGGGCGCATGTCCTGCCTGCTCTGCTTGAGTTATGGCTTTGTGTCTTCTGCTCTTTTTTTCTCAAACCTTGTGCCCTTCTCCCCCCCCCCCCCTCCCCACCCATTTCAGGCGGACCCCTCCGCCCCTCCGCCCCCTCCTGCTGCATGGGCGCGTGTTCTGTCTGCCCTGCGCGACCCCGGGCAGTACGGGCAGCTGAAAGAAGTTTACGGACTGATGCTGAGTGCTTTGGAGCGTGAGGTGGCCCAAATTCGCGGGCAGCAAGGGCAGGAAGGGCAGGAAGGGGAGGAACGACGGGATGAGCTGAGAGGGGGCCAGCAAGGGAGGGAGGAGGTGCGAGGGGGACGGAGGATGAGTCGTTACATCGGTGCTGGTGATGAGAGCGGCGGCATTATAGAACGTGACACTAGAGAGGGTGACAGTAGAGGGAGGGGCAGCGTTGGAGGTGATAGTAGTGGCAGTGAGGGTGATAGTAATGAGGGTGCTACAGTGTTCACAGGAGGGTATGTGAGCCCGTTCAATCTGGTGCTGATGTCAGCATGCAAGCAGGGAGCAGCTGATGACGTGGCGGCTGTGTTTGGTGACATGCTCAGATACAACATTGTGCCATCATGGGTATGTGATTGATAGGCAGCAAGGGTATGGCATGGGCAGCATGGGCATGGGATGGTAGGTCTGGCCGCAAGTGGGTGTTGCGTCTGAAACCCTACGGTCCTGATCCCAAACCCATTACCCCTGTGCTGAACGGTGCATGGGGCCCTGCCTTTTTGAGTCCACTCAAATACCCCCCAACCTCTCTTTCCTTCCCCCGGACCTCTCTTTTGTGCTCAACGGTGCATGGTGCCCTGCCTGCTTTTTGAGTCCACTCAAATACCTCCCCCCCCTCTCTTTCCTCCCCCCACCCCCCCTGTTCTCTGTTCTCTACAGAGGTCGCTACTCTTTGTGCTCAAGGGTGCATGTGGTCCCGACCGGCCCTTCCCCTCCCCCGCATCGCTCGCTGCCTTTGTTGCCTCTAACTCCACTCACCCACCACTGGAGCCACCGGCTTCTCTAGTTCCGGCGACATCTGGCCTGGCGACAGCTGGCATGGCGACAGCTGGCACGGTGACAGCTGGCATGGCGACAGCTGGCACGGTTACGTCTGATGTAGATAGGGTTACATCCGACGTGGCCCCAAGTATTGGAAAACTTGCCAGCTCAGCGTTGTACGGGCGCGCTAGGGAGGTTCTAGAGAACATGGCAGTGCTGCTGATTGGAGAGCCGTGGGCCATTGATCGGCTGAGATGGAGCGTCGAGATCGCAGAGTGCATCCAGAGGTTTCAGGGCACCTCCCCCGTTCTGCCCTCTCCTCTTGCCAGACGTTTCTTCTTTGCCGCCCGGAGCCTGCGGTTGGTTGGCAGGGGGGGAGTTGAGGAGGGGGGAGAAGCAGTGATGCGGGATGAAGGGAGGGACAGAGAGGAGAGGGAACGAGAGGACGGGTGTGGAGGGAGAGGAGGAGGAGGAGGCGGTGGTGGTGGAGGGGAAGGGGAGAAGATTGAGCATGCGAGAGAAGAGAGTCTGTACAGAAGGGATACTGGTGTTGGTGCTTTGGAAAGATTGCAGGTTCTGCAGCAGCAGCTGTCGATTCAGGTGGTTCGACCAGATGAGAGATGCGAGGAGCAGAAGTGGGAGGGAGGCTCGGTGGCCGTTCTAGGCTCGGCGGAGGCTCGGGAGGAGCTGGCAGATCGGATGGAAGCACTTTTACAGGCCAGTGCTGCTGCCCGGCAGGCTGCGTGGGAAGAAAAAACTGCCCGACGGGCAGCGGAGCAAGCAGAATGGTTGCGGGTGGAGGCTGAATGGAGGGAGGCGAGGGAGAGGGAGAGAGGGGTGGCGGTGGAACGGTGGGTGAGGGGGAGGGGGAGGGTGAAGAGTGTGAATGAGGCATGGACTCAAGTTGTGGTGCGGGAGACGGGTGTGGAGGAGGCTGTTGATGGGGAACGAACAAGGGGGATTGTGGCGAGGGAAGAGGGGGAAGAAGGAGGGTTTGGAGGGGATGAAGAGGGAAGAGTGAGGGGGATGGTGAGGGGCGGTTTGGTGGATGGGTCAGAATTAGGCAGAGGGGAAGTGGAAACAAGAGGGGATAGGGAGGAAGAGGAGGGGGAGGCAGAGGAGGGGGAAGCGGAGGGTGCAACGGGGGAGGGGGGTGCTGCGGGCACAATAGGCGTGGGGGCAACACGCGTGGGGGCAACACGCGTGGGGGCAACACGCGTGGGGGCAACACGCGTGGGGGCAACAGGCGTGGGGGAGCAAGAACAGGGGGTGGGGGAGCAGAGGGAGCAGAGGAGGCTGAGGGAGGAGAGGGAGGAGGGGCAGGCGTTTGCAGTGGGGGTGGCGGAGCAGGTCAGGATGGTTGAGATGCGGCTGGTGAGTGACTTGAGTGTTGTGATGGTTGTCACTGAGGTGTAGTGGTGTGGTGCGGTGGGGTGGGGTGCAGTGAGGGTGGCGGAGCAGGTCAGGACGGTTGAGATGCGGCTGGTGAGTGACTCACTTATGTGATGCTTGTGGTCGGAAAACGTAGATTGCCGAGGTGCTGTGCTGTGCTGTGCTGTGCTGTGCTGCGCTGTGCTGTGCTGTGCTGTGCTGCGCTGCGCTGTGCTGTGCTGTGCTGCGCTGCGCTGCGCTGTGCTCTTATGTGCCTTCTCCTCCTTCCCTCTCTCCCCGCCCTTTTTCCCTGCCCTTCCTCCCCACAGGCACAAGGCATCCTCCTAGACCCAACCTCCTGTGAGGCCCTCCTCTCAGCCCTTCGCAACGCCTCAGCACACCACGCACAGCACCAAGGCCCCGCGTCGCCTCCTCTGCCCACGGCACAGGCCATGCTGTGGCGCTTGGTGGGTGCCGGCACTGCTCCCTCTATTGCTTCTTTCAATGAAGTTCTTCGCGAGGCTGTTGCGTGCTATCAAGAGAACTACGGGGGCGATGATAGGACTTGGCCTGAATCGCCTTCAGCAGCAGCAGTAGCCACGTCGGCACAATCAGCATCATCAGCGCCATTATCAGTTGCAGCGATGGTGGAGGAGGTGGATGGGCTGCTGCTGGAGATGCACCAACGGGGCGAGCTGCCCAACCAGGTGCGTGCCCAACTAGGTGTGCGTGCTCATAGTGTGCGTGCTTCTAAAGTGCCGTGAATACACTAGTTCTGACTTCAAATTGTCCAACAACATTGTTTCACCGTTTTATGGGTGACAAGAACCGTTCCCTGCTGTCAGGTAACGGTGCGCGATCGTGGAATGTTGTTCGCCAACGTTCGAGGTTCAGGTCGCTACGAAACGCCCAAAGTAGCAAAAAGTTGCAAAGCACTCGCTTGTTACGAAGCAGATTGTTCGTAACAGCCTGAAATGCGGCCTGATAATCCCCACGGGTTTGGTTCCTCCCGCCCCCAAACCCCTCACGAAATTAGGGCGCTTCACCTCTGGGCTGGAAGGCTCAAATCCGAACATACATAACGAATTTACCGTACGAACAAGTTTCTCGACAAGGTCCGAACACAAATTTGAAACCCTAATGAATGTGACAGCTCTTGACCAGAGGTGAGAGCCTGTTCGAACATGCGACGTCGCCAAGTATTGGGCGACTTCGCAAAACGTTGCAGGGTGTTTTTTCAATCGCCTGCCATTCCAGTTTGACGCATTTTTTTCGCTCATCTAGTCAAATTTCTCTTCATGCTCTACTACTACTGCTCACCTAGTTGTTCCCCAGCAACAATGCCCTTTTCGATGCCCTGCGACAGTTTCTGGAGTGCAAACAAATTCGCCTGCGACTAGGCGGGGTGATGTCCAATCAGACGTGTCGTCCGTGCTGGATGGGGCGCGCCTATCATTCTTTGTTCGAACAGGGCTGTTCGAACGTGCAACACATTTTGCAACATGCCTGATGTGACAGCGCTGTTCGGATTGGCGAAACTTAGGGTTAGCGACATCGCTAAGGTCCCTACGAAGTTTGGCGAAGGTTGTAACAATACGTCTGTTCGAACAAGGGGCTTGTTCGAACTGGGAGGTGAAACGCCCTTAGTTGGCATCGCCTGACCACTTCGTTACCCAGGTGTTTCTGGCGCAAGAGAGGGTGGGTGCGCCAGTGGGCGTCAGTGGGCAGCTGGGGCTGAGTGCCGTTTCTTCCTCTCGTGGCCTATGAAGTGCTGGCGCATAGCATTCTCGCCTAGGCAACCGGCGATTAAAGAGATGGTGCCAAGCATTGGGCACTAGCGCCTAGGGTTCTGAGCGTCGTGGTGCTCCCGCCCAAGCCTGGTGTTGGGAAACGCGACCATTTTCGATGGGCAGGGATTGGGTAAAGAAATGCAAGAATAAATTAACGGGAAATGCGGGTATGTGGTGGACGTGAGTAGCATGCAAGGGGAGGGTGGGAGGGATGAAGCGGGAGTAAGAGGAGGGGTGAGGGCGTGTAAGGTCCATACGAATCCCATCAATCTGCTTAAGTCGCCACTTCCCAGAATGCTTGCTGGTTGGGTAACGAAGTGATCTGTGCGAGAAACACCTGGGTAACGAAGTGGTCTGGCGATGCCAACTATTTCGTGAGGGGTTTGGGTGGAGGAAAAACCGAACCCGAGTGGAGCATTTCAGGCTGTTACGAACAAACTGCTTCGTGATAATCCCCTCGGGTTCGGTTTTTCCTCCACCCAAACCCCTCACGAAATAGTTGGCATCGCCAGACCACTTCGTTACCCAGGTGTTTCTCGCACAGATCACTTCGTTACCCAAACAGCAAGCATTCCGGGAAGTGGCGACTTAAGCAGACTGATGGGATTCGTATGGATCTTCCACGTCCTCACCCCTCCTCTTACTCCCGCTTCATCCCTCCCACCCTCCCCTTGCATGCTATTCACGTCCACCACATACCCGCATTTCTCGTTAATTTATTCTTGCATTTCTTTACCCATTCCCTGCCCATTGAAAATGGTCGCGTTTCCCAACACCAGGCTTGGGCGGGAGCACCACAACGCTCAGAACCCTAGGCGTCAGTGCCCAATGCTTGGCACCAACTCTTTAATCGCCGGTTGACTAGGCGAGAATGCTATGCGCCAGCACTTCAGAGGCCACGAGAGGGGGAAACGGCACTCAGCCCCAGCTGCCCACTGACGCCCACTGGCGCACCCACCCTCTCTTGCGCCAGAAACACCTGGGTAACGAAGTGGTCAAGCGATGCCAACTATTTTCGTGAGGGGTTTGGGGGGGGGGGGAAATCGAACCTGTGGGGATTATCAGGCCGCATTTCATGCTGTTACGAACAATCGGCTTCGTAACAAGCGACTGCTTTGCGACTTTTTGCTTCTTTGGGCGTTTCGTAACGACCTGAACCTCGAACGTTGGCGATCAACATTCCACGATCGCGCACCGTTACCTGACAGCAGGCGAACGGTTCTTGCCACCCATAAAACGGTGAAACAATGTTGTTGGACAATTTGAAGTCAGAACTAGTGTGTCCAAGGCACTTTTAGGTGTGCGTGCTCATAGATGTGCGTGCTCATAGGTGTGCATACTCATAGGTGTGCGTGCGCTTCTCAATCGCACAGCTGTCGACTTGCACTTGCTCTCCCATTCCTCCTTCCACATTCTCACCCTCCTCGTCTCTTTCCCCTCCCCTTCCCCTCTCCCTTCCGTGCTCCCTTCCCTCCCTTCCACCCTCTCTTCCCCGTCCATCCTTCCCCTCTCTCAGGACACGGTTCACATTCTCACTCATGCGCTCGTGGGCCTGCCTCCCCTCCCATTCTCCTCCCCAGCGCGCCTCCTCTCCCACCTCATCCGCCTGGCGTCACTCCACCTCCCCTCCCCCGCCCCCTCCATTGCTGCTGCTGCTGCTCCCACCTCTGCAACTGCACCAGCAGCAACAGCGGCAGCAGAAGCAGCCACAGCAACTGCAGAAGCATCAGAATCACCAGCAGCAGCAGAGGGTCTTGTAGGTGCTGCTTTGACCTCCCCTCTCACATCCTCTCACACATCCCCTCTCTCGTCCCCCCTACTCCACCGCCACCGAACCAACCTGATTTCCTGGACCGTCCAGGCCTGCTGCTCAGGCTCGGGCTCAGGCTCTTCTTCGGCCCCACTAGCTCCGGTGGACATGCCACGTGTCGCGTTCTCATTGGACCTCCTGCGGCTGCTGAGGAGAGAGGGGCAGGAGCCCCCTGCTGCTGCTTGCTGCGCTCCCATCGCTGCTCTGGTGGGGGAGGGCAGGGTGAGGGGAGAGAGGGATACCAGGAGAGGAACACAGGAAGAGGAGGAAGGGAGGGCGAGGAGAGGGAGAATGGAAGGGGAAGAGGTAGAGAGGAGAGAGGAGGAGGAGGATGAGGAGGAGGATTGGGCGTTGAGGGTGGCAGCAGGGGTGGTGGAGGAGGCAGTACGGGAGGGGTGGTTGCATGCTGGTGACATGGCTCTGGTGGTGCTGCTGGCTCATGCGAGACGAGGGCTCCGGGAAGAGGTGAGGGAGAAGAAGGGAGGGGCGAGATGAGGGGAGAGGGGAGGGGCGAGGTGGTAAGTGTTTGTGACGTTGAAGTAAGGCTAAATCACCTCGGGGGGGGTGGTTGCATGCTGGTGACATGGCTCTGGTGGTGCTTCTGGCGCATGCAAGACGAGGGCTCCGGGAAGAGGTGAGGGAGAAGAAGGGAGGGGCGAGATGATGGGAGAGGGGAGGGGCGAGGTGGTAAGTGTTTGTGACGTTGAAGTAAGGCTAAATCACCTCGGGGGGGGTGGTTGCATGCTGGTGACATGGCTCTGGTGGTGCTGCTGGCGCATGCGAGACGAGAGCTTCGAGATGAGGTGAGGGCGAGGGGAGGGTCAAGAGGTAAGAGTTTGTGACGTGAACTAAGGAGAGAAATCACTTCTTGGGGGGATGGTTGCACGCTGGTGATATGGCACTGGTGGTGCTCAGCTCATGGCTCATGCAAGACGAGGGCTCAGAGAAGAGATGAGGGAGAGAGGGGAGTGGCAAGAGGTGAGAGTTTGGAACGTGGAACGAAGGATAAATCACCTCAGGACGGGTGGTTGCATGCTGGCGACATGGCTCTGGTGGTGTCGCTGGCGCTTGCGAGTCGAGGGATTGATGTAGAGGTGCGGGAGATGAGAGGGGAGGAAAGAGAATGAGGGCGAAGAGGGAATGCAGAGAGGTACGGGGAGAGGAATGAAGCACGGACGGACACGTGAAGAATTATATATGTGTGTTGTTGTTCTTGTCGCAAGGTGCGGGAGAAGGGAGGAAAAGAAAAGCGAGGGGGGAGAGGCTTTATTAGCGATCCGCAGAGAATTTTTGAAGGTGTTTAACGAGTCTTTTGCTTTCCCTCTGACTGCTTTCCCTCCCCGCCGCCCTCCATCCCTCGCCTTTGGCAGGCCATCTCTCTCCTGCACTGCCTCTCACGTGCCAACATCCCTGTTCCGGGTAGCGCACTGTTGGACGTGCTGCGGGCGGCAGCAGCACACGGGCAGGCGGATTTCTTTGTCTTCTTTCTGCGGGAGTGGGTAGCAGCGGATGTGACTGTGTTGGGGGGCCCGCGGGCTCTAGAGGAGGTGCTGCAGCTGCTGCTGAGATGCAGACGATTTCACCAGGTGAGGGGCAGGAGGGTGAAACTCATACACTTTATGGTTTCGAATCTTTGCTAGCCCGCGGGCGATAGAGGAGGTGCTGCAGCTGCTGCTAAGATGCAGACGACCCCACCAGGTGAGGAGGGTGCCTCTGTAGCTCAACTTCCACTAGTGCTGCCAGTTGCTGCAGTTGCTGCTGCTGCTGCTGCTGCTGCGCTGCTGCTGCTGATGCAGTGCAGACGACCTCACCAGGTGAGGGGGAGGGAGCGTCTGCCACTGCTTTTACACCTGCTAATGCTGCTAGCGTCGCAGCTGCTGATGCGCTGCACACGAACCCACCAGCGCTCTTCTGCTGCAGCTACCGCTTCTGCCAATGCTGCCGCTGCTGCCGCCTTCGCTGTCGCTGTTGTTGCGGCCATCGCCACATATACCTTAGTGCCCTGTCGTTCGCTCTGCAGTCACCACTCCTCCTGATCAACCTGTGTCCCCACTCCCCAACCCCTACCAGGCTGTGTCTTGGTTCCGGCGGAGCCTAGGGGCATACCCCACACACCCTCCCTTCATCAGCAGTGGTCCAGGTGCTGCTGCACTCTGGACCTCCCTGATTGTAACCCCGCCAGTCCCTGCCACCTTCCCAATCCCCCTTCCTCCCACCCTCTGCCAGGCTGTGTCTTGGTTCCGGTGCTGTCCAGGAGCATACCCAAGTCGGCCTACCCACATGTACTCGATACATTTCGCCAACACCCTTCCCCTCGCTCCCCCTTCTTCCCTGCCAGGCCGTGTCGTGGTTCCGGCGCTGCCTGGGTGCATACCCGCACAATCCCCCCTCGCCAGAAATGGTACAGGCGCTGCCTCCCCCAGCTCCCCTGACCATACACCCCCGTGTTCCTCCCACTGTTCGCCACCACCTTCCCCCATCCTCCCTCTTTTCTCCCACCCTCTGCCAGGCCGTGTCGTGGTTCCGGCGCTGCCTGGGTGCATACCCTCACAACCCGCCCTCGCCAGCAGTGGTGCGGGTGCTGCTGCACGCGCTGCAGAGGAGAAGCATGTGGCACGAGATGCTGGACGTGTTTGGATGTATGCAAGGCTACCCCGGCTATCATGACAAGGTGAGGGATGCTAAGGGATGGTGAGGGGTGCAGGGGGTGCAGGGGAGCAAAGGAGCATGTGGCACGAGATGCTGGACGTGTTTGATTGCCTGCAGGGCTACCCGGGCTACCGTGATAAGGTGAGGGCCGTGAGGGGCGGTTAACTGCAGTGAGGGTGCAGGGGGAGCAAGAATCCTGTGGCACGAGATGCTGGGCGTGTTTGGGTCAGTTACACCACGGTCATCTGCACTCTCCTCCACTGCCGGCAGCCCAATCTGTCAAAAACCCTTCTCCAAGACATGTCTCCATCTGCCTCTGCCCTCTTCCCTGCATGGCAGGTCAACTACACCACGATCATCCCCTGTCACCAGCCCAAGCTCGCCCTAACCCTTGTCCGCACTATGTGCCTCTGTGTGTGTTGTACGTGTATGCCCACATGCACGTGCATGGCCTATGCAGGTCAACTACACCACAGTCATCCGCACGCTCCTGCACTGCCGCCAGCCCAAGCTCGCACTCACCCTCTTCCGAGACATGCTATCCACAGGCCTGCTCCACTGCGACCGCCATGGCCGCGTGCTGTCACCCCGTGACAACGACGCCACTGACATGAGGCTACTGCAGGCCGTGAGGCACGCGGCTCTCCTGGTGGGCAACAGGGAGGTGCTGAGCATGCTGGGTGCTGGTGCCGTGGCTGCTCGCAGCAAGAACAGCAGCGAGAGGTTCAGACCGGCTCCTCGTAGGGTGGGGGACGAGAGAAACTCCTCTGTGGTGCCGAGTCCTGAGAACCCAAGCTCGTAATTGGTGTGGTGTAGTTCACAGCATGCGACTGCCACGGGCATATGTTGACAACGGGTCTCAGCGATTGGAGGGGACTGCAAGGCTCACGGCACGTGGCTCCAAGATAACAGGTGTATGTAGAACGTAGGGGCACCAGTGAAATTGTAGGCTGCACTCTAGGGATATACTGTAGCTGTATTAGTAGGTGTGCATTAGTGGAAGTGTTGTATAGCGTTCAATTTATGGATTGATGGCCAACGTGGTGTATTTCCATAGTCTGGGGAAATGAGGCTCAAATTGGTGAGTATTACTGGGTCTCCTGGGTAGAGGCAGTAAAGTCACGGCAATGAGCACCTGCTGAGATATTTTGCAATATAGTTGTTATCGTAAATTGTTCAGAGAAATTATCAGAAGCAACATAACGTTGTTGGTCTAAACTTCTGCCAAAACTGTACCAAATCCGTTTCAGCAGAACAGAAGGGGAGGAAGGTGGGTGCGTGGGTGGGCTAGGCAGAAACAGCCAACAGCCAGCCACACTTCCCGTTTTGCTAGACATCCGTCAGCAGAATTGACTGTTGAGCTAGTCAACCAATCGTCTGTAAGAGAAAGGAAACTGCTGCTCGAATACGAACAACGGACGCCACTGCTGAAGCCATGACGCACAGCACTTAACATTCCAGTCCGAATTTGACTGACATTGGCTTAATACTTCTGAACCGATCTATTAGCCTGCTAAAACGTGTTAAGACCGATAACAAAAATTTATCCGAGGCGCAGCCCCAGCCCAGCCTTTCCACCAATCAGAACAATCGGCGAAATCGCGCGCATCGGCGGAAATCGTGTTTGTCTCAAAAGAATCGACCCAAATTGCTCACACTTCGCCACGTGGGCGTTGTTCCTAATTGAATCGACCCCCTTTCCCCCCGCCCCCCCAACCCGTTTTTCCCGCCCTTCCCATCCGAAATTCGGGCATCCGCTAAAAGTTTGTAGAGTCACAAACAGTCACGAATACGGCTCCCTACTCTTGCTAAATCCACCATCTGGTTTTGGCATGCCACATCAGCTTTCGCAATTCGATAATTTTGGCGGTTGCTTCTCAATCTCATGAGGCTAATATGCATGTTGATTGTATCATATTTTTTTGGATTAGCCCATGCCATTAATGTAGATAAGGGCGCAAGAAAACACATGAAAAATAGCCTATATTTTTTTTTGTTTTTTGTATATCTACATAAATCTTTTTCCAAAAAATAAGAAAATATAAAGTTACATCTCATAAGATTATGATAATAACCACTCCAGGGCAAATCAAAATATACTATTTGTTAGCTAAGTTTATGTTGTGTTTGAGTTTACTGCTTGATACTGATTAGAAACAAATGTACGGATGTTACAAAATTTCAAAAAAAATACAGCAGTCGCACATAATTAATGAAATCCATATTACTGCTAAAGTTATCATTAAAAGTAAAAGTTCGTCCAATCAGATGTCGCTCGCATGTTGAAATCTTAGCGTTACGGAAAAACATGTATTTGTGACTTTTTGTGATTGCACGAAATTCCAGCGGGTGCCCGCATTTCGGAGAGGACGGGCGGCTGGGGGGGCTGGGGGGAAGGGGGTCGATTCAATTAGGAAAAACGCCCACGTGGCGAAGTGTGAGCAATTTGGGTCGATTCTTTTGAGACAAACGCGATTTCCGCCGATGCGCGCGATTTCGCCAGAACAATCGCAACATCGTCAGCGGACATCTTCACCAACAAACCTCTCTTGATTGCTTGCCCCAACTTGCAATTAGACCGAGCTAAACCCAGGAGAAGCGTATCCGAAAAGCTTGAAACCATTTGGAACCGAGAGTAACCCAAACAGAATCATAATAACTACCGGATTCTGGTTCATGATTCTCGCTGCAGCAGGAAGCTTGTGAAAGCATTTGCACAGCAACAAGTAGGGCAAGCGGCGCTTTCCAGTGTAAATTCCAGCAAAAGAAACGGCAAACGCAGGCCGTCGATTTCCCAATGTATGTGCAGTATGCGGCTGTCGGTTTCTTTTGCGGCTTTCCGAGTTCTTGCCACCATTTCCAGCCATAAAATTACGTGATCAGCGTTGTCGGCGAGCCGAACGGCCCTTTTCCTGTCCCTTACCTCGGCAGGCTAGCAGCCCAGCACCCTCTTGCTTACCCGCAGTAACAGCCGCTTGCGTCCGTGCTGGACAGTTCACCATTCGGGGGGTGATGACTGTCCTTTCTGACAAACGGCTAGTGCTGCGGGAACTGAGGACCCATGAGTTTCAGTATTGTCAAGACTCGTGGCAACGGTATATTTCTCGTTCGAAGTGTGTGTTTCCTCACCGTTTCTACCCCCTCACACCATTCACAGACTGACGAATCGCGCTGCTCAGAGGACCTAACTAACAGCCTGCGGCCCCCATTGTTCTCTAAGAATTGTCTTTCCAGCATCGGGCTCCGAGGCGCTCTCAACAACCAACGCTCAGTTAGGATCTCACCCGCTCAGGCAACCTCTCTTTCTAAGGCTCGCTGTCGACGTAAGCTATTAAGTTAGTGTCTCGTTGGTCGAAATACGTACCAGAACCTCCCGGATCAAAATAGAACAGGGAAGGTCGACTCGCACTGCGAGCCAAGAAATTCCGCTTTCAAACGATGGCGCCGCCGTTTCTCTCCGAAACAAAGAAGCTCGATACTCTATACAGCGTGGGCGAGGAGCGCACGGTCGTACTCGCTATAGACACTTGCAAGTCGTGCCTTACCGCGTTCGACTCCCTCGCCGCCTCCTGCCACAAAACGCAATCCTTCCTCTCCGAGAATCCCGCTTCTTCTGCGGAATTCCAACTCAAACCCACGGACCGCCTTGTAGTGGTGTTCCACCATGCCAACCACACACCCATTAGCATCATGACACGTGGCGCGGGAAAGCTTCGCGAAGGGTCCGACGACAAATTGAGCGACAGCCAATCGGAAAACAGCCCCGCGTCGCCGTCAACCCCAAGGTCCATCCTAGGCGCGCTCCTGAGTCCTCTATCCGCGGGAAGCTCGAAGCTCCGACCGAACTCCGCGTCCGGCGCCGACGAAGGCGGGGATGACAGCGTCCCGCCCCCCAGACTAAGTAAGCGTTTAACTGCCGTCATATTTTTCCTCCTTCCAAATCCTCGTCCCACGCCCGTCCCCCGCCCGCAAGATGATCCTCTTGCCCCACCACCCTCTTTCTCCCGCCGCCGTCTTACCCTCGTCCCACCTTTTCTCTCCTCCCCACAGACCTCCCGCGCCACCAGCTGTGGCGGCCGCAGCTGAACCCTTCGAAGGTGGTGCAGCAGATGCAGGAGGCGGGGCGCGCGGACGCGGCGCCAGTGGTGGTGATGGCGCTGATGGCGGAGCGGGAGGTGCGGCGCGCGCTGGCGGAGAGGACGGCGTGGGATCGGCGCACCAAGCGCGCGGTCATGCGCATGGCGGCCGTTGCGCGCGCGTGCAAGGTGAGGGCGCTGAGGGGGAGGACGCCCCGCTAACCGCTGGGTCAAAACGGGGGTTATTCAGAGGCGCAGCGGTAGCATTTTAGCCCTTTCGTGGGGCGTTATAGGTACGAGCGTGCAAAGTGATGGCAATGGGGCTTTTATTGTCCAGGCGCCTCCGAATCCGCGCGTTGGGGGCGTGCAAGGTGAGGGACGTGCGAGTTGATGGTGATGGGGATTGCAAGCTGCAAGCCAATGCGAGGTGCGAGGGATCTATATTCAGGCAGTGCACGGTGGAACGGATCCGTAAGGGCCTACCTTGTGGCACGTCCGTGCCTGCTCTCCAACTCTCTGTGATGCCTGATTTTGAAACCTCCTCCGCTCGCCCTTCCTGCCTCCTGCTCTTTTCATGTCCCCTGTTCTAACTCAACGTCACATGGCCTTTTGCAGATTCGGTTTGAGGCTATCGACTTATCAGACATCGCAGGAGAGCCCGACAGCAGCAGAAAACGAGACACGAATCCCGCCTCATCCACGCAATCCCCGCCCGCGGGATTTCCGAGGAAAACCTGTGAAAAATCACCGCCGTCGCAGGCACTGTCTTGGGAAGCCAAGGCCGATGCGGTGATCCGGTTCTGTCGGCATATCAACGCGGAACTGCTGCTGCTCCCTTCCTCTCATGCGTGTAAGGCGCTGAACTTCTCTGGCAAATTCGCCACCCATAATTTCACGATTCGCTGTACGCGAGACGCACCCTGCCCGTTGATCAAGCTTGGAGCTGATCCAGGTGGCGACGGGAAGGATGGACGAAGGAGAAGTAGCAAGGGTTTGGGGTCGGTAACAGAGAAGGACTATGAACTGCCTAGAAGCGCTACGCTGGAGGACCTTATTTGACAAACAAAATTCCTGTACATTATTACGTTCTTGCGCCTTCATAAGTCGTTTCCATGTACGGAGGAGCACACAACCACTGGGTGTGAGGGGGTTGGGGGGAGAGTTGTTAGGGGGAGGGTTGGGTGGGTGTCATGTCTCTAGGTATCTTTAGGGGGAGGGTTGGGTGGGTGTCATGTCTCTAGGTATCTCTTGGTTTACATGCGCTCAGCATGATACCACCACTGTGCTGCACCCCCTTCAGTGTAAAGCATGGTGTGGTACATCCTGGGTACTGCTGCAGGCATGTTGGAACTTGGTAGGTGTAAGCCTGTCCGATATCAGGTTCTCTTGATAGAAACCAGGACAATGGGAACCTTTTTGCATTTATTTACCTGGCTTGTGTCCGTTAATCACATAAGATCAAATACCGTAGGAACACATTTTCCAAGACATGGTTGGTTGTAAGGCACAATGTTATGTGATGTAGCTACCTACGTGTAATCTGATGTTTTCGAGGTTTGGAGCTGCTTGACACGTCAGCGACAGTGACCGAAATCCCAGCCCTGGTCATCCTCCTCGCCTCACCCGCCTGCCTCCACTTTTGAATGAGCTCGAACCATGCACCTAATCACCCAGCCAGGTTGTGCCTCAGGCTCGGAGTCCCATATCTTCACGGGATGAAAGGCGTTTTGACACCTACAAACAGTTTCAAAATGGTTCAGTGCGGTATTGGTTCTCACGGTACGCCACCTATCAATCTGCAACTGCGCTTGTCGATCTCAAGCCCCAAACCAGACCCATTTCAGAATTTACCTCTCATTCCTGGATAGCTACCCATTTCGATATTATACGAGTACCTCTAGAAATCGCTGATAGGTTACTACTTCCAAGAATAAAGACGTCCATATCTTCCACAAGAACACGTTGATTTCTGCGAAGTCCTTGCCGCAGCCCTGCGTACTCCAACAATTGCGCAATGAAGAGCCCGACTGTCTAGGTTACTGGCGTTGACGTTCAGGTTGAGGGAATTCTGGGTTCCGTGCCAGCACGCACGATCATGGGAATCAAGAGCAGAGGACCATTGCGAGTTCTTCGTAACTAAGAATCTTAGAATCTAGCTGCTATGGCTTCCAAATTGTCGTCTTCGACATGTGTATGATTTGAATTTACTCTGGTCTCAGGCTGGGACTGGTTACATCATCTCAATCCTTCGAACGGTTTACGTTCACCCAGCTCCCAGTCTGACTCAGGCCCCTGTCAGTCTGACTCAGCCACTTTACAGCGTGACTCAGCAAAGGCCCAGTCCAACTCAGACACCCCTCAATCTGACTCAGCCGCCTCTCTCTGCACGTCACATGACAGCTCCTAGGGTTCCCTCAAACTTCTCCCATGTACTCGGCAACACCAGGGTCGGGCCTACCTGTTACTGGGGCCGTTGGCGGGAGAACAGGGACAGGTTTACCAGTTACAGGGTTACCCGTTACAGGCGGAGTCACTGGGAGCAGCACCACTGGAAGCAGCAGCAGCGGCACCGGAGGTAGCGCCACGTTTGCCGCTCCCTCCTCGTCCCTGCACCTCTCCCCGCCTTTCCCGCGCCCTCCTGCCTCTGCAACCGCCACCAGCACTACCATCAGCATCACCACTGGCACCGGCGGCGGCGGCGGCGGTGGCGCGACCGGCTCTTCTTCAGTCGTCGAGGACCAAGGCGGCGGAACCGCGACAGTCGCGTCGGGGTTCTCCCCTCATGTCTTTAACATCCCCTCGGGCGGCGCGGCGGTGGGCGGAGGCACGTCCACGTGGTTGCAGGCCGACCATCCACATCACCACCAGGTGCTGATCCCGTCCGCAGCGCACAAGCGCACCACGTTCGTCTCGTCCGAAGGCGCGCAGCTCGCGGGCGGAATAAGCGGCGGGATAGGCGGCGCGAGCGCCGGAATAGGCGGATTGAATCTAGGCGGGGTGAATTTAGGTCCTCCCGTTTCGTCTCCCACCCCCGAAGTAATCACAATCACAGTCCCGCCCGCATGGGACGATCACCCCGCTACAGCGTCCTCTTCCGGGATTGGTCGGCCGGGGCAGCAAACCCTAGAACGCGAGCAGCCAATCCCAGCGCAGAGCTCGCGACCGTTACCCGAAGGGCGGGTGAAGGAACCGAAAGAGAAAGACGAGAAGGCGGAGGAGGATTGGCGGAGAGGGCGCGTGAAGATTCCACCACACGATTACAGCCACGTGTCAGCAGCGTCCCAGGGGCTGTACGCGTTCGTACAGAGACTCGGTAAGCTACCGGGACGAGCTGTACATGCTATAGAGACGACGTTAGGGTTTCAGTTTTGGGGGGGTAGAAGAGGAGGCAGCAAAGGGGGAGGAGCGTCGGGTTCCAAGAGACCAGGCTTCAGACGAATAGGTTCCATCCCCAAGTCCCCAACAATAACGAAAAACATAGGCAGCTTGACATCCCTAGCAGACGCAGCCGCGTTATCCTCGCTCCCGGACCCCTTAATAACGAGTACACCACCATCATCAGCAACAGCAGCAGCCGCAGCAGCAGCCACACAGTCAATAGCGACCTTTTGGGAGCACCATCATAGGGTGGACTTTCAAACCCTAAGCGCCATGCTCTTTTTCGCCCTCGTGTTAATCCTCTGGCATTTAAGAGGCTTCAGATTTCTCTCAGTCTTCTACTGGTTTCCGCCTGACGAGGAGGATTACGAAACACCCCCCGGGACCACGTGGGTAGAGCTGGTAGCGCTCTCTATCCTTCTCCTCGGCGCTGCTGCTGCTCTCCGCTCTGCCTTCCCCCGTTTTTTCGACCGCCTGGCGCTCCTGCTGCACACCGCGTTCCCCCGCTCGCGACTCTTAGTTAAAAGGCTGCAGAGAGTGAAACGGGTGGTGGTGAGGGCGGTGGCGGACGGTACAGGGATTGGCAGGTTGGGGATTGGGTCTGGGCTGGGTCGGGGGGGAGGGGGAGGCGGAGGCGGAGGGGGAGGGGGAGGGGGGGGTATCCTTCCTTCCTGGGCGCATTACTTGCCGTTTGGGGGGCTGGGAGGGGGAGGGGGAGGGGCAGCAGCAGCAGCAGCAGCAGCTGGAGCGGGAATGGGGTATGCATCAGGCCCTCGACCGTTCAGGCTGCGAGGGACAGGGGGTACAGGGAACTACTCAGCTCTGGATAAGAAGTTTGCGTCTAGTGGGGGCGGCAGCTGGGAATATCTAGGTTACAGCCGCAGTGGCAGGGGCGGCGGGAGAGGGATCAGTAATAATGGCAGTGGTGGTGGTGGTGATGATGGTAGTGGTGGTACTGGTGCTGGAGGTGAGAGGGACAGAGATAGGGAGGGTGGTTCGGATAGTGGGGGTGGGGAGGGGTCTTCCACAGCAGCTGCCGGACCTGCAGGTGCGGCCGGTCTTTCGTCTCGTAGCGCCTCCCGGGCGGCATCTGGGTGCGGGATTCATGTGTATGCCAACGGGGACCGGTACGAAGGAGAATTTTACCAGGGCAGATGCTCGGGCAGCGGCGTGTACATTTTTTCGGGCAGCGGGCGGTATGAAGGCGACTGGGTGGACGGAAAATACGATGGGTATGGGATTGAGACGTGGTCGAGGGGGAGTCGGTATCGGGGGCAGTACAGGAAGGGCCTGAGAGAAGGGTATGGGGTGTACCGGTTTTATACCGGGGATGTTTATGCGGGGATGTGGGCGAAAGGGCAGAGCCATGGTGTGGGCGTGCAGACGTGCGGCGATGGCAGCAAGTATGTGGGCGAGTTTGCTTGGGGCGCCAAGCATGGATTCGGCAAGTACACCTTCAGGTGGGTATGACCGCAGGGCGTGAGGTGTGACCATGATTTGAGATTAGTCTTGTAGTTGTGCTGTTGTTGCACAAATGGAGAAACATATGCAGGTGAATACTTTGCCAATTGCATGCACGGGTGCGGCATGTGCACGCTAAGCAACGTACGTTTTTTGAGAATTCTAAAAAAATGCATGCACGGGTGTGGCATGTACAAGCTAAGGAACGGGCACAAATACGAGGCAATCCCTTTGTCTCGTTTTCCTTAACCCCTCCCCACCGCCAGGAATGGTGACACCTACGCTGGAGAGTAATTCGCGGACCGCATGCATGGGTACGGGGTTTTTGAGTTCAGCAACGGGCACCGGTACGAGAGCAGGCAGGCATGCTCTCTCACCTCATTCTTTCCCCGATGAACCCCTTCCACCAGAAACGGCGACACATACGCAGGAGAATACTTTGCCGACCGAATGCATGGATATGGCGTGTACGAGTTCAGCAACGGGCACCGGTACGAGGGCGCGTGGCACGAGGGGCGCAAGCAGGGCCTCGGCATGTACACCTTCCGCAACGGCGACATGCGCGCCGGCTACTGGCACCTCGGGGCGCTCGAAACCCGCAGCACCAACACCCTCCCGGCATCACCCACTGGCAGTGGCGCGGGCGGAGGAGGAACAGTGGGGGGTGGGGTGGTTGGAGGGAGTGGGGGGTTGGGAGTGTTGGGGTTGGGGGTGCGGGCGGGGTGGGTGGTGGTGGAGGGGAGAGCGGGACGGGGGGTGCGACTGGTGCATTGGGTGGTGGGGCAGGGTCAGGGGGAGGATCGGGGATGGCGGTTGGGCTGGCAGCAGGGCCGGGGGGAGGACCGGGAGTGTCGACAGAGCTGGTGGGGGGAGGAGGGGGAGGTAGTGGGTTGGTGTCGCCGGTACGGACTCCTTTGTCTGCTGGTGGGATGGGGCTGTCCACGCCACTCACACCGCACACGCCCCACTCGGCGTCGTCACCCAACGCTGTCAACCATTCCCGCGTGCTGCATGCCGTTCAGGTGGGTGCTCAGGTGGTTTTTCAGGTGCTGAATGTCGTTCAGGTGGCTTCTCAGGTTGTTCAGATGGGTGCTCGGGTGCTCCATGCCGTTCAGTTGGGTGTTCAGTTGGGTGTTCAGGTGTTTTGCAGGCACAGCATGCAGTTTCTCACCCTTTTTCAGAGCTCACCTCTCTCCTCTTGCTTTTATCTGATTGGTATCTCCCAGGAGGCACGTAGAGCAGCAGCAAAGGCGGAGAATGTGCTGAGAGTGGACGACCGGGTGTCTAAAGCGGTCTCTGCTGCAAATCGAGCAGCTGTGGCAGCTCGAGTCGCAGCTGTGAAGGCCAATCAAAGGGGGTCAAATCACTCATGATTGGATGCTGGGGGGGATTTTTCATCATATGTGGTCAATTACTCATTCAATGTTATTGAATGGCGCTGAAATAGCATCGTGATTTTGTTCTATGTTGCGCGGCTGAATCGGTTGATGAGGAAATTCCTCCATTAGCTTGAGCTGGTATTCTAAAGATGTTGTAGTGCACACGGCACTCATATGCTTTCTATAGGGTTCGAGTTACTTCTCTAACGAAGAAACGACGTTTAATGAGGGCCACATGCGATAACCGGGAATCACGCGAGTGCCGGAACGAAATCTTGGGCTGCCCTGCCCCCCATCGCACGCCAGCAGGCCAGATTATCCTCAGGCCACAAAAGCATGTGATGTGTACAGTACAGTGGCGACCAAGACGACTGCCACAGCTCACTACACCCTCATTCTCTCGATAGACTGGCATATCTTAGACTGACCGGGACGCTTAGTGTAGCCGCAGCGGACCAAAGAAGGTCCTATCACATGCGTTATAGTCAAGGTTTTGTACGTTCTGGAATGTTACGGTTGTTTTCAAAGCGGTTGGGACGGATATTCAGCGTTAATGGTTTTTTGTTTGCCCAAAGCCTGTTTCGTCGCCTCGTGCGACTTTGCCCGCAACCGCAGTCGATGCTCAGCCTATCACAAAAAATTGCATATCACAATTAGAAAATCAGTCACTCGCGAACGTTTTGCCTGTGAGTGGTGATTGTGCTGATTTCGGGGTACAGTCACCAAGTCGAGGAAGCAAAACATCTACAGTTTGTTATGAATGAACTTGTCAGAGTGCGCAGATATCGAATAACGAGAATGTTGAACTACCGAATGCCTGAACAATGAAGTAGCGAGGCCTAAATAGGGGAAAACCTAGCTAGGCGGGGATGGTGTGGTAGAGTTGGCTCGCGAAGTGTCGCGATTGGTGCGGAGGCGGCTCGGTGAGGTTGGGATGCGAAATTGTAGGCCGAACCAGTTGGTCGCGTGGCCCTCGGGATGGCCTCGCTATCGAGCGCCTCAGTAAGGATTTGTAAATCCTTACACTCTCCCACCTCCTAAATAAGGCAGCCCTGTACTGAAAAGGGTCACCCAGTAGCGAGGATGCCGTTGATCTTCACTTCAGCTGAATCCGACGGCTGAAATGCCCCAGACAATATTGTTGAAAAGGTTGGAATGTCGGCCGTTGATGTTGTCAGATTTCGATCTGACGGTCGAAGATGAAGTGACCTCAATTGTAATGAAAGTTGGATTGTGAGCCGTAGATGCATATGCTGTAGATCCGACGGTCGAAGCAGATGCGAAAAGGGAGGGAACCTGCTGACGCGAATTCAAACGCAATTGAGCAGGAACCGTAGATCGTGTCGGTGTGATCGCGGTCGTCCGTCGTGCTGTCGCAACCTGACAAAGTCAGAAAAGGACCAAGAAAACGCCAAGGAAAGAACAGTGCGAAGCACTTTCTCCCCCACTCCAAGAAAACACACCATAAAAGTTCCAGCAGCTGCGCCGAGATGAAAACAAACAAAACCGGGTGTTAAGTCCCACGAAGGAAGCCGTTGATGGAAGGAACCCAAGTGAAAATGCGTCGGTGTGGAAATGTCGATGTCGAAACCAGGAATTACGTGCCCAAAAGTCGTCAAGGGCGAACCAGCGAAAGTAGACCAGAAACCGAAACCGAAATTGCCGAGTACTCGAACTGAAGCTTTTTGTCTTCACATCGCCAGAATCATGCAGCATCCGCAGCAGTTGCAGCTGGCAGCACCTGACGTGGCTGAAATTAAATATGTTTGTCGTGGGCGGGTCGATGGCGAGTTGTTGGAAGCAGAGTTGGGATGGATTCTCCAAGAATTTTGTCGTAATCCGCCGAGAGTTCGTGGGCAGGGATGAAAATTTGCAGCTGTCTCTCCCCCCCCGTCACTGTTGCCGCCGCCTTCTCCAGTTCGTCGTAAGTCGTTCGTACCCCTTGAAAAGTCCGTGTAGTTCCCGCGCCGTTGCCCTGCGTAAATTTCGCGCGCGTGTAACCAAACTTCGAAAGTACTGCCACAAAATTGCCGCGCTTTCGCCGTAAAACCGTGAAGTCCTTCGTCAAACTCCGAAATCGTCGCTCGAGAAGTAGCCCCGTAAATCCACAGGTCTAGGTGCAGTTCTCCTCCGAAAATCTCAGACGTGCTATAGCCGCCCACCCGGTCACCATCAGTTTCCTTCGGTTACCCGACCCCAGCATGTGGGTTCAATCGAGAACCGGGGACTGCCCTGGGTCTTCCGAGACCGAATTTCACGGAACCTAGAGGCATCAACGCCGTTGACCCCGTCGTCGAAACTGCTCCCGTCGATGTCGCTTAACTGAAAACCACGCAAACTCCCACTGGCGCTTTGCGATGTTTCACCTCATCGCGCGTCACCGGCAGGTAAATCCCGAAGCCTCGGCTGCTCCCACGCTCCCTGAAGAATTTCCCGCGGTGTACGTTTAAACACCCGTGGGTCCTAGGTATCAACCGCACTCCAAGAAACGAAGAAAACACCCTCAGCTTCAACTCCTTTTTTTTTTTTTTTTTTCCGTAGGAAGATAACCCCGAAAATCGTGGTTGAGGCTGCAGTCCCGAAGTTATTCTCCGCCGTATAGCCCCGACGTTTCCGCCGTTTTTTCCCTGGTACTCCGATGTTCACCCATCTTCGTACCCGCCGGACTACTTAGCGAATCCCAGGTATCCTTGGCAATGTACCGCTCGCCGCGCCTCCATGTAACGATATCAAACCCTTTCGGGGGTCTACCGAATAGACTCCGAAATTCGCGGTAGATTGGTGCACGGGCTCAACCTATCACTCAAGTGATCTGCTGGATCACCCACAACTTTCCCTTCCGTCATCAATTTTTTCGTATTCACCCCCCGACAATTCCGCTTCCCGCCGTTCACCCAGCGTCCGCTTTTGTCGGATGGGGTATCGTCGTTGTTGCCCACGCGAACTCGGCCACGGTGGAGAGGCAAAAACTATCGGAGTCGGGGCAGCCTTAGTTAAAAGGAAACTGTCGCCCAACCGTTTTGCAGCCCGCCGTGCCTATCACGTCACGTAAAATCCACAGCTTCCCGGTCTCAGCTTCGCCGCCGCGCCGTCGATTCGTGTAGACGCCCGGGTCAGGAGAAACCTGTAGACTGCACCATTTCTTCTTCGCAGCTCCCCGACTTTTTCGCGTGCCGTTCACCCAGCCCGCTTTTGTCGGAGTAGAACAGTGCCGCGAGCTCCACTTTTTTTTTTTTTGTATTTTTTCTGTACAGCTGTCGAACGGGCACCAAAGCCGGTACCTTTAACCAGCGCAGGGTAGGCCACGTGTTCACCCCCGTTATTCGGCCAAGTAGGTTGACTGCATGAGTCAGAACCAGGACTTGGTGGGGATGGTGAGGTTCGGGCGAAGTAGGGCCGCAGAGCGATTCCACCGGCTTTTAATCTGCCCCCGCAACGTTCTTCAACCCCCGCTTAGCCGTTGGGCCGTTTCTTCTCGCGTGTCCCGGCAGCCTGTACCGACCCCTCCGAAATTATCGGGCGGTACCTTGGACACCGTTTAACCGTGGGTTGTCAGCAGCTGTCCCCGAAAACAACATCCTTGGTCAGGGGAAACTGTTCTCGATACTGCCGGCCAGCTTGCAACAACACCAGGCACGCAGCGTCGCACGAGTTCTTTCGAGGTGTACCTGCCCCGATTTCCCTCGTCGCCTGCGTCCCACTCCTCGTAAGTGCAGTTCAGCCATCGCGTTTTCCGTTGCAGCCCGTAAGCGTCAGCAGGTATGAAGTCCCGTCTGTCCACGAGCACTCCTGCCGAATTTGTTGATGACGCGCCCGCCAATGCAGTAAAAGCTGCCGCACTTAACAGGTCGGGCGGGACGGCAGTTAACTCCCGCGAAGTCGGGCAGTCTTGTGTCGTCTCTCCTCGCCACCGACATTTTCGGACGCAAACTCCTTTTGCGCCTGGCGAGTTCCCCAGCCGACGTTTTCTTCAACAGAAGCTCCGAAATTTTCGCCACAGTGACGCACGTTCCTTGTCGCCAGCTGCCGAGCCACACTCCGTGAGTCGCGCGCGCATGATGACGACGAGCCACCGTTGTCACTTGCCGCATGGGACGGACTCCGAAGTTGTCACAGAAGTTGTTGACTCGGGTCCGACGGCGTCAACTGCCACACATCGTGACGACTTCCGAAATCTTCGTGCAGGTGCCGACGCAGATCCGCTGACGCCAGCTGCCTCACAGTTTCGAAATCGTCGTTAAAACCGCAGCGGAAATAGTAACTCACGTTCAGAGTCGCGACAGCTCCAGCTGTCCGTTGCCCGGGGGGAGGGAGGCCACGGTCGATCGCGACCGTTCGAGGCAAGGATCTGGCGGTGCCGAAGGAGTGCCCCGTAAAACCATGGCCGCGAAGAGCAACTAACGAGTTCTCTTGGCCGGCCTACGCAACTCCTGGACCCCAAGGCATCCTTACTCGTCCCCCCCCCCCGAGGGGTAATACACTCTAAAAAACGGGGTAGGCTAGGAAAGTAGCTCTGATACCAGGTGTTATGAATGAACTTGTCAGAGTGCGCAGATATCGAATAACGAGAATGTTGAACTACCGAATGCCTGAACAATGAAGTAGCGAGGCCTAAATAGGGGAAAACCTAGCTAGGCGGGAATGGTGTGGTAGAGTTGGCTCGCGAAGTGTCGCGATTGGTGCGGAGGCGGCTCGGTGAGGTTGGGATGCGAAATTGTAGGCCGAACCAGTTGGTCGCGTGGCCCTCGGGATGGCCTCGCTATCGAGCGCCTCAGTAAGGATTTGTAAATCCTTACACAGTTCATAAACAACAACGGCTGCCTGTCATCAGAATTGTTTACCTGGTTACGAACTTAAACCCCTAGACTCGTTTCACATTCCAATTTCGTTTTACAATCACATTTTTGCCCGTAGCGACAAGGGCGAATGTGGCGTAAGGGCCAAAACTCGTTTCACTCACATGCCGCCCGCCTACCTGGTGTTCTCGAAATGAGCACCGACTGTATCTCACCAGCCCGCTACGTCCAAACACTGTAGCCAGTGCCTCCGTTGGTAAGAGTGGTGAGGTGAGAACGTGGGTGTACGACTAGTGGTGTAATTGACGTGGCAGGCGCTGTATCCACTGCTGGACCAAATCTCCATGCCGCCACCACGGCACCGCTTGCCCAATCAACTCACCGCAGCGTCACCGCCATCACCATCTGGCCTGGATGTCTGCTGAACCTCCTGGAACCGCGATGACTGGGGTCTGTGCTGCTGTGCAGGCCAGTTTCGTCCCCTCCCCTCCCCTCCCCTTCCCCCACCTGCCTGCCACGCCGCTGCTTCAGCCGACCAATGGTGTCAAAATCTGTGCTCGTCGCTGCTGCTGCAGCGTTGACGAATCACGACCGAGGTTTTTGGTCGCTGAGCCGAGCTGACTTTCTCCATGCATGTAACTTGGATGGTGTAATACACCTGAAGTTTCAAATAAATGTTGGATCTAGGCAAAAACAGCAATTCAGGCCGTTTAAACTCATGTATGTCTGCAACCACACTGGATATGTCTGTTTGTATGGCCGTTTTATCAGCATTGAACAATGACGTAACTGTGAACACGTGAGCGTTTGACAATATAAAACAGTGCATAGAAACACCCCAGTTCTGACAACCCATTGTCAAGCATGTGAGCTAACCCGAACGCACCTCACCTCACCACCACCACCCCTCATCTCGCCTCACTGCCGTGGCGTTGGCTTGTGGGCAATTCGGCACTCGATTCGTCGCCGCCTGACATCACCCCCTCTCTCCTCGCATTCCCCCTCCCTTCTCTCTTGTTTGTTTATGGAGCTCACTCCAAGCAAATCAAACCGCAGCTGGCAAAGAGTGCGTAGCGAAGGCTGTTCGTTCCCAGAGGGCTGTACGGAGCTGAAAGGCCTCCTTTTTCCCGTTCCTCTTGTCCCAATTCCTGCACTTTTGTTCTACGTGGTTGACTCATGCTCTAAGTTCTGCTTACAAGGTCTTCTGCTGTCACCTGATCACCAGGGGGCTCTTCCAGCTGGAGCATTTTTCAGATGCCTCAAAACGCATCTTGTTCCATGCGTCCGATGTAGATTGCGCTCCAGTTTTGCATCGATAAGAAACTGCGAAGTCGCTTCTATTCACAGAACGTCTTTCTTCAATTAAAATTGATCGTTTATACCGCAGTAAATCGCATATTGTGGACCATCCACTAACTAGGGTGTAGATACTATCTTCCTGTTTATGGCACTGTTTTCCGTCTGCGGCGGCGCGTGCCCCTTCTTCCTAGGCCTGGGCTTCGCCACGTGTTCCTGCTCGCTCTGCACGGGCCTCGTGCTCGTCACGTGCGGCGACAGCCTTTCCTCGCCTCCCAGCGCCGCTCCCGGCGCACCGCGTGATAGCAAATCGTACGCGACGCGCAATTCCCTCAACGGAGCGTTCATCGGAAGCAGCGCTGCATTCTCCGCAGGCTCGTCGTTTGGAGGGGGCGACCTCGTTCTCTCAGAAGACAAGGTTAGCCGTCGATTTTTCCCGGTTTCCATTATGGCTGACCAACCGTCGATTGGTATTTGGCCGCAGGTCTTGGTAGTCGATGGGAATTGATCGGTCCGTGTTTGTTTCGGCACGTGCACAACAAAGCGGCTTCTCGATTTCGCCTTGAATTAAAGCGGGGCTTGCGGCTTTCCGCCGTTTAAAGTCGGGAATTTTGAGTCCTAAAAGGGCATTCAGTCACAGTAGCTCCACGACCGTGTTTCGTCAAAGCGCCGGCGCGTCAGCTGCAAGTCGATTTGTTTCGTTTTACCAACTTGAAAAACTTCAACCGATCTCTGCCCGTCGGGTGTGAATTCTCGTATCTTCTACCCTCCGTACTCCGCTCTTATCAAAATCCTCCCCCCTTCTCTCTCCTGTTCTCCCTCCTTCCTTCACCCCGCTGCGCACTGTCCGCTCCCTAACAGCCGTGGACAGCGGATCAGTACGCGGCGTATCTCGCGCGCGCTGCCCCGTCAACAAGTCGCATGTCGCGGATACCAAGCGATCATCATCACTCCCACTCGCTACGTTCGCCAGGCGCTCTCTCCCACTCAGTGCTTTCGCCGGCTTCCCGCGCATCGCCTTTACACTCGCCGTCGCTCCAAGCGTCGCTGCTGTCGTCGCGGCAATTCCGGTCCTTGTCAAGCTCGTGAGCGCGGGGAATCTAAACAAGGCCAACATACTGAACTAGACACACGATACAGGTACTTGGTTGCAACAAACCTTATTACTGAAAGGGACAAGGAATTGATGTGGGTAAATCTAGCTGTGTCTCTGGAAGCTGCTCATTCTCTTCTCATCCGTTCTACCCTATAACCACAAGACCTCCCCTTCCCACCTCTCCCTCACCCCTGTCCTGTCCCTCCCAACCTCATGCACACATTGCTTCAAGCTCCCTTGTCAGAGGGTAGTTTCTTGGTGATTCTTACGTGTATTGATAGGCTCGCTTCGTCATTGTGATTCTGAAGTTCTGAGCCGTATATGCCCAGTTGGCACTTCTATGCACTCAGTGAGGTTATGGTATCAAATCATGAGCCTTTCGTCTATCTTTACATTGCGTGCAGGTTACCCGCTTGTTAAATGATCACACTCGTTGCTTGTAGGTCTATTCATTTGTGCAGTCAGTTATATAAAATAAGGCTGTATGCTCTGGGCATTTCTGTAATTCATACACCAATAAGCAAACAAGAAAGATGTGAGGGTGTATGCACCTTGGGACTATAACCTCCCCACCCCACCCAGTTATGTAGTTGCTGGCTTTTCCAGAATGAATGCGCGTAGCTACTGTACCAGTAAATTATTCTGTCTTATCACTGTAGAGACCGTTCACCCCGTTACAACGCTTCGCTCAACAGAGACCTTTCGCGGCCTTTCTGCGCAAATCAGAGAGCTTCGGGGCCAACGATGTTGGGAGCACACATGACGGTAGCCGTCAATTGGTCAGAGACTGAGATTCCGTTGCTTCCGATCTTTAGCCCCGAACCTGAGGTCCCCCTTCGCGAGCCATTGGGAACTCCCGTACTCCGAACCTCGGGAATCCCCAACTTAGCATCCTAGAACTTCCCACCTGATAAGTAGGATCTTACACCCTGCAAACATTGGGGCTGTTCGCCAGCACCATTATAGCAAAAAACGACGGGATAACGACGGGATCAGGAAGGTGGGTCTCGCCTTCCTGATCCCGTCAGTTAGAGTTCGTTAACCTCCGTCAGCCCGTGAAAAAAGTGCCGAGCCTCACCTACCGTCCAAACCAATTAACAAAGTGGGCGTCTGGCGAACGCCCACTTTTGTCCACCAAATCTAACGCTTCGACGGCATATGGAAGCGGGGACGAAACTTCGTCCCCAGGCAAAACACCATCCCCTAGCCATGCCATCGCCATGCTGCGTTTTTCAAAGCACAGCGATGGCACAGCCGTCGCATTGCCGTTCAAAAGGGATCGAAGGGAAGGTGGGGATGGAGGTTCCCGACGCGGTTGAGAAATTTCTCAACCGCAGGCGCAGAAGTTTCCTGAACGGCATTACGGCCAAACCTCGGAGGTGGGTTCCACCTCCGTTTCCATATGCGGTCGCGATGCCGATGCCATCATTTTCATTTCAAAATACGATTTGCTGGCGAACAGCACCATTTCTTTTGCTCCTGCATCTGCTGTGTCTCCCCCTCTTGGCAACCTGCAAGCGTGAACGTAAACACCTCCGTTTCCGCTGAAGAGTTTACATAAATATTTATTACTACGAGCTTTCCCGTTTTGTCTCTCTCTGGCAGAGAACCTCATTCCGCTCGTTCGCCTGCGATGTCGCAGGAGCTCGCGAAACCCGTTAGCATTCTGCGCGGTAGTCCGTCGATTTCGCTGCTCACCGTTCCCACGTCGCTCCTCCGCAATGGCAGTGTCGCGCGAGTCCCCACCAGAGCGCCGCGATCTGTCAGCTCAGTGCGGTCCAGGAGGAGGATCATGAGCGCAAGAGCCCTTCAGGGAAATAGCGCAAGAGCCCTTCAGGGAAATAGCGCAAGAGCCCTTCAGGGAAATGCACGTGGGGTTACTTGGGTGACCCCGTCGCTCCTTTTTGCCTCCTCCGCTCCCCGTCCTGCTCGCCGGCCAACCACAGCCGTCCGTGCGGGCCGTGGGATCAGCCACGTGGACGGCCTGGATCCGGAAGAGTTCAAGAACGCGCGGATCACGGTGACGGACGACGGGATTATATTTTCGGTGGTGGACGATAACGAGGCGGATGATAACGAGGCGAATGGGGAGGACGAGGTCCCAGAAGATGTGTGGGAGAGGGAGGAGGGGACAGAGGGGGATGAGAGATCGGTCGTGGGCGGGGTGGAAGAGGATGGAAGAGATGAGGGTGTGAGTGGGGAGGATGAGACGGAGGAAGAGGAGGAAGAAGGGGGGGAGGCGGCGGCGGGAGTGATGCAGGAGGCGCAGAGGGTGATGGAAGAAGCGGCGAAGCTCCTCAGCGTGGTGGAACGACCCGTGGTTGATGTGGCCGTGAGTGACAGTGAGGAAGAGGACGTGAGGGAAGCGGAAGAGGAGGAAGAGACGGAAGAGGCGGAAGAGGCGGAAGAGGCAGAAGAGAAGAGTGTGATAGAAAAAGAGGGGCAGGTGGATGTAGGGGACAGCAAGAGGGAGGTAGAGGCATTGGAGGAGGAGGAGCCCTTGGTTTATGACCCGCCACCGCTAGCGGACTTGGGTGTGGGTCTGGAGGGGACGATTGGCGCCACCAATGCTGCTGGAATGGTAGGGAGTCCCATTGCGGACAGCATCTATGCTGCCGAGGATGGGCGGGACGGCACGGGGGAGGTAAAGGCGTTGGAGGAGCCGCCGCTTATTTATGACTCTCCACCGTCAGCGGACTTGGGTGTGGAAATGGAGGTGACGCTTGGCGACGCTAATGCTGGTAACAATGCCGTTGCGGAGAGCAGCTATGGTGCTGGGGATGGCTATGGTGCTGATGTCAGCTACGATGATGCTGATGTCAGCTACGATGATGCTGATGTCAGCTACGATGCTGATGTCAGCTACAGTGCTGATGTCACCTATGGTGCTGATGTCAGCTACAGCACAGGCAGCAGCTACATAGCTGGCAGCAGCAGCAGCAGCAGCAGCATTGGCAGCAGCATTTTCAGCAGCAGCAGCACACGTGGCAGCACACGTGGCAGCAGCCTTGGCGGCACGGAGGTGGATCTAGAGGAGGAGGAGAGGCGCGTGGCAGAGCGACTCAAGACCCTGGCGGGGTTGGCACTGGGGGGAGAAGAGGGAATAGCAGTGAGGGGAGAGGATTTAGGGTTGGGTGAAGTGCGAGCAGAAAGTGCAGCGGCTGCTGTAGCAGCCGAGCAGCAGAGAGAGGCAGCAGCAGCAGCAGCAGCAGCAGAAGCAGAAGCAGCAGCAGCATCGGCAGCAGCAGAGGCAGAAGCAGCAGCAGCAGAGAAGGAGAGAGAGGCTGCTTCGAGGGAGGTGCAGGAGAGGAGCAGGCAGGAGCAGCTGCTAAGGGTAGAGGCAGAGGCACAGGCAGACGCAGAGGCAGCAGCAGCAGCAGCAGCAGCAGCAGAAGCAGTTTCAGCAGAAGCAGTGGCAGCAGCAGTAAAAGCATTGGCAGCAGAAGCAGCAGAGGCAGCAGCACAAAGGGAAAGGGAGTTAGACGAGGCTGCAGCCAAGGAGAGAGAGGCTGCTGCGAGGGAGATGAGGGAAAGGAATCGACCGCAGAAGCTACAGGCACTCCAGGCAGAGCACGAGTTTGTCACAGCAAAAATGTTTTTCTACCCCGAGGCCGGGCAGGTCCGGGCAGGCGAAACTGTGGAGATTTTTTTCCACCGCCCGGCGAGTGCGCTGAAGGAAAAGGCTGGGATTTTTGTGGTTGGTGCTTTTAACGAGTGGCAGTGGGAGCCGTTTAAGTATGAGCTGAAGCCTTCTAACGAGGTGGCAAATGACTGGTGGACATGCAGCGTGACTATACCGAAGGAGGCGTATCAGATGAACTTTGTTTTCCACAGCAGCGACAATGTATATGAGAACAATGAGGGGCGAGATTTCTATATCTCAATAGATGGGGGCATGGACGAGGATGAGTTTGAGCGGTTATTGAATGAGCAGAAGCAGAGGGAGGCGGAGGAGAGGGCAGCAGAGGAGGCAGAGAGGGAGCGGAAGGCAGAGGAGGAGAGGAGGGCTGCTTTGCTGCTAGCCCAGCAGGAGGAGGAACGGGCGACGGCCTGGGCCGTGGCTGATGAGGCTCGGCAGAGGCTCGGGCCGATCTGGGAGAATGCAGGGGCGGGAGAGGAAGGGGTGTGGCGCCTGGAGGTGAAGGGTGGAGTGGTTGGGGAAGGGAAGGTGGCAGGGGAAGGAGGGGAGGTTAAGAGGGGAGTGGTTGTGAGGGTGGAGTATAATCGGGCGGGTAGGCCTCTGGCAGGGGCGGGGGAGGTGTGGCTGCATGCAGGGGTGAATGGGTGGCAGGGCGGCGTATCTGTTGTGGAGAAACTGGAGCCTGTTACTAACGAGGATGGCGAGTGGTGGGGTGTGGAAGGTGCGTGGTTGGTTGTGGGCATCAGAGTATAGACAGAAACTTTCTGAATGCATTGCAGGCTGCCTTCCTGCCCCATATGCGATCACTCTGCCTCCCGGCACATGCACTCACTTTATACCCTGTTAGCCTCTCACTCTTCCCTCGTTCACTTTTCCACCCAATTTTGCCCCATGTGCATTCACTTCCCCTGTTTGCGGATGGGTTGGTGAGGAGAGCAGGTGCGCGGGACAATAACAGCAGCAAGACGTTTCCCCCTATGACCCCCTCCCTCCTTCCCTATCCCCTCCTCACAGTCTCTCTACCCTGGGACGCAGTGGCACTCAACTGGGTGTTTGAGGATGGGCTGGTGGGGAAAGCAGGCGTATGGGACAACAACAGCCACAAGACCTTGCCTATTCCTCTTCCCCTATCCCTGTTCCCCTACCCCCTCCTCACAGTCTCTCTACCCTGGGACGCAGTGGCACTCAACTGGGTGTTTGCGGATGGGCTGGTGGGGAAAGCAGGCGTATGGGACAACAACAGCCACAAGACCTTGCCTATTCCTCTTCCCCTATCCCTGTTCCCCTATCCCCTCCTCACAGTCTCTCTACCCTGGGACGCAGTGGCACTCAACTGGGTGTTTGCGGATGGGCTGGTGGGGAAAGCAGGCGTATGGGACAACAACAGCCACAAGACCTTGCCTATTCCTCTTCCCCTATCCCTGTTCCCCTATCCCCTCCTCACAGTCTCTCTACCTTGGGACGCAGTGGCACTCAACTGGGTGTTTGCGGATGGGCTGGTGGGGAAAGCAGGCGTATGGGACAACAACAGCCACAAGACCTTGCCTATTCCTCTTCCCCTATCCCTGTTCCCCTATCCCCTCCTCACAGTCTCTCTACCCTGGGACGCAGTGGCACTCAACTGGGTGTTTGCGGATGGGCTGGTGGGGAAAGCAGGCGTATGGGACAACAACAGCCACAAGACCTTGCCTATTCCTCTTCCCCTATCCCTTTCTCCTATCCCCTCAACACAGTCTCTCTACCCCGGGACGCAGTGGCGCTCAACTGGGTGTTTGCAGACGGGCCGGTGGGGACAGCGGGCGTGTGGGACAACAACAGCCGGCGGGACTTTGCTGGGCGGGTTGGCAGCGCGGAGCGCATCGAGGCTCTGTTTGCAGGGATGGCGGCGGAGTGCCTGCAGCGACTGGAGCAGGAGAGGGAGGAAAGGGACGCGAAAGAGGCTGAGGAGGTGAGTATAACAGAGAGTATTGAGGCTTTGTTTGAGTGCATGGAGTCGGAGTGTTTGCATCGTCTGGAGCAGGAGAGGGAGGAAAGGGACGCGAAAGAGGCTGAGGAGGTGAGTGGAAATGGGGGTTTTGGGGCAGGGAGTTGTGGGAAGGATTGAGGCTTTGTTTGTGGGCATGGAAGCTAAGTGTCTGCTCTGCTGCGACTGGAGCAGGAGAGGGAGGAGCAGGACGCGAAAAAGGCTGAGGAGGTGAGAGGAGAGGGGGAATGGGGGATGTTCATTCATGCATGTCCTTGCTTCACACACCACGCCCGCCTGTCGCGCCTCTCACCTCGCTCGCTCACTGCAGGCAATGCGGCGTAAGGAAGTTAAAGCAGCCATGAAGGCTCGTATCAAATCAGTGTTCCTGCAGTCCCAGGCACACGCGTCCTTCTCCGAGCCAGCAGAGCCAACCCTCCATCCCCCCTCCCTCGTCCCGATTGCTCACTTCAGGCAGCTAGGCGTGCGGAAATCAAAGCAGCCATGAAGGCTCGCACCAAGGCAGTGTTCCTGCAGTCGCAGGCACACGTGTTCTTCACTGAGCCAGCAGAGCCAAGAGCAGGGGAGGCAGTGCGTGTGTACTACAACCCCAGCGGCACGGCACTGCAGGGCCGGGAGTGTGTGTGGATGCGCGGGTCGTTCAACCGCTGGACCCACCGCTCGGGGTGCTTCCTGCCCATCCTGATGGAGCCTGCTGACAATGGCACCCACCTCGTGGCTGAAGGTGAGGAGGAGTATGGGGAGAGGGGGAGTGCAGGGATCAGGGGCAGGGAGTTTGCGAGAGGTGGCATTGAGCGCAGGGAAAAGGCAGTGCGCGTGTATTACAATCCCAGCAGCACGGCGCTGCAGGGAAGGGAGAAAGTGTGGTGTAAATGCGCGGGTCGTTCAACCGCTGGACCCACCGCTCGGGGTGCTTCCCGCCCATTCTCATGGAGCCTGCTGACAACGGCACACATCTCGTTGCTGAAGGTGAGGAGGAGTATGGGGAGAGGGGTGAAGTCCGTTGGCTAGAGGCCTATGTGATATCAACCAGGGACCTCCATCGCTCGGTGTGCGTCCTGCCGATTCACATGCTCGGGCGTCTTTATGGACAGCACCCCTCTTGTCCCTGACTGCCCTCCTTGCTCCGTAGTTGCTCAACACTCTCCACTCTTCACTCTCCACTCTCGGCTATCTTCCCTCTGGCTCCACCCATCTTCCCACCAGTTCTTGTGCCCCAGGATGCATACATAATGGACCTGGTCTTCATGGACAGCAGCGACCCCACCACGGCAACGTACGACAACCGGGGAGGGCTGGACTACCATGTGCCTGTGGCGGGCAGCACTGTGAGGGAGCCGCCCCTCTACATCGTGCATGTGGCGCTGGAGATGGCGCCTGTTGCCAAGGTGAGAGGGAGGGCAGGGTGGAGGAGGGCAGGGGTGGTTGGGGGTGGAAGAAGGGGGAAGGGGGAACTACCATGGACAGCAGTGACCCCACCACGGCAACGTACGACAACCGGGGAGGGCTGGACTACCATGTACCCGTGGCTGGCAGCACTGTGAGGGAGCCGCCACTGTACATTGTCCACGTGGCTCTTGAAATGGCACCCGTCGCCAAGGTGAGGGGGAGGGAGGGTGGGATTGGGTGGAGGGATGGGGGAGAGACTACCATATGGTTAGCAGTGACCCCTCTACGGCGAGGACTGGACTGGTAGCACAGTCAGGGAGCCGCCTCTGTACATCGTGCATGTTGCTCTTGAGATGGCACCCGTCGCCAAGGTGAAGGGGGGGAAGGCGGGGTTGAGGTTGGGTGGAGGGAGAGGGGGCTGGTGGAGCTGGACTACCATGTGCCCGTGGCTGGCAGCACTGTGATGTGAGGGAGCCGCCACTGTACATTGTCCACGTGGCTCTTGAGATGGCACCCGTTGCCATGCCAAGGTGAGAGTGGGGGAAGAGGGACATGGGAGGGGTGGGGGAAGAAACGGGTCTATGAGGGGTGGGGGGGAAGAGAAGGTGTAAGAGGGAGCTGTTCGGAGAATCAGTTGCTGCCAGAGAAGGAGAAAGCCGCCTGAGAGGGGCGGACAGAACGGAACAATTCACCAGTTCAATGCACCGGAACAATTCACCAGTTCAATGCACCGGAACAATTCACCAGTTCAATGCACCGGAACAATTCACCAGTTCAATGCACCGGAACAATTCACCAGTTCAATGCACCGGAACAATTCACCAGTTCAATGCACCGGAACAATTCACCAGTTCAATGCACCGGAACAATTCACCAGTTCAATGCACCGGAACAATTCACCAGTTCAATGCACCGGAACAATTCACCAGTTCAATGCACCGGAACAATTCACCAGTTCAATGCACCGGAACAATTCACCAGTTCAATGCACCGGAACAATTCACCAGTTCAATGCACCGGAACAATTCACCAGTTCAATGCACCGGAACAATTCACCAGTTCAATGCACCGGAACAATTCACCAGTTCAATGCACCGGAACAATTCACCAGTTCAATGCACCGGAACAATTCACCAGTTCAATGCACCGGAACAATTCACCAGTTCAATGCACCGGAACAATTCACCAGTTCAATGCACCGGAACAATTCACCAGTTCAATGCACCGGAACAATTCACCAGTTCAATGCACCGGAACAATTCACCAGTTCAATGCACCGGAACAATTCACCAGTTCAATGCACCGGAACAATTCACCAGTTCAATGCACCGGAACAATTCACCAGTTCAATGCACCGGAACAATTCACCAGTTCAATGCACCGGAACAATTCACCAGTTCAATGCACCGGAACAATTCACCAGTTCAATGCACCGGAACAATTCACCAGTTCAATGCACCGGAACAATTCACCAGTTCAATGCACCGGAACAATTCACCAGTTCAATGCACCGGAACAATTCACCAGTTCAATGCACCGGAACAATTCACCAGTTCAATGCACCGGAACAATTCACCAGTTCAATGCACCGGAACAATTCACCAGTTCAATGCACCGGAACAATTCACCAGTTCAATGCACCGGAACAATTCACCAGTTCAATGCACCGGAACAATTCACCAGTTCAATGCACCGGAACAATTCACCAGTTCAATGCACCGGAACAATTCACCAGTTCAATGCACCGGAACAATTCACCAGTTCAATGCACCGGAACAATTCACCAGTTCAATGCACCGGAACAATTCACCAGTTCAATGCACCGGAACAATTCACCAGTTCAATGCACCGGAACAATTCACCAGTTCAATGCACCACAACAATTCACCAGTTCAATGCACCGGAACAATTCACCAGTTCAATGCACCGGAACAATTCACCAGTTCAATGCACCGGAACAATTCACCAGTTCAATGCACCGGAACAATTCACCAGTTCAATGCACCGGAACAATTCACCAGTTCAATGCACCGGAACAATTCACCAGTTCAATGCACCGGAACAATTCACCAGTTCAATGCACCGGAACAATTCACCAGTTCAATGCACCGGAACAATTCACCAGTTCAATGCACCGGAACAATTCACCAGTTCAATGCACCGGAACAATTCACCAGTTCAATGCACCGGAACAATTCACCAGTTCAATGCACCGGAACAATTCACCAGTTCAATGCACCGGAACAATTCACCAGTTCAATGCACCGGAACAATTCACCAGTTCAATGCACCGGAACAATTCACCAGTTCAATGCACCGGAACAATTCACCAGTTCAATGCACCGGAACAATTCACCAGTTCAATGCACCGGAACAATTCACCAGTTCAATGCACCGGAACAATTCACCAGTTCAATGCACCGGAACAATTCACCAGTTCAATGCACCGGAACAATTCACCAGTTCAATGCACCGGAACAATTCACCAGTTCAATGCACCGGAACAATTCACCAGTTCAATGCACCGGAACAATTCACCAGTTCAATGCACCGGAACAATTCACCAGTTCAATGCACCGGAACAATACACTAAGTATGTCATCAGGCTGTGACGCCCTCATGCCTTCCTTTCCTCCAATGGACCATCCCCTCTCTTCCATACCACCTCTCCATGCCACCAGGTGGGGGGTCTGGGAGATGTGGTCACATCACTGTCGCGAGCCACAATGGAGCTGGGCCACCGCGTGGAGGTGGTGCTGCCTAAGTACGACTGCCTCAAGTATGACCAGGTGAGGCGAGAGTTTGGGGTCCTGGGGCTCAGTGCGCTTGGACTACAGCTAGGGTTCGAGGTGCCGAGTAGTACAGTGCGAGTTGACTATTGAGTTGACTATTGAGTAGCAATTTCCCTGTGGGGTGCTGTACAAGTTCTCAGATTCCTGTTTATCCCACGCACCACACCCTTACTCTCCCGTCTCGCACCGGCAGGTGCAAGGGCTTGAAGCAAGGGGCGATTTTCTGTGGGGCAGTACGCGGTGGCTGGTGTGGCATGGCCGTGTGGAGGGCATTCCTGTTCACTTCCTCGAGCCGGAGAGCGGGTGAGTGCGTGCATGGCTCCCCTTGTGTGCTTCAGTAACTTGCCCTGGTCGTCTGGGTCCCCCCCTCTCTCTTGCGGTGGCTGGTGTGGCATGGCCGTGTGGAGGGCATTCCTGTTCAGTTCCTCGAGCCGGAGAGCGGGTGAGTCACAACTAATCTTGTTTGGTGAGCTGGAGAGGTGTGTGACGCCTCCCTGTGTTCTGTAGCCTGAATAGGGTCGAGTCATAACTTCACTCTGCGTCTATGATTGACCATACAGAGGATACAAACGTTTTTTTATTTACAATTCTTAATTCTTTGTTCTTGTGTGTGTGTGTGTGTGTGTGTGTGTGTGTGTGAGAGAGAGAGAGAGAGAGAGAGAGAGAGAGAGAGAGAGAGAGAGAGAGAGAGTGTGCGTGCGTGCGTGCGTGTGCGTGTGCACGTGGGCGTGTGCATGGGCGAGCGCGTGCGTGTGCGTGTGCGTGTGCGTGTGCGTGTGCGTGTGTGTGTGTGTGTGTGTGTGTGTGTGCGTGCGTGCGTGCGTGTGTGTGTGTGTGTGTGTGTGTGTGTGCGTGCGTGCGTGCGTGTGTGTGTGTTTGTCTGTGTGTTTGTGCGTGCTTTGTTTCCTGCACATCCCCGTCTTCTCCTTCATGCGTCAGGCTGTTCTGGGTGGGGTGCATCTATGGCCGCAAGGACGACGCCGCCCGCTTCGGCACCTTCTGCCATGCAGCCCTCGAGTTCCTGCTGCAGACAGGCCGCTCGCCGGTATGCACTGAACATCCTCCTTCTACTGTCGTCTAGGTCATTGCCCCTCATGCCCCCTGCACTAACGGGCACTGGGCCAATACTGGGGAGCGGCCCTTCTCTTTCTGCACTAGGGATGAGCAAGGGGCGAACACGAACGTGTTCGCGTTCGCCCATGCACGAACACCCCTGTTCGGCGAACCGAACACTGTTCGGTTCGGCGAACACCTTAAGCAAAAACAGGTGTTCGCCGTTCGCCTATGAAGGCGTGTTCGGGCGAACCTCGAACACGTTCGTGTTCGTCTAGGGGCAAATTGCAGCAGCGGCCCGAACACGAACGTGTTCGGGCGAACATCGAACACTGTTCGGCGAACGATTTAAGCCAAAAAAATTAACCTGTTCGGTTCGCCTCGAACACGTTCGAGGCGAACCGAACAGGTGTTCGTTTTTTTGCTCAACCTTGTTCTGCACTATCCAGCTGCTCCCCAGTGCGCCCCGCATGCCATGGTGCACACGCTGCTCCCCGCTTTCTAAAATCTTTGATACACAGCCGTTGAGTTCTTGCCTTTTGAGTTTACTAAAAAAGGTGACTCTAGTCGACTCAGAAATCACTGCTCCCCAATAGAGTTCAAGAACTTATGTCACGCAGTCCATGAGTTCTTGTTACGACGACCACCTCTTGCCTCTCCTCGTTTCCTCTCCTATTCCCTCTCTCACAGACTCACAGTCACTTGCTGCTGAGAATGCAAATCTCTTTTCTCCCCTCTCAACCCCTCCCAGGACCTCTTGCATTGCCACGACTGGTCGTCAGCACCAGTGGCATGGCTACAGACGAAGCAGTACATCGGGTACAAGGTAGGCAATGCCTCACGTGTTGTGTCCCTTCCCCACTCCGTCTCCCCCCTCTCCCCCCTTCTTTCAGGACCTCTTGCATTGCCACGACTGGTCGTCAGCGCCAGTGGCATGGCTGCAGAGGGAGCAGTACAGCGGGTACAGAATGGGAAATTCAGCCTATCACATGCTCCCTTCCCCCATCTCCCTCCCCGTTCTCCTGCCCCGAACTCCCCCCCCCCCCACTCAGGACCTCCTGCATTGCCATGACTGGTCATCAGCGCCAGTGGCATGGCTGCAGAGGGAGCAGTACAGCGGGTACGGAGGGGGCAACGCCCGCACGGTGTTCACCATTCACAACCTTGAGTTCGGGCAGGACATGATTGGCCGCGCCATGGCTGCATGTGATCTGGCCACCACTGTGAGTGCTCATACTCTCCGTTGTGTGTGTTCTTGTGGACTGTTGAGCATGACTGGGTGGGGAATGTGACCGCACTGACTAAAGGAGGGGGCAACACTCGCACGGTGTTCTCAACATCCATAATCTCGAGTTCGGGCAGGACATGATTGGCCGCGCCAAGGCTGCATGTGACATGGCCACTACTGTGAGTGCTCTGTGGCTGTCAGTGTGTCTGGCACTGTGGACCGTGGCTGTAGGGAATGAGTGGGGGCAATGCAAGGGACAGGTGGGCTGTGGCACGCACGGTGTTCACCATTCACAACCTTGAGTTCGGGCAGGACATGATTGGCCGCGCCATGGCTGCATGTGACATGGCCACTACTGTGAGTGCTCTGTGCTGTCTGTGTGTGTTGCGCAGTAGGGAGAGTGATTCTAGAGAAAGGGGCAATATACGCGATAGCTGTGCTATGGCATGCACAGTGTTCGGGCAGGCCATGATTGGCCGCGCCATGGCTGCCTGTGATCTGGCCACCACTGTGAGTGCGATGTGGGATGTCGCGTGTGGGAGTGGAGCAAATGTGACTGGTGTGAGCGTGGCTGCTGTGAGCGTGGCTGTTGCTCTAAACAGTGGTGGCATTGGAAGCCTTACAATTTCTGCTCTCATCATTCCCTCCTGTTATTGTGAATGTGACGTAGAACATATGCTGCTGCGGAGTGACTCGCCCCGAAACACATGTCAACGAAGCAGGTGGGCATGCAGTTGTGGCATGTCAAGCGATACATTTTCTCTTGTGCTCCCCTCTTCTCCAGGTGTCACCCACATATGCAGCGGAGATCAGTGGGCATCCGGCAGTGGCGGCACACAGGGGGAAGTTCCACGGCATTCTCAATGGCATCGACCCTGACCTGTGGGACCCCATGGGCGACCCCTTCCTGCCGGTGAGTGCTGTTGTGAGTGCTGCTGTGCCACACGACACGATGCCATGCCATGTTATTCTGTCCCATGCCATGCCATGGATGTCATGCCATGCCATGTGTAGCATGTCGTTTCTAGCCGACAAGTTCCACGTCATGCCGCTTATCTCATGATAAGCGAATAGTAAGAACGCCATTTACCCCACTGAGGACCGCCTGCTAGTGGGAATACTGAAGCGGCTGACTGATTAAAGGACATTCCAGCACCCTTTGCCTTCCCCAACCCGTCCCAGTCTGCTTCTTGTTTCCTGTACTGACCATGCTCAACCCATCCCCATATGAAGTACTCCTCTCCAGAGGTCGTGGAGGGCGAGCAGGCAGCCAAGGCAGAGCTCCGTGTGTGCCTCAATCTCCGCTCTTTTGCTCCCTCCGAGGACCTTCCCCTGGTGGGGATAGTGACGCGCCTGACAGCGCAGAAGGGCATCGCGCTCATCAAGCACGCCCTCTTTCCTTTCCCCACCCTGTCCCCGTCCCTGTCCCCGCTGCTTCTTGTTTCCTTCACTTCCCGTCCGCGCTCCATCCTCAGTTGAAGTATTCTTCTGCAGAGGTCGTGGAGGGTAAGCAGGTAGCCAAGGCCGAACTCCACACGCGTCTCGACCAACCTGCACTCCTTCCCTCCAGCCGAGGACCGCCCCCTGGTGGGCATACTGTCGCGCCTGACAGCACACAAGGGCATCGCGCTCATCAAGCACGCCCTCTTTCCAGTCCTCTGCTCCTTGTTCCATGTTTTCCCATCCCCACCCCCGCCCCAGATGAAGTACTCTTCCGCTGAAGTGGTTGAGGGCAAGCAGGCAGCCAAGGCCGAACTTCGCAACCGCCTCAACCTGCGCTCCTTCTCCCCTTCAGAGGACCGCCCCCTGGTGGGGATAGTGTCGCGCCTGACAGCACAGAAAGGCATAGCGCTCATCAAGCACGCGCTGTGGCGCACGTTGGACAGGGGCGGCCAGGTGGTGCTGCTGGGGTCCGCCCCTGATGGGCGCGTGCAGGGCGAGTTCGAGGCATTGGCACGTGACTTGGGACGCTCTCATGGAGATATGGCACGTCTCTGGCTGACCTATGATGAACCGCTTTCACATCTGGTGAGTGCCTCGCCAGGGTCAGTGTGTGTGACTGTGCGCTGATCAAGCACGCCCTGTGGCGCACGCAGGAGAGAGGGGCGGCTGGGTGGTGCTGCTGGGGTCGGCCCCTGACGGGCGCGTGCAGGGCGAGTTTGAGGCTCTTGCGAGGGATCTGGGGCGGTTGCATGGGGATATGGCACGGCTGTGGCTGACAGACGACGAGCCATTGTCACACCTGGTGAGTGCGTGCGGAGGAAGGCTGTGTGGGTGACCATGCCGCCAGTGTGTCTGGGGAGAAAGGATTTCCAGCTCCCCCGCTCCCCAACCTTCACTTCCCTTTCTCCTTCCCCCCTCTCCCCCCAACCTTCACTTTCCCACAGATCTACGCCGCCAGTGACATGATTCTCGTCCCATCCATCTTTGAGCCGTGCGGGCTCACGCAGCTGGTTGCAATGCGGTACGGAGCGGTGCCAGTGGTGCGGAAGACGGGCGGGCTGAGGGACACGGTGATGGACGTGGACAGTGAGGAGGACCGGAAGAGAGCAGCAGAGAGGGGCATGGAGCCCAATGGGTTCTCCTTTGAAGGGGCTGATGCTGCTGGGGTTGACTATGCCCTCAACAGGTGCGATCCTTTCTAGTGGGCGGGCAGGGCAGTATAGTGTGTGGATCTAATGGGTGTGATTCCAATGTGCTTTTGGTGGGCGGGACTGTAGTGGGTATGCTGTGAGCAAATGGGCTGAGGGACACAGTGATGGACGTGGACAGTGAGGAGGACAGGCGGAGGGTGGCAGAGAGGGGCGTGGCGCCCAACGGGTTTTCATTCAAAGGGGCTGATGCTGCCGGGGTTGACTATGCCCTCAACAGGTGGGTTTCCAGTGAGCGGGACTCTAGTGGGAGTGGTTCCAGTGGGTGCAATTCCTACGTGCTTTCGGTGGGTATTCTTCCATGGGTATGCATGTAGCGCGAGTGGGCTGAGGGACACGGTGATGGACGTGGACAGTGAGGAGGACAGGCGGAGGGTGGCAGAGAGGGGCATGGAGCCCAATGGGTTCTCCTTTGAAGGGGCTGATGCTGCTGGCGTTGACTATGCCCTCAACAGGCCGGCTGCTAGTGTTTGTGATTTTCCAAGGTATGCTTCAACTGTATGTTCCATCGCATTGAAATTGTACACCTCTTCTTCCCCCCTCCCCATCCCCCTCTATCTCTCCCTCTCCATGGCCGTCAGGGCAATCTCGGGGTGGTACGATGGGAGGGAGTGGTGGCAGGGGTTGGCAAAGAGGGTCATGGAGCAGGACTGGACGTGGAACCGGCCCGCTCTCGATTACCTCGAGCTCTACTATGGTGCTCGCAAGTAGGACATGCCTTAGCTCAAATTGCACCTGGCAAGGCGAGTCATGGAGCAGGACTGGACGTCGAACCACCCCGCTCTTGATTACCTCGAGCTCTACTATGGTGCTCGGATAGTCAGTGTGAAGTGCCTTCTGGTGGTAGGACATGCCTCGGCTTGGCTCAGATTGTGCTTGGCAAGACGAGTTTTGGAGCAGGACTGGACGTGGAACCGGCCAGCACTTTCGTGCTCGCAAGTAGTTGGCGAAAACCTCAAGTGCTTTTCTGATGGTAGGACATGCCGCGGCTCGGCTCGGCTCGGCTCGGCTCGGCTCGGCTCGGCTCGGCTCGGCTCGGCTCGGCCCGGCTCGGCTCGGCTCGGCTTGGCTGGAATTACGCTCGAATTCGGCGGGCGGGTGAATGATTGAGCAGGACTAGACATGGAATCGGCCTGCTCTCATCTGCCTTGAACTACTACCGTATAATGCTCGGAAGTAGGCGGTGTGACGTGTTAGAATTATACATTGTAGCATGCTAAGCACATGTGACTGTACACCAATTGTGGTGTACAGTTGGGTTGGGACTACACCCAACATTGGGTGTAGCCTTGCACTTTGGGGTGCCAATCCACCCAATTGTGGTGGAGCCCCCAAATTGCAACCCTCTTGACTTTTGGGTACCTCACTTCACAATTGAGGCCACCACAAGCCAAGTGGGCCTAGGGTTGCCACACTTCTTAGAAGTGTGGGCAACCCAACCCACCCACCTTTGGTTGCCTCACTTCCCAAAGTGAGGCCAACCCAACCATAGGTTGGGTTCCTCCTTCCCTTCCAAGCTTCTCTTCCCAAACTATGTATGTTAGGTTTGCTCTCTAATGAGATCACTTGTTCAATTCACATCTTTCACATGGTATAGAGCTAGTTGTTCCTCAAACCTTAACTCTCCCTCCCTCAAGTTTTTTTTTTTTTCCTATGGGCCCACCCCACATCCACAATTTCCCTCCTACATTTAGCTCGACCTAGCATACTCTAGCAAGCGCATCGCCACCTCCTCCCCTAGCCGTCGCGGCCATCCCGCCGCGCCGTCTCCTCCCCTCGCCGCCGTGGCCATTTCGCCGCCGCCGCCTCCTCCCCTCGTCGCCGCGACCGATTCCGCCGCCGCCGCCTCCTCCCCTCTCCGTCGCGGCCGTTCCGTCGCCACCGCCTCCTCCCGTCACCGCCGCGGCCGATTCCGCCGCTGCCGCCTCCTCCCGTTGCTGCCGCGGCCGATTCCGCCGCCGCCGCCTCCTCCCCTCGCCGCCGCGGCCGATTCCGCCGCCGCCGCCTCCTCCCTTCGCCGCCGCGGCCACTTCCGCCGCCACCGCCTCCTCCCCTCGCCGCCGCGGCCGATTCCGCCGCCGCCGCCTCCTCCCGTCGCCGCCGCGGCCGATTCCGCCGCCGCCGCCTCCTCCCGTTGCTGCCGCGGCCGATTCCGCCGCCGCCGCCTCCTCCCCTCGCCGCTGCGGCCGATTCCGCCGCCGCCGCCTCCTCCCTTCGCCGCCGCGGCCACTTCCGCCGCCGCCGCCTCCTCCCTTCGCCGCCGCGGCCGATTCCGCCGCCGCCGCCTCCTCCCCTCGCCGCTGCGGCCGATTCCGCCGCCGCCGCCTCTTCCCTTCGCCGCCGCGGCCACTTCCGCCGCCGCCGCCTCCTCCCTTCGCCACCGCGGCCGATTCCGCCGCCGCCGCCTCCTCCCCTCTCCGTCGCGGCCAATTCCGCCGCCGCCGCCTCCTCCTTTCGCCGCCGCGGCCGTTTCCGCCGCCGCCGCCTCCTCCCCTCGCCGCCGCGGCCGATTCCGACGCCGCCGCCCCCCCTCCCTTTGCCGCCGCGGCCACTTCCGCCGCCGCGGCCACTCCCCCCGCCGCCGCCTCCTCCCCTCGTCCCCGCGGCCGCTTCCGCCGCCGCCGCCTCCTCCCCTCGTCGTCGCCTCTCTCACACCGTCGCCGCCTGCGCCTCCCGCCGCGGCGCCCACTTCCTCCCCCTTCCCCTTCTCCCCCCCCCTCGGCAGCAGCGGCAGCAGCGGCAGCAGCGGCAGCAACGGCAGCAGCGGCAGCAGCGGCACCAGAGGCAGCAGCAACAGCAGCTGGAGCAGAGCTCCATCCTCCTGCAGCAGCACCTCCCCCCTCCCCCCCCTGTTGGCCGCCGCGGGTCCACCCGCCGTCGCCCTCCTCCTTGACCGCCGCGGGTCCACCCGCCGTCGTCCCCCTCGAGGCCGCCGCGGGTCCACCCGCCGTCGCCCCTCATGGATACCACTCCTCCCCCTCTTCCCCCTCCCATTGACGCCTCCTCCGTCGACAAGCTCCAACTTGCCGCGGACCGCTCGGCGATCAATTGGCACTCCTTCGTCGGGAGCATCCGCCGCGTTCTTCAGGACGCATTCGTCGGACCCTACTGCGTCCTCGACGTCCTCCTCCGCCGCCCGCAAGCTCTCCAGCCCACGGCACCCAGTCACCCCGGCGAACCCCCTCCACCCCCCGATCCTCCTGGCCCTCCTCCTTCTGAACCCACCTTGGAGATCGCCACTACCCCAGCGCTCCAGAGTGCCGCCGATGCCACCTTCCTCCATGACCGCCGCGAGTACCTCATCCGCAAGGCAGAGCACGAGGTCGCAGTCCACCATCACGACTTCGCAGTAGCGGAACGCGCCAACCGCCTGGCGCTCCTCGATGAGTACAACACGGCCATGGCAGACTACCTCCCCAAGAGCATTGCATGGGCCGCTGCTGACAACCGCGCCTGCACCATCCTCCTCGGCGCACTCCCTGATACCCTCATGCGCCGTTTCCAGGCTCGGGAGATGCGCGCCTCCCTCATCTGGGCCGAGCTCCAGGCAATGTTCGAGCGCCGCGACATCAGCTCTGTCGGCGCCCTGTTCCAGGAGTACTTCTCCATCACCCTCGCTACCTGTGACGGCGCAGTTGACTACGTGGGGCGCATGCAGGAGGTCGCTGACCGCCTTGCTGCACGCCAAGCTGCCCTCCCCGAGCCACTGCAAATCCACCGCCTCCTCTACAACCTCACCCCGGACTACGAGTCCCGCCTCCATGCCTTCACTGAAGCGAACGCCATGGCCGGCCTCAACGACGTGGTCCAATGGATCATCGACACGGAGGTCAAGCTCCGCACCCCCGTTGTCAACCTCACCACCCCTCAGCCCTCCTCCTCCAGCTCCCTCAATGCTACGCAACCGCGCAACCAGGGTGGTCGCAGCGGTGGCGGTGGAGGCCGTGGAGCGGGTGGTGGTGGTGGAGGTCGTGGCGGTAGTGGTGGTGGTGGCGGTAGCCGTGGTGGCCGTGGCGGAGGTGGTGGTGGTGCTAGCAGTACCTCTGCTGGAGGACCGTCCGGTGCTAGTGGTGCTGTGACTCGAGGCGCTCGCCCTGGCACTCTCCCCCCATGCACGTATGTGCGCCGCCATGGTCCCCATGCTGGTACCCCTTGCGGCCAAACCAACCATCCCCCCAGCACGTGCTTCAAGGCGCTCGACGACGCCTGGTTTGACCGAGGTAACACTGGCGCTCCTCCTCGCTGGAACACTGTCACCCCTCGCCCCTCCCTGGTGGATGTTCAAACCCTCCCATCTTTCCTTCCTGCTCACCTCCGCCTGGTTAGCCCCTCCCAGCCTTCCCAGCTGCAGCAATTCCAGCAGCACCAGCAGCAGCAGCATCAGTACTTCCAGCAGCAGCAGCAGCAGCCGCAGTTTCTCCAGCCGCAGCAGCCGCCGCCGCCGCATTTCTTCCAACCGCCGCCGCAGCAGCAGCAGCAGTTCCTTCCCCCGTACTGGCAGCAGCAGCCACTGACCTTCGGCACGGCGGCTACGGCCGCCCATGCCTCCCTTGCTCCCCCCCCTCCCTGAGGTTCCCTCCCCTCTGCCCCCCCAAGTGTCCCCGACACTTCGGGCAGTTTCCTCGGTAATGTCAGTATTGCACCATCCGTCGCTTCCATGTATCCCTCTGCTATCAATGAAACTTCTTTCCAGTACCCCGTGTCACCTCCTCCTCCTTCCTCCCCCACCCTGGACTTCGTCCTTGATAGTGGGGCCACTGAAACCGCACTAAAAGACGCAGGTACTCTCACCCCCCTTCCACTTCCCACTCAGGTTCATGGAGCTGATTCCAGTTTTTCCATCCCTTGCACTCATCTCTCCACCCTCCCCTGCACTGCCTTCCCCTCCGGTAAAGTCACAGGCCTCCACATCCCCACTCTCCGCAACAACCTCATCTCCCACCGTGAGCTCCAAGGTGTTGGTATCACTGCCATCTACCCTGGTTATGCCAATTACTGTGACCTCTACCAAACTTCGTCTGGCCGCTTCCTCCTCCGCATCCCACTCTGCCCTCGCACTCGCCTCTACACACTCCGCACACCTCGCCCATCCTATTGCCACGTCACCACCCGTGCTGGTACTTCCACCGGTCCACCCCCCCCTCCTTTACTTCCCCCCTCCCCTCCCCCTCAGGTATCCTCTCCTTCCCCGCCATCCTCCTCCTCCCCTCCCGTCCCCTCCATCACCCCATCTCCCTCCTCCTCCACTACCCTCTCGCACCCTGCCGTTCTCTTACACCACAGACTCGACCATCCCAACTTCACCGCCCTTCGCACGACAGTCACCTCCCGCCTCCTCCGCAGCCTTCCTCCCGTCTTACCCCCACTTCCCTCCTCCCCCTCTCCCCCATGCCCTTCATGCATTCACGGCAAGCTCAAGCAGTCACCCCACCACAGTCATCCCACCTTCGCCGCCGCCCCCATCGACCTTGTCCACATGGACCTCTGGGGCCCCTATCCCATCCGCTCCCGCCAGGGGCACCGGTACATGCTCGTCCTCGTTGACGACCACAGCCGGTACTCCACCACCTTCTTTCTTCACACGAAAGACCAGGTGCCGGCAGTGGTCATCAACTGGGCCGAGCTGTGCCGCAATCACTTCAAACGCCCCATTGGCCGCCTTCACTCTGACGGTGGGGGTGAGTTCATCAATAACACTCTCGCCTCATACTGCAAAACCTACGGCATCCAACAGACCTCCACTCTTCCCCACTCCCCTCAGCAGAACGGCATTGCCGAGAGCCGCATTCGTGAGATCACCAAGATAGCTCGCTGTCTCATTGCTCATGCCTCCACCCCGCCTTCCCTCTGGAGCTATGCCCTCCTCCACGCCGCCCTTCTCCTTAATCTCCGCTCCCATCCTCAGCACCCTTCCTCCTCCCCCACAGAGCTTTGGTCCAACACCAAACCTGACGCTGCCGGCCTTCGAGTCTGGGGTTGCAATGCCTACGTTCTCATTCCACCCGCCGATCGCTCCTGCGCCGCTGGCAAACTTGCTCCTCGTGCCCTGGAATGTGTTTACCTTGGGCACAACCGCGACTCCCCAGGCTACCTCTTCCTCCACCCTCCCACCAATCGCCTCATCCGCAGCAGCGACATCGTCTTCGACGAGTCCATCCCCTATTACTCCACTCCTCCCCCTGACCCTCTCCCTCCTCCTACTCGCCCTCTCGCCTGGACCGATACCGTCCTCCTGCCTCTCCTCCCCCCCGCTCCCCTCCTCCCACCTGTCGCCGCTCCACTCCCGCCTCCCTCCTCTGCCGACGTCTACAACCCCGCTGCACCTGCCTCTCCCGCCCACTCAGCTGCACCCCCTCCCTCCCCTCCCTCCTCCCATCACTCTCCCGCCCTTCCGCAGCAGCAGCAGCAGCCGGACCAGCAGCAGCAGCAGCAGCCGGGGCAGCAGCAGCAGCAGCCGGGATGGCAGCAGCAGCAGCAGCCGGGGTGGCAGCAGCAGCAGCCGGGGTGGCAGCAGCAGCAGCCGGTGCAGCAGCAGCAGCAGCCGGTGCAGCAGCAGCAGCAGCAGCAGCAGCAGCAGCAGCAGCGGCAGCGGCAGCAGCAGCGGCAGCGGCGGCGGCGGCGGCGGCGGCGGCGGCGGCGGCGGCGGCGGCGGCGGCGGCGGCGGCGGCGGCGGCGGCGGCGGCGGCGGCGGCGGCGGCGGCGGCAGCGGCGGCAGCAGCAACAGCAGCAGCGGCCTCAGCAGGGGCAGCAACCCCCTCAGCTGCACCCCCTCCCTCCCCTCCCTCCTCCCATCACTCTCCCGCCCTTCCGCAGCAGCAGCAGCAGCCGGACCAGCAGCAGCAGCAGCAGCCGGGGCAGCAGCAGCAGCAGCCGGGATGGCAGCAGCAGCAGCAGCCGGGGTGGCAGCAGCAGCAGCCGGTGCAGCAGCAGCAGCAGCAGCAGCAGCAGCAGCAGCAGCAGCAGCAGCAGCAGCAGCAGCAGCAGCAGCAGCAGCAGCAGCAGCAGCAGCAGCAGCAGCAGCAGCAGCAGCAGCAACAACAGCAGCAGCAGCAGCAGCAACGGCAGCAGCAGCAGCAGCAGCAGCAGCAGCAGCGGCCTCAGCAGGGGCAGCAACCCCATCATCCGCAGCGTCAGCGCGCCACCTCCCGCTCCTCCCCCTTTCTCCTTCCCCGCATGCACACCCGTTCTCTGGATCCCATCCTTGGGACCCCTCCTCCTCCTTCCCTGCAACTCCTTGAGGACTCTCACGAGGAGTTCCTCACCATCCAGCAGCACACTCCATTCATAGCCGTCCTCTTTCTTGACTTCCTTGGCTTCCCCGTCCTCGGCGCCACCTCCACCCCCACCATCTTTACTCCCTCCACCTTCCAAGAGGCCATCACATGCCCTGACGCGGACAAGTGGATCGCAGCTATCTTCCAGGAGTGCGAGGCGTTTATCCGCAACGACTCCTTCGTCGACGTCCCCCTCCCTGACGATGCCAATCTTGTCGAGGGCAAGTGGGTCTTTCGGGTGAAGCAGCTGCCAGACGAGAAACCCGTCTACAAGGCCCGCTACTGCGCCAAGGGCTTTACCCAGACACATGGGGAGGACTTCTGGTTCACTTACGCCCCCACCGCCAAACCCCCCACCCTTCGCGCAACCCTCGACGTTGGTGCGCGTGATAACATGGAGATCGACTGCATGGACGTCTCCAATGCGTTCCTGCAGGGCGACCTGCATGATCGCATCTTCCTCCGCCGGCCACCCGGGTTCCACGCAGCCTTCCCTGAGAACACTGTCTGGCAGCTGCGTCGCCCTGTCTACGGCTTGAAGCAGGCGCCGCGCGAGTGGCATGCAAAGCTGGCTGCCACCTTAGGGTCACTCGGCTTCTCTCCCTCCCACTCCGACGCCAGCCTCTTCATCCGCTCCTCCCCTCGCCGCTTCTTCATCCTGGTGTACATGGACGACATGATCCTGCTCTCTGACACGAAGGCCGACATGGAGCAGATGAAGCAGTCTCTGCAACAGCGTCTCAAGTGCAAAGATCTTGGTGCCCTCACCAACTACCTGGGCATGGCCATCTCTCGTGACCGCTCTGCTCGCACCATCACCCTCTCCCAGTCCCACTACATCGGCCAAGTCTTGGAGAAGTTCAACATGACGCAGGCCAAGCCCATCTCCACCCCCCTCCCCTTCGGCCACCAACTCGCCCCACTCACCTCTCCCACCTCCTCCCCTCACCCCTATGCCGAGCTCGTTGGGTCCCTGATGTACGCGATGATGTGCACCCGCCCCGACCTCGCCTATCCCATCAGCGTGCTCGCTCGCTTCGTCGGCACCGGCCGCCACAGTGAGGAGCACTGGAAGGCGGCCAAGCGGGTCCTCCGCTACCTTCGAGGGACCAAGGACCTTGCCCTCACCCTTGGCGGTTCTTCCCCTCCTCTCCTCTCGGGCTTCAGCGACTCCTCCTGGGCCGACACGCAGCCGGACCGCCGCTCCTCCCAGGGCTACGGCTTCACCCTTGGCAGCGGCCTCATCAGCTGGCGCTCTACCCGCTCCTCCGCCATCTCTCTCTCCACCTGCGAGGCCGAGCTCTACGCCGGCACCATGGCCGCTCAGGAGTCCCGCTGGCTCTGCTTCCTCCTTGCCGAGCTTGGCGCTCCCCAGACGTGCCCCACTCTCTGGTGCGACAATGCCAGCACCATCCATCTCACTGAGGACCCTGTCTATCATGCCCGCTCCAAGCACATCGAACTTCGCTATTTCTTCATTCGCGAGCTTGTCCAGAAGGGTCTCATTGCCGTTCGCAAAATTGCGACCGAGGCCAACTTGGCCGACATTTTCACCAAGGCCCTCCTTCGCCCTGCGCACTCCGCTTTCCTCCGCCTCATCGGCCTTGCTCGCCCGGGCGCCCCTTGATTCAGGGGTTGTTCCCTCCTTGTGTTAGCATGCTAAGGGGTTGTGTTAGAATTATACATTGTAGCATGCTAAGCACATGTGACTGTACACCAATTGTGGTGTACAGTTGGGTTGGGACTACACCCAACATTGGGTGTAGCCTTGCACTTTGGGGTGCCAATCCACCCAATTGTGGTGGAGCCCCCAAATTGCAACCCTCTTGACTTTTGGGTACCTCACTTCACAATTGAGGCCACCACAAGCCAAGTGGGCCTAGGGTTGCCACACTTCTTAGAAGTGTGGGCAACCCAACCCACCCCACCTTGGTTGCCTCACTTCCCAAAGTGAGGCCAACCCAACCATAGGTTGGGTTCCTCCTTCCCTTCCAAGCTTCTCTTCCCAAACTATGTATGCTAGGTTTGCTCTCTAATGAGATCACTTGTTCAATTCACATCTTTCACATGACGGTGTCTTACTGGCAGTGCCTTGTGATGGTAGTACATGGCTCGGAGTGGCTGGGATTGCGTCTGGCAAGGGGGGGGCAGGATTAGATGTGGAAGTGCCCCGCTCTTACCGTAACTGGTACCTTCGGCTCAACAATGGCCCTTGGAATTTAGAGGGGAACTCGGTTATGTTATTGGTGCTCGGGCCTATAGAGTTGATGCTACCTATGGTGCTAGGAAATAGGGACACTCGTTGCGGTGATCGTTGCATATGGGGCGGGCCATCCCATCCAAAGTCACAGTCAGTTCCAGCAGCAGGTAGTAGGTAGCACACTACATGATTTGTTGCTACTAGGAGTGTAATATGACACGTTATGCAGCCATATGGTCGGGGTAGGGCAGTAGTAGGTACTGGTATATCCTGCTGCTTGTTAGTGCAGGGATACACTGGATTTGCTGGTAAAATACGGTATTCTAAGCTACTGTCTAGTCTGGTGTGTGAGGTTTGTGCTGCCAAATGATCCCTGTAGGCTGTATCCATGTACCTTTGGCAAACAGTGTAGTGAAGAAGCCACGCATTGCTGCTTTCACCTAAAGAAACCTCACTCCACATCAACTGATTTTGTGCATAGTATGCAAACCATCCAAGTTTCAGAACCCCTTTCAATTATACGGTACACTTTACAGGAGATACAGAACAACAATCACGCGTGTGAGACAGAATGTGTCACAGACAGCCCACATGAACACAAGCATCCCACTTCCAAAACACGTGCCTCTGGAAAATTTCCTGTGACGTATCAGCTTAGTAAAGCAACTATATTTCATCCTCCATGCGAAGATATTCTCCTGCACAAGTTGGAGGTGGGGGAGGGAAACGACAAATACGGGGAGATATATGGGATGGCGAGGAGGGGGATGGCGAGGTGGGCATACGGGGAGGGCAGGGCGGGCAGGGTTCGCAGGGTAGCAAGATACAATATTGATCCATACGATTCATATTGTGTTTGGCTGCATTGTGGTGGCGGGGTGTGTGTCTGCGGTGTGTCTGATGCGGTAAGGTGTGGTGTGGTGCAGTGCGGTGCATAGACTTAGCTTTATTCACGAGCCCCACCTGTGTCGGCCTGGTGGAAGACAACAATGGCGTTGGGGTCGAGCCACCGGCACTCCTGTGTGGTGCGTGTGTGATGACTCGTGGTTCAGTGCAGTGTGGTTCGAATGTGGTGACTTGCGGTGCAGAGTGGGTGAGGCATGCTACCTGTGTGCAGCCCCACCTTTATCAGCCTGGTGGAAGACCACAATGGCGTTGGGGTCGAGCCGCCGGCACTCCTGTGTGGTGCAGTTCAGGTATGGCGTGCCTTGAGGCTTAAGGTGCCTTGTGGTGCATTTCAGGTATGGCGTGCCTTGAGGCTTGAGGTGCCTTGTGGTGCATTTCAGGTATGGCGTGCCTTGAGGCTTAAGGTGCCTTGTGGTGCAGTGCGGTGCAAGTGTGCAACCAGCGTGCAGCCCCACCTGTATCGGCCTGGTGAAAGACAACAATGGCGTTGGGGTCCAGTCGCCGGCACTCCTGTGTTGACTTGGCCGCCACTCCAAAGCCCAGCGGCACATCTGACATCGACAGCACCACCACACCCTGCCGTGTGGTGTGGTTGTGGGGAGTGAGGGGAGGGGGAAGAGAGGGAGGAGAATGGGGAGGGCAGTAGTAGGTTGAGCTGCAGCAGCACTTGGCTGCCACTCCAAAGCCCAGCGGCACATCCGACAACAACAGCACCACCACACCCTGCTGAGTCATGAAGGGGGGAGCAGAGAAGGGGGAAACGGGGGGAAGGAAGATGTAGGCTGAGTGGCAGTGGCACTTGGCTGACATCTATTGGCACTCCTGTGTTGACTTGACTGCCACGCCAAAGCCCAGCGGCACATCCGACATCGACAGCACACCACTCCCTGCCGTGCGGGGGTGGGAGGTTGGTGGGAGGGAGCGGGGAGAGGAGGGGTGGAGGGGTGGGTGGGGGACCTGGAGGATGTACAGGGCAGTGGGGCCCTGCCCAAGACACAATCCACCCCATCCCCACACTGGAACACACGAGCCTAACCCTACCCCATCTCAGACCCCCACCCCACCTGGTTCTGCTGCGTACTCCTCTCCATGATTCTCCCTGGGCCGTTCATATATAGTATATACCCGCCTCAAGACACACCAGGTCACGTCTCCACACCAAAGTACTGAACCAAAGGCCCATCCTATCCCAGCCCTACCGCACCCCATCCCAGTCCACCCACCTGGTTCTGCTGTGTGCTCTCGGTGATTCGCCCCAGCCCACTCTTGACTGCCCGCCTCAAGACACACATTGCCCCATTTCTGCACCAAAATCATACATCCTAGCCCCACCCTTCCCCATCCCAGCCCGCCCCACCTGGTTCTGCTGCGTGCTCTCGGTGATTCTCCCCAGCCCGCTCTTGAGCACGTGGTTTCCGTACAGGAATGACATCTCCGCCGCTGGTTTCACCCACACCTGGCGAGGGATGAAGGTGAAGAGAGAACATGGGAGGAGGGGAGGGGTGGAAGTGGGGAGCGGGAAGTGAAGGTGCTTGGTGGTTGTTGCCGTACAGAAATGACATCTCTGCTGCTGGCTTCACCCACACCTGGCGAGGGGGACGAAAAGGGAGAAGAGTAATCACAGGGAGGAGGGGATGAGGGGTCAATGCTGCTTGGTGGTTGTTGCCGTACAGGATTGACATCTCGGCTGCTGGTTTCACACACACCTGGAGGGGAGGAAAGGAGGAAGGGGAAACAAGGAGAGAAGGGGAGGTGGTTGAAAGAAGAAAAAGGAGTGGCTTGGTGGTTGCCGTACAGGAAAGGAATGACATCTCTGCGGCTTCACCCACACCTGTGGGGAGATGGAGCCACGGCACGGCACAGCACGGCAGGGAAGGGCAGGGCAGACCAGGGCAGAACACGCGAGGCAGGGCAAGGCAAGGCAGGGCCAAACGCGCACCTTGCACTTGGCATATGCTGAGAGCAGGTCGAGAGCAGTGACTGTGAGGCAGAAGCTGCCTGACTTGGTGAATCAGGCAGGCAGGGCATGCACGTGTGAACTTTTCGATGCACGTGTGAGTGAGTTGAGTTGACTCGAGACCGAGACACACACCAGGCCAAGCCATGCCCAACTAACCAGCCCCACACGCGCACCTTGCACTTGGCATAAGCTGCCAGCAGGTCGAGAGCCGTGACTGTGAGGCGAAAGCTGCCTGACTTAGTGAACTTGCCAATGCACGTTCCCAGTGATGCTAGATGGTCCCGTGATACACTTGTTGCCCGTCTCATGATGGCCTGGTGGAATGAGATAAGCAGAAATAGGGGGGAGAGGGGCGAGGGGGAAGGTGTGGGGTAGATGAAATGTGGTGGGGCAAATATCGTGACTGATGAGCCAGATCGGGTGGCAATGGGGAGCGGCCAGGGAAGAGGGTAAGCGACAGCAATGCTAAGGGGGCTGGGCAAATCGGGGATGGCAATGAGGAAGAGGCTTTGGGTTTGAGGGTTTTTTCCATCACGACATGTCACATGCTCTACCTCCTCTGCAAACTTCTCAAACCCCTTCGTAAACCCTCGTAAAACCTGCGAAACCTCGCATCCCTGCCTCTGCAAGCACCAGGCAGTAACCCTCAGTAAACCCCCGCAAATTCAGGTAAACCTCGGTAACCCTCCCCTGCCCTACCATCTAATCCACCTCGCTGACGTAGAGAACACGCTGCTTCTGCAGCCCCGGGCAGGAACCTTCCGTAACCTTGATTAATTCCCGCCCTTCCTACCCCTGAACCCACCTCGCTGACGTAGTACACGCGCTGCTTCTGCAGTCTCAAGCAATAGCCGCCCGTGGCGCCGCCCGGTCCTTCCGGTGCTTTGCGTTCGATGAGGTGTTTGATGTTGCTGCCGATGAACTTGTGTAGCTTCTCGAACACAGCCTGCGTCTCCTTCTCGTCCAATGGCCGCATCGTCGCTCGTTATTGTAGCGAGCGCCGCCTGTGTTACTGTAACGGGTGTGCGCCTCTGTCTGGTCCTCGTTGATTTATGCGCGTCACGGTACCCGATTTTCAATGTCTAAACTGGCTGCTCGAGAACGGAATGGCGTAGGTCAACAAGGAAAAGGATAAGTTTTTGAATTCACAAGAATGCGACTAGCCAAACGCCGTCCTCAAACATTATGATCCGTTTCGTACTGTACAAGCATCGAAGGCTCCCCCCTCTAGTTACTAATGCTTTTGAGCAGGCGTAGCGATGGTGGCATAATATCTGGTGGGGGATATGTTGTCTGAAAAGCCTGCAGGGGTTAGTGGGAGTGCGATGGTCTGCTGCTCTGTAATGGTCTCCGTTTGTGGACAAGAAATTCGAGTCCAGTAAACAGAATAATTTGATTGATCAGGCTAAAACAATCTTTGCAGCGACGCACCGCAAGCGTGTTACAGGAATTTGAAGTTCGCATCTCGACGTTTGGCAAGAATTGGGTGGAATGAGATCGACGGCTGAGAAACATGTAGGCAGGGCTTAGGCCAAAAATCGACGCTCCATTCCAGTCCGCCTCCGGCACGAAGTCTGGCGGTGGGAGGTGGTCCGGTCAGACGGCTGTGGCTGTGGGCGGTTGAACGGAAACAACCGCCGAGGTTGACGTTCCGCCAAGGTTGATGACATTTCGTCGGGGTTGACATCCACCCAGCCTTTTCACTATTTCTCCGGGCAGATGGAAAATGAATCATGCTGCAATATCCCCAGAAAATCCACCAACAACAGCGCATCTCAAAACTGTACACCTCATCGTCGTGTTTGATGTGCGCACGTGAAATTCGCTCGAATTTCCAAGTGCTGGTTGTCTATGCCGAGGAAAAATGTCGGCGAGGTGGAAGCACGGCAGGGCAAGCCTGGGTTTGCGGCTGTGGGCCTTCTCCTCCCAGTTTGTACAGTGTCATAATTTTTGCGCGCAGTTCACCCAACGTCCCCGTTCCCCAACCCAAGCGTTCCGCTCGTTGACAGCGCGGCAGCGGAAGCAGCACACCAAACCAAACCAGTCTATTCCGCTGCGCGCTCCCTGAGCGAAGCTGCTGCGCCTGCTGCGCGAGTGACATCGCCTTCCCCCACGTCACCCCCCTTTCAGCCGGTGTCAGCGGAAGAGGGCGATGGCGGACCTGTGATGCGCGTTGACCCAGCAAGCAGTCACCTAGGTTTTCTCCCCCCTAGAGCCTGTCAGGCACCTAGATTCCAGTTGCTTGTTGGTGCCACACCGTGCTTGTGACGTGAACCATGGCTGCTGCTGGCGGCAGTTGCAGAAACGCGGATTAGTCGAACATTGCGCTGTCAGCCTAGTCTTGTGTTGGTCGTACCATCTACTGCTTTTTCTTTTGTTTTACCTTTGGAAGCCTTCCCTGACAGCTGGCTGCTTGCAGATTATCGATTAGTACAGCTGGAGTGCCGATTATCTACCTTTTCCTAGTTCAGTTTGCTTTAGCCTCGTGTGTGAGACGGTGCCAAAGATGAGTACCTCTAGTTCCCGTCGTTGCCGTCGTTTCCGGTCAAGGCAATCGGTCAAGTCCTTTCAAGATTGATGCGACTCGTCACGCGGAGTCTACTAGGTTCCTGGACTGAACTGCCCAAATACAACTATTAGATCGTTAAATACTGATGGATACTCGACAATCCATTAGACCCATCAACGGTACCGAAGTTCTGGTTGGTATCGCGGATAGCCAATGGCCTTTAACGAATCCGCACGCGCTTCTTCCCGGAGATATCATTCTCAGGGTAGGCGACTCGGGCTCGAATCGTTCAACATACGCTCCTTTCGAGGACGGCATTAATGGCGTCAGGCGGGAGATTCTCTCATGGTCTCTGCGCGACAAGCTAAAACAGAATCGCGTGCCGCTTCAAGTGCTTCGCGGGAACAGGTGAGAAGCGATCTTGAGGCCACGTGGACTTAAGAAGATCTCAGATTCTGAGATGACTGGTCTTGGATCCTGGTCTTAGTTTGGTAGCCACTCTTTTCCTCACCCTTCTCCCGTCTCACCTCCGTCTTTCCTCCGTCTCCGTTTGGTCTCTTCTCACACCATTACATACTCAGGCCTCTTCGGTGACTGCACCCGCCCATTCTCACCTCCCTATCCTCTGCGTTCTTTACGTCTCTCCATCCTTTCCTCTCCCCCCTCCGTCCAACTGCCTTATGTCGCATCAAACCTCACCTCACCCCATCTTTCGCCTTTTGTTCGTGCTTATGCTCTGTTTCAGCCGTCTAGACATCTGGGCTCGAGTCACGCCGTCAGCGGCAGCAGAGGCGGCAGCTGCTGAAACCGCAGAAGACGCACAAGGAGACGTCAGTTTTGACGGCAGTTACGACGACACGACCGCAAGCTTCGGAGCGGCCAGCTACCGGCGAGCCGGCACTTTCGAAACGGATTGCAGTTACGACGCCGGCGAGAACCTTCTAGAGGGAGTCGTTCTTTCCGAGGGCCGGCACGCGCTGTTCGCACCGCTTGCGGCTTGGACGGAGGAGAGCATCCTGCGTCTAGAGCGGATTAAAGCGTACGGCGCGCTGAGGAATAACAAGCCCCGAGCAGTGGAGAAAGAAGAGCAGCGCAACAAGCGCGGGAGTGACCTTTACTCGAGGATGCCCCCTGCTAGCCTTAGAGCCCGTCGTGCAGCGGGTATTGGCTGCTGTTTTGCTGGAGCGGCGGTGAGTGGGGAAGGGTCGGAAGATGCGGAAGAGGCAGAAGAACGGAGGAGCGGAGCGGAGGACTCCCTGCCGGCGCGCGAGGCTGTGGGGAAGCTGGCGGAAGGAATTGCGCGGCTACGGATGGGATGGGCGCGCGCAAGGGATGGTTCGGAGGAGGCGGAAGGAGTCAGGGCGCCGCTTCTGGCGCATGCGGTGCACCTAGCGGAGAGGGGGGACGCTGGCGCGCAGGATGGCGGTCGCGGCGGAGACGAGCAGTTGAAGAGGGATGATTCTGGTAGTATGATCAGGGATGCTCTAGGTGAGCGTGTAGTTATGACTAGAATTTTTTGTGAACCTGCTTCCGACACTCGTCGCGACGAGATTGAATCTGCCGACACTCCTGCCGCCCACAAATCGGGGCCTCCTACTGCCAGCGACACGCGCGCCTCGTATGGTACACGGAGCACGACAGCCGCCACGTCAGCAGGCGAGCCGCGGGTCGTGTTGCCGCACCTGTACTCTAAAGTGCCGGTTTCTGGGGAAGGCGGTAGCGGGGCAGGTTGGGGTAGGTGGGAAGATGGAGAGACATGCCTTCAAGGGGAGGAAGAGGAGGAAGACGATGGGTACTGGCGTAAAAGAGCAGACAACGCTGTTGCTGGTGGTGCTGCTGGTGCTGCTGGTGATGCCGGTGCTGCTGGTGCTGGCGTTGGTGACAGTGCTGGTCCGACTTTGGAAGAAGCACGTGACATGGGAGCGCGGACCAGACCGAGCTCTCCTACCCATCACACCGCCACCTCTGTTGCTTCCACTATCCCCGCTTCTGCCGCCGCTGCCGGAACTGCTGCTGAAGTGGAAGAGGCGGCTTTGCAGGAACGGTTGTGGGCAGGGAGGGCAGCGATAGCGCCTGAAGCCAGGCTGTGGCGGGGTCACGCATCAGGCATGCACGCAGCAGCAGGCTTGCAGGCAGCAGGCATGCAGGCAGCCATGGCCAGCAGCATTGCAACAGATGGTGATACTTGCACAGACTCTCTCCCAGCAAGCCTACCTTCCTTTCTCCACCCCGGCTGCCTACCTGCCTTCCTACCTGCCGCCCCGAACCTGCCTTCGCATGCAACGCCGGGCCCAGTGCTCAAGGTGCGGCGGCACTGCATTGCTGAGGCGGCAGAAAAGGACGACTCGGGCGGCAGCAGCAAGAGTGTGGGCGGCAGCGGGCCGGCTTCTCTGTTCACCATTCTGATCATGCCGGCTGAGAGCGGGGGGAAGAAGGAGAGCCGTCGATTCTTTGATGTCAACCACACGATTGACGTAAGTACTTGCGAGGGTCGTACGAGCGTGCCTTGGTTCTTGTTGCCTGTTTCTGTCCGGAGCGCTGCTTGGTTCTAAGCTGGCCTGTATGAGAGTTGCAAGATACGGCTTGGAGCTTTGCTGCTGCTGTGTTGCTGCTGCAACGAGTCCTTCTCTGAAACAGCCCAATTATCTTTTCTCCTCCAGGCATCTCATCTCTCTTCTGTCCCCTCTCACTCCCGTCCCCTGTCTCTCTTTCTCCCTCCAGCGTGCCCTGCGTTGGTTCGCCTCAGTGCGTGCCAGCGGAGCAGCACTCGAGCTGATGAACGCTCAGACCGAAGTCCTGCCGGTGCGGCTGGGCGGCATGGACGGAGACAAGCTCTCCAAGATGGCGCAGTATGGCAAGTGGACAGTAAAGACAAACGACGAGCAGCGCGGGGATCATATCTCCGTCCTCCGCGCCGTCCGCCTCTGGCTGGTCCCGGATTCCGAGGTGGAACTTACCCTCGTGCTGGCGTCCGGTGGGGTAAATAACGCGGCGTGCCCTCCCGACTGGGGGTTACTTCTGGAACAAACCCCCGAGGGCGTGGTGCATGTGGTGGGGGTGAGGGGGAAAAGTCCGGCGGAGAAAGGAGGAGTGGCCATGCTGCTGAGAATGGCGCGGGCTAAGAAACGGCTGCTGCTGCTGTCGCGGCTGCAGGGGCAGGTGCTGCTGCCGTCGGTGATAGCCAATGGGCAGATAGACTGTGCTGACGTGGAGGCTCTACAGGAGCAGCTGGTGCTGCAGGCGCATCTGCCGTCCATCCCGCTGCGCCTCACGTTTGCCCTGTGAGGGGCCGGGGAGGGACTCAATGGTGAACACTCTCAGAGATGCTTCTTGGGAAACTGCTGGTGCTGCGTGCACCCAACAATTGGCGTTTTTCTTCAGAGGCTGCTGCCACGGCTGCTTCTGCTTCAGACAAGGGACCTGCTGGTTGCGCCGTGATTGGGGGAAAGCCTGAAGCAGGGCCTTCATGCTCGATGGAACGATGTTGGTGGTTCAGTCGTTATTTTGGAGGAGGAAGGGGAGGCAGAGGGGGAACTTAACAAGATACAAGCTCGTCTGATCAGCAGCTGGGGGCATACACACCGCTGACTGGATTCCCTCGTAACCCTCCAGCTCTCCCTCCCCCATGCACACACACACACGCACACTGCCACACTTTCTCTCCGCTCACCTCTCCTCTCGTTCCCTCTCTTCTTCCTTCTTGCATCTGTCGCCTGGTCATTTCATCCCTCCACTCTCGATTCCTCTCCCTTTTTCTTTCTGCTTACCCACTCTCTTCAAGGTGGGACTTATTGCTAGCCCGGTTCGAAAAACGGGCAGCCCATCTTCTCAGCACCTCCTGCTTTTGCTTTCATAAGTGGCTCCTATGCCCTCACATGGAGGCCCCTTCTGGTGGCCTCATACAACAAGTGTTCGAGCACTTATGAATGTAAAAGTATGAGACTGTAAAGACAATTGATTTATTGTGCAATGCTTTTTAGCGATTGGTATGCCAGACTTTCAAATGCCACTTTTGTTTCAGGTCAGCATGTTTATTTTTATAGAAGTACAGTAGGAAGGTAGTTACGTATATGATGTACACTTTTGCCTGCTACCGTATCACGGGTGAATTTTGAGCCAATGGAAGTCAAGTACTTTCAGAAGTAGATCGTCGTTATAAGCACGTTCAACACGGCAATTTCAGGACTTTCAGGATACCCGAAGTAGCTCAAGAAGGCCGACGCAGCTGTGTAGGGTCTGGTCTGATATAGAATGGATGCAGTGCGGTGACATGCAGCCCATCAAACCTTTGGGATTGCGGTGACACAACAGCTAAACCCTGTCTGGATGGAGTCTGGGCTCGTTGAAAGCCGTCAGTTGAGTTTTGCATCGCGTGACAATGCACTGAGCACTGCCTGAGGGCTACAAGACCAGAAAGAAGCCAAGACCACTCACCTCACCTCAACTCAGAGCAGCTCTCATGCGAAGTAGCTTCGAGCTCCGGCCCCCATGCCACGAATGGCGACAAATGAAGTGGCGACGAATGGAGCGTGGCCTAGCCTATACCAGGTCCTTCTGGCAATGGCCGTGACTCGTGTCGTGAAACAGACAGCTCTTTTTGTCTGACCGAATTATGCACGTTACCTGACGTCAGGCAGCGGGTTGTGCGACATGGAAGAGCCGAAGGGCCATGTCAGCCCGTCAGTAACCAGCAAGCGTCATCTTGACGGCAACCGTCAAATGGACGGCGATGACGACAGCGACTGGAATGACGAGCTGGTGCCGTCCGTTTCCACCACGGGTCCTCCTACCCCTGAATCCCCACCAGCCTCCATGATATCAGTGCTGTTTCAAGGGGTGAGGGTGTCGCCATGGCATGACGTCCCTCTGTATCCAGCCGACGACGAGGATTTAGGGTTGGACCCTCTGATGGACTCGCAACCGCGCTCTGATTCGCTGGAATCGAGCTCGCAGCTGTCGCACGGCTCTGCGACGTCCGCGACGTCGTTCCGAATGATCTGCACGAATCCTGCGGGCAAGCATCGCGTGCACGTGATTTCGCCAACGGACGGTCAGATCGTCGCCAGCTGTTGCGGCAATACCAAGGGACCTCTCGCTGCTGCTGGCTCTTCCACTGCTGACTCTGCCACTGCTCCGGAATCTGCCTCTGCTGGGTGCAATGATGACGCGGGAGGCTTCACGACGGTGGATTTTCCCTGGAATTGTGGAGTGCTGCCGCAGACCGCTGCTGCCTCGTCAGCGGCGCCGCTTGCAGATGCTGACGTGTTGCTCCCTGTGGAAGCGGTAGACATTGCGCCGTCCCTGCACTCAGCTGGAGATATCTATGAGGTGCGAGACGACTAGTGCAATACTGATGCTTCCATACGCTGACGTGTTGCTTCCTGTGGAAGCGGTAGACATTGCGCCGTCCCTGCACTCGGCTGGAGATATTTATGAGGTGAGAAGCGTTGCGAGGCGTTGCGAGGCGGTGCAAGGGGTTGCAAGGCGGATACTTTCTTCAGAGCGAGGTATGTACTGCCACTTTATTGTCCTCTCTCTTCCTATGGTTACGTATTGCATAGCACATTCATGCTGTGGTCAAATGCCGCTTTTAATGCATTCGATTCGTCAATAACTTGAACGCAACTGCCATTCTTGCCTGTGACTCCTCACGACCTCCCTTTAGATTTCGAACACTCTTCCCATCCCCCAACGTCACCCCTGCCCCCATCCTCAATTCCCCTCTGCCTTCACCCTCTCCCTTCCCCCTCTGCCTTCACTCTCTCCTTTCCCTCCCTCCATTCTCCCTCTCCCTCGTCCCTCTCCCTCCCCCCTCTGCCTTCATCCTCTGCCTTCCCCATCTCCCTTCCCCCTCTGCTTTCACCCCAACAGGTGCGCGCACATGCAGTCATCGCCATACCCAATCCCCTCACTCTATCCGTAGCATATCGCCTTGTTGTGTCTGACATCAGCGCTGAGTCAGCACCATCTGAGCTGGACAGTAACGCGCTCATGACAGTGCTGCACCGCGTCTGCGCGTGGCTGGAGTCAACTGACACGTGGCTGCTCTCAGGCCATCCTGACGTGGCAATGCAGGCCACCGTGGACCCTGATGAGGTGGCAAAGGTGCTGGATGAGACCCACGTGGCATGGGCTGAGCTGTACGTGCTTTCTCAGCCGTCCTCCCCCAGTGTATTGAGTGCCCTCCCGCTCTCATCCATACCTGAATACTCAGCACAAAACAAACCTAGTGCAGCAGCAGAAGCCACACTTGCCCCCACACTGACTCCCACTCTCAAACCCGCAGCAGCACCCACACTCACTCCCACATCCACCCTCACTCCAACACCTACACTCACCCCTAATCCCACGCACTCTGCTCCCACCTCCGCGCTGCCTGATACCAAAACTCTCCCTCACACGCTTCCACTCACAGACACGGCCCCTGCTTCTAGACCAGGATCTGCACCCTCCCGCACACATTCTGCTGCTGACACACCTGCAGCAACACACGCAGCAGCAGCAACAGGAACAGAATCAGCATTACAGGGGGCGGCGGGGGCAGCAGCAGCAGGCAGGCCAGGTGACGACTCAGCCACATCGGGGAACCCTCCAACCCTCACAAGGCGCAGCTCCACAGGCGGCCGCTCTGCCTCCAGGGTCGCCCGCTCTTCTCCCCCTCACCCTTCCGCCTCACTCCCTTCCGCCCCTCACCCTTCCACTGGGTCACGTATCAGTGCTGCAGACAGTGGGTGTGCACAAGGGGGGGACGCATACAGCAGTGGCGCATACAGTGAGGGCGCACAGGGACGGGACGCACACAGGGGGGGCGCATACAGTGAGGGCGCACACAGGGGGGGCGGACAGTGGGGGGCGCACACAGGGGAGTGGACAGGGCGGGGGTGGACAGGGCGGGGATGCATACAGGGGGGCTGCAGCAGGGGCACGATCTATAGCTGCTGCTGGGGGGGGAAGAGGAGGGGGCAGAGGGGGAATGGGGAGCGGAATGGCTGTTGGAGGGAGAGGAGGGAGAGGAGGGAGAGGGAGAGGACATCTTGCCACAGATGCTGGACGGCGAGGAGGCGAGAGGAGAGGGTGCGTTTGTGCTGCTGAAGGGAAACATCTTGCCACAGCATGCTGGCAACGGCGCTACTGCGGTTGCCAGCTTTAACCACCGGTTACCAGCAGCAGCCAGGTCACAGGGGCTGTTCCCTTACAGCCCCCCCAGTCACCATCAGCTAGGTCACAAGGGGCAGTACCATTACAAAAACCGCGGTTACAGGCAGCTAGGTCACAGGGGGCTATTCCTTTAGAAATCCCCCAGTCACCATCAGCTAGGTCACAGGGGACTAATCCCTTACAGCCCCCCCAGTCACCATCAGCTAGGTCACAGGGAGCGATACCACTACAGAGCCACCGGTTACCAGCAGCACCTAGGTCCCAGGGGGCTATTCCGTTAGAAAACACCCAGTCACCAGCAAGTGGGTCACAGGGAGCGATACCATTACCGAACCACCGGTTACCAGCAGCAGCAAGGTCCCAAGGGGCCATTCCGCTAGAAACCCCCTCTTCACCATCGGCTAGGTCACAGGGAGCGATACCGCTACAGCACCTGCGGTTACAGGCACCTAGGTCACAGAGGGCTATTCCCTTAGAGCCCCCTCAGTCACCATCAGGCAGGTCACAGGGACAGAGCCACCGGTTACCAGCAAAACGGTCACAGAGGGCTATACCATTACAGAGCCCCCAGTTACCAGCATCTAGGTCCCAAGGGGCTATTCCTTTAGAGACCCCCCAGTCACCATCAACTAGGTCACAGGGGGAATAGCGTTACAGAGGCCCCACTTCCCAGCAGCTAGGTCACAGGGGGCCATTACCATACAACCCCCCCAGTCACCATCAGGTAGGTCGCAGGGAGCGATACAGCTGCAGAACCACCGGTTACCAGCAGCAGTTGGGTCCCAAGGGGCTATCCCGTTAGAAATCCCCCCGTCACCATCGGCTAGGTCACAAGGAGCGATACCGCTACAACCCCTACAATCACCAGCAGCAGCTAGAGCACAGGGGGCGATTTCCTTACAGCCCCCCCAGTCACCATCAGCTAGGTCACAGGGAGCGAGACCGTTACAGAGCCCCCAGTTACCAGCGACACGGTCAGATGGTGCCATACCGTTACAGAGTGCGCGGTTACCAGCGACAGGGAGAGGGAGGGTAGCAGCAGCAGAGCAAGGACGGGTCGTGTGAAAGCAGCTTCAGAGTGGCTGGAGCCCCGAGGGCAACACTCCCGAGCTGCTAGTGCTAGCTTTGACACCGCCGCCCCTAGCTTTGAGACTAGTGCTTCTGGTCCTGCTGGTGCAGGTACAAGGGTTGTGGTGAAGGCAGCTTCAGAATGGCTGGAGCCCCGAGGGCAACACTACCGAGCTGCTAGTGCTAGCTTTGACCCTGCCACCGCTGCCACCCACCCTGCCACGACTGCTGCTGCTGCTGCTGCTGCTGACTCTGCAGGTCTTGCTATTTCAAGTAGAGCCGGTTTTGAAGGCTCTGCTGCAACTAGGAGCGGTGTTGGTGCTTCAAGTGCTGGCAGAGGGGCGGGGTGGGCATTGACGCGTTCCATGTCAGCACGGGAAGAGCGAGCAGGGAAGGGACGAGAAGGGGAAGGCAGAGTTAGCGACCCACGGGCAGGCAGGGAGATGAAGGGGACGCAGGGCTTAACCCGCTGTTAGAAGAGAAGGGCTCACCCGCGTTGACAGGGGGGAGGGAAGAGCAGTTATGGTTGGTGGGAGAACTGCGGGCTCTCGCAAGCAGAGCCTTTCTATTGGGTCCGCGAGTGACCTTGTGCTCCCCTGCTCGTCCCACGCTCCTCGTTCCTCAAGCCTTGCACACGATCACGCCCCAGACAGTCACCTTCTGCACAGTCAAGCCCCAGACAGGCACTTCCAGTACAGTCACGGCCCAAGCAGTCACCTCCTCCGCAGTTCCCAGGGGCAGCAAGCGCATTGCCGGGGCAGCAGCTTGTTACCTGTGAGTGAGAGTGAGGTGGACGAGTTGAGCACAGAGCCTTGCCTGAGATATTGTGTAGCAGGGAGCGGTGGGAGCGGCAGTGGCAGTAGCAGCAGCAACAGTGGTGTGCAGTAGCAGCAGCAACAGTGGTGGCAGTAGCAGCAGCACAGCTGCGGTGGTGGTGGTGGTAACAGCAGCAGCAGTGGTGGTGGTAGCAGCAGCGGCAGCAATGGCACCAGCAGCAGTGACAGCAACAGCGGCAGCAGGGCATACTGGCAGAATGAACCCGTGCCTTCCAGAAACCCTGCTAGGATGGCACGGCACAGTGTGGACTGGGCTCATGACAGCCCCATGCAGCAGCAGCAGCAGCTGCAGCAGCAGCAGAGGAGGGTGCAGGAGTGGAAGCACGATTTGAAGGGCACAGGCCACCGCCATCACCAGGGTCAGCTGCCCGGCAAAAGGAGAGGGCGTTCCGACGCGCCAGCACCGATTTCAGTGACCGCACAGGCTTGGAGGCGGCTGGGCAGTCTTTTTACAGTGACCCGGGGGCTGTGGCAATCGCAGGTGCACAGGGGAGTACGGAAATCGGTTTACAGGGGAGAGCTGCACCGGACTTGCCTGAAACAACCATTCGGCAGAAAGAACGGATGTTCCAGCGGGCCAGCTCAGACTTCAGTGACCGTGGTTCCTGGGAGCCTGCCAGGCTGTCACGTTATGGCAATAATGAGGGGTAGTTATGAGGGGTAGTTTCCTTGTTAGCGATAACACTGCTTCCAGCTGCTGGAATTCAGCAGCGTTGTTGGCGCAGGTATGTCGTAGCTGCGAGCAGTGGTGCAGCTTTAGCAGGAGCTCCTGCCGAGGGATTAGAAGTTGCGACCAAACCAAGATGTGGCAGTGGCTATCGTTTCTGTTGTAGAAATACTACTGTGCTGAGGTGAAGGTGATAATTATTTCACAAAAAAGACGGCTTTATCATTTGATAAGGACGTGTTTCTGATGATGACCCCATGTACTGGTACCGTAGTTTTGAAGCATCAATACAGTTTCCTCTCTCCACTTTCTTTGGTCCCGTAGAGATGTCAATTTTCTTGAAGTTTCCTGTACATAACTGATTCCTCTAAGGAGGGGGCTTCCGCCTCACAATATCTGCCAACTGTCACCCACCATTCACCAATCCCCTCCCGCTTTCTCCACCGCGTCGCCACGTCACGTCCCGTGGACCACCATCAGCCGAACCGTCACCTTGCCCACTCGTTCACCATGCGACACTCATTTCCTCGTCAGCCCCTCGAAACTGTCGACATAGCCCAGCACCTCTGTGAGCAGGAATTCCGGAAATCGGCGGTTTCCATCCGTCCATGTTCGACAATCTCGAAGTGGTGAGGTCAAATGACAGCCAGCCAGCCCAGAGTGGGGGCGAGTAATTTCGAGGTGCTTTTATTCGAGGCACACAATCAGCCGCGCCGCCATCAGCGCAACCGACGCCACCAGCACGCAACGTAATGCCTCCCTCCGCTTGTGACCATCCAACCAGGCCATGGCGTCTCTGACTGTGTGACCCGGCCGATGGCGTCCAGCTGACGGCATCGAGACACGCCAGGGTGGCGTACAGTCGGCGGTTTGGTTTCAAGTCTCGAGGATCAGCTCGAGTCGCAGTCAGTTCAGTCAGCCGTTGTGCTGCTGAGACCGCTGAACGAGCAGGATCAGTGAATCAAACGCCGAGTTGAAATGATGACATTACGAGAAAGGTTTTCGTCTGAGTTGGCGAGACCGACTTGCGCGTTAAGTAGATTAGCTCTTAACTGTTGAAGGATCTCACGTTTCCTAAGTAAACTCCTTCTGTTGAAGCACGAGAGGCGAAGGTGAACTAGATTCGTCACTTAGTCTTTCAATCCGATCGGTCCTGAGACTTAATTTCTAAAAGCAGTAACGTAGCAGAGGATTGGTTCCACTCGTCCTGCATCTCTTAGAACTGCTGCCGTCCCACCACCATGTCAGCAACATCTCTTGTCTCACGGCCTCAAACTGCTGGTTACATCAGCAAGCTATGTACCAGCACCGCTCGCAGTGACTGCACACGGCTTCCAGTGAACCATGCTAGAGTCAAATTTCCCCGCCGGCGGGCGTTTCGAGGAGTCAATGTCCGCTGCGATGCCCACGAGAACCCAAAAAATCAAGGATCCAGATTAGTCGACGAAGAGTCGGCTTTAAAGGAGGAGCTCCGGAAAGCGACGCGGTTCGAGAAGCGATTAGAGGCCCAAGTTGGTGTACCGCAGGAGCTGGAGCTCTTTACGGGAGACGAACTGCACTATGTGGAGACGTCCGACGGATGGCGACTCGCGCTCTGGCGTTACCGTTACCTCCCTTCTGAATCTGTGCGTATCTTCATAAAAACTCGTGTAACGAGTTTGCTTTTGAGTCGACTCAAAAGTTAGTGTACCGCAAGAGCTGGAGCTCTTTACGGGAGACGAAAAGAGACGTCCGACGGATGGCGACTCGCCCTCTCCCGTCTGAATCCGTGTGTATTTCCTCCGTTCCTGTTTTCCAGACCCTTTTATTCCTCTCCTCTCTCTGCTTCATTTATCTACAAATGGCCGCTTCCGTCGCGTTGATGCCTCTCTTGCGTCAAGAAGGTCAAGTTCACCGTATGATGTTATTTTTGTTTTTCTTGCTGATGTGTGCGAATCAGGTCCCTCGGAAAGCTCATCCAGTCCTTCTCCTTTCCGGAATCGCCACCAATGCTCTCGGATACGATTTATCACAAGAGGTAACTTCATTCTCATTTCAGCCGTTGAGTAAATCTCGTTTATCCTTCAAGTCTTCCATGTTCCCTTTTTGAAATTGAAGCGTCCGTTTGAGGGATTCCAAACAGGTCACCCCGATTGACACGTCAACTGAGCCCTGTACTCCTGCAGGTGTCTCTGGCTCGGCATCTGGCAGATCAAGGGTTCGATACCTGGGTGCTCGAGCTACGTGGAGCAGGCTTAAGCCAGTCTCCCTTCTCTATAGCAGGGACGCAGGGTTTGTCAGCTGCTAAGAGTTCCACCATGGGTCCTATAGAAGGACCCCCTATTACTTTCATTGATGGCCCAGTAAATGGCGCAGTAAACAGTGCCATTGATACTGGAAACTCAGGTAATGGGTTTCCTGTTGATAACACAACCGGAGCTTCTACAAACGGGTTCGTGAATGGAGCTGGTCCGAATGGTTCGCCTGTTAGTAGCAGCAGCAAGACAGATGGTATGACAAACGGTTCTGTGTTGACTCCGTTGTTTTCAAGTGATGATGAAGATTCATCAGCTGCTGCTCCTGCAGCAACATCAAAAGCAACATCAAAAGCAACATCAACAGCAACAGCAATGGCAACACCAGCAGAAGTTCCAGAATCGCCTGCAGCAACAAGTTCGGATGCGTCAGAGGGCTTCAGCGTTTCGAGCAGCCTATCTCGAACCATGCAGCAGCTGCGAAACTACTTCGACCAATTCACCCGTTCAGAACCAGCAATGGACCCCCAGGCACTCAGGCCCAAGCTAAAATCCGCGGAGGTCAGATTGAGAGAAGCTCTGGACCAAGCGCAGCTGCAGCAGCCAGTGGCGCTGCTCGACTTGCAGCACATGCTCGTGCAGCTGCAAACCTGCAGTGACGTGGAGCTCACGTCATCTGGCGTGATACAGCTGAGGCATGCCCTGGATTCGTTCTTCAGCGAAGCACAACAATCACCTGGCGTTTCACCTGAGGCTTTTGCAGCGATGAAAGATTTGGCTGATCTGGTGGGCCCACTGAAATCCGACACCACACTCTCCACTGCCGCTGCTTCGTTCCTACAACAGACCACCCGCCTTCTCAGCAACAGCATCGCCTCTTCAAACCTTGAGAAACGGCTGGCCGAGCTTCAGAAACGACTGGGGGAGATTATGGAGTCTAGGCAGGGGGTAGCGACGCCAGGAGTGGCTGAGCTATATGAGCAGCTGATAGGCGTGATTTTGCAGACTCAGGACGTGGCGAGTCTTGCCAAGGAGTACAATTGGGACTTTGACACGTATTTGTATGAGGACCTACCAGCTGCCATGCAGTATGTGCGGAAATGGTCCCGGCCGCACGATGGGAAGATCCTGGCCGTCGGTCATTCCATGGGAGGGATTCTGCTGTACTCGCGAATGGCTGCTCTCGGTAAGAATTTTCTTCATTAGCTGGCGCTCTATCTTTCTTTTTATTTCTGTTCTATCTCCTGGTTTTCCGTGTCCTTCTCCCTCGCATGATCTCCCTGTCATGCTCCCGCTCTTGTTCTGTACGAGACTGCAGGTCCTGATGCGGGTTTGTTGGGGGTGGTGACGGTGGCATCGTCACTCGAATACTGGATGGCTAACTCCAGCTTGAAGCTGCTACGCCCACTCGTAAGTGCCACTATCAAAGAAATGCACTACAGTTGAGTGTATAATATGAACACCGCCAAACATTTACACTGCCAGTTACCACCAGCTATACCACCACCAGTTTCTCCTCTCCTTCCCCCTTTTGGCTGAGCCCTTGTCATCGATGTGGCCGTGCTGGTGCAAGGCTATGGCTTGCATGGTCTCAGCTCCGCGGAAGTGAGTCTATTCTTGAGTCGACTTGAAAATAGAGTCGACTTAGAAATAGACTCACTGCTGGTGCAAGGCTATGGCTTGCATGGTCGCAGGCTCCATGGAAGGGAACCAGGCTGTGTGACACCGTCGCACCCATCCTCTCCTCTTGTTTCCCCGCATTCCTTGTAATCGTTACCAGACTTGTCCTGCTCGGGACTTGATTTTTTCGCGCCGTTTTGGTGGCTGTGTAGGTGGAAAACACAACTCTCATGATCGATTGGTATGCTCTATATGGTCGTCATCCCAAGGCTGTTTTCCACCCGGCCTTGACACGCTGCCTCTCTCTGTCTTTCCTCCCCATCCCAGTCCGGCCCTGCGCGGGCGCTCAACTTCCCAGTCATTCCAGTGGCAGTGCTGGCGCGAGCTGCACTGCCTCTCATGACCCAGCCGCCCTTCACTCTGGCATGGGTGGCGCACCAGGTGTCAGCCCGCGATGCCATGGACCCTCAGCTCTTTCAAAAGCTCATGCAGCACAACTTCTGTGAGTGCGGGATGAGATGACATGGGCCCGTATGGGGTAGTGCAGGGTTGTGTAGGTAGCATGGGGTAGCACGGGTTGGGGTACCACAATGGGTGTCAGCCCGTGATGCCATGGACCCCCAGCTCTTCCAAAAGCTCATGCAGCACAACTTCTATGGGTGCGGAATAAGGAGCCATATGGGTAGTACAGGGTTGTATAGGGTAGCATGATGTGCATGGATAGGGGCAAACAGCACAGTGGGTGGCGCACCAGGTGTCAGCCCGCGATGCCATGGACCCCCAGCTCTTTCAAAAGCTCATGCAGCACAACTTCTGTGAGTGCGGGATGCGATGGTATGGGGTAGTATGGGGCTATGTGGGGTAGCGTGCAGTAGTATGGGTTTGTTGTCAGAAATAGGCTTAGAAGTGATACATTAGTAATGAGCTTGAAGCTCTTTAAGTACATCCAAGAGGGGTAGGAAAAGGATGGGGAAGGGAATCGGGGGCAATCTCTAGGGATTGGGGGTAATCCCAAGGCAATCTCCAATTGGTGGGTTGGAGATTGGTTGGAGATTACATTTGGGTTTGGTTGGGATGTAGGTGTACACCCAACCAAACACAATGTGCAAACTACACTACTCTAGGATATAAAAAATGCAAAGTACAAATTGTGAGATTGAAGACTAACACTAACATTTGTATGGGTTAGCACAAACGTAGCATGGGCTGGAGCATTGGGTTCCGCACCAGGTGTCAGCCCGCGATGCCATGTACCCTCAGCTCTTCCAATAGCTCATGCTTCACAATGTCTCTTGAGTGCAGGGTGAGGTGGCATGTGGTATATGGGCTAGTGTGCGGTAGCATGTGGTAGCATGGGTTGGGGCACCAGGTGTCAGCCCGTGACGCCATGGACCCTCAGCTCTTTCAAAAGTTCATGCTTCACAACTTCTGTGAGTGCAGGATGAGGTGGCGTGGGGTATTATGTGGTAGTATGTGGTAGTATTGGTCGGGGCAACACAGTGGGTGGCGTCACTTTCTTCCACTGTCTCTGTTCGCTATGCCCTCCTGGCACCCTCCCTGTGAAGCTCCTCCTGCAAGTAGTGTCCATCTTTACTCCAGGCAGGTCAACTAGCGCTTTTCCAATGCCTCCACTTCCATCTCCCTGTAGGCACCATCCCCGTGAAGCTCCTTTGGCAAATGGAATCAATCTTCACGCCAGGCGGGCTGCGAATTTGCGACGACTCAACTTCCCTTTCCGCATACGTTTTACGTGTCACCCCACCAGGCACCATCCCAGTGAAGCTCCTTTTGCAAATGGAATCAATTTTCACGCCAGGCGGGCTGCGCAGTCGCAGCGGGTCCATCTCGTACCTCAAGGGGCTCAGGGACTGCCACACACCCGTGCTCGCGCTCGCTGGTGACTCCGACGGTGTTTGCCCTCCTCTTCTTGTCACAGGTCAGTCATTGTAGCTCTGCCCCTATTGCCAACAAGTGTGTGTTGGTCCATCTCGTACCTCAAGGGTTGAGGGACTGCCACACACCCGTGCTCGCGCTCGCTGGCGATGCCGATGGAGTCTGCCCGCCGTTACTCGTCACAGGTCAGTGCTCCTATTTGCAACGTGTATGTGTTAGTCCATTGCATGCCTCGGGGGCTGAAGGGCTGCCACACGCCCGTGCTTGCCCTTGCTGGTGACACCGATGGTGCCAGCCCTCCACTCCTTGTCACAGGGTCACATCACATCACATCGCAGTCCATACACCTTGTTCCTAGGTTTTAGTCAGCCTGAACAGTTGTCTCATAGTTTTCTGTCCCGTTGACTGTCTCTAGAGCTGCTCTTTGATTCATGCTCTGTGTGGCCTTTCGAGCCGCCTCAAATGCTGTCCTTGTGTGACGCTCATATTGCTGAATCTGACCCTCCTCTGGCTACTGCCTGACCCCTCCCTGGTGCATGCACTGTGTGGCCTGCAGAGACCCTCAAGGCCATCCCATCTTCCAGCGTTGAGTACCGGCAGTTTGGGGGGTCGGACAACCGCCGCTACGGACACTACGACATGCTTGTGGGCAAACATGTGAGTATTCGTGCCATGTGAGTGGTTATGTCACGTGAGTATTTGTGCTATGTGATTGGTTATGACACGTGATTATTCGTGCTATGTAATTGGTTGTGACATGTGAGCAATCGTGGCATGTGAGGAGAGGAGGGATGTCAAGTGAGCAGGCATGCGATGTGAACATGTGTTGGCGCCAGGGCTCAGGTTATCAGTGTAATTTACCCTTCTACACTGATTACAAGGGTGAAATTTTGGGTCTACACTGATGTGCTGGGGTAATTTTTTTATGAGTTAGTGTTACACTGATCAGTAAGTGTATCGATGTAGGCCACACTGATGCCTCGGGGTAAATTTTCCCTTAGCGAAGATTACACTGAAGAGCGTACACGGACCCCCACACCCACCCCCCCTTCCCCCTCCCCCCCCTTCCCCACAAACAATCGGTCGAGGGGGAGGGGAGGCGAAATTCTCGCCAATTTCGTAAGTCCTCCCCTTCCCCCCCGCCCCTCACAAACAATCGATCGAGGGGGAAGGGGAGGCGAAATTGTCGCCAATTTCGTAAGTCCTCCTCCCCTTTCCCCCCGCCCCTCATAAACAAACAGTCGAGGTGGGAGGGGACCTGGGAGGCAGATAACTTTCTCGCCACCTGTCATACACACCTAATTTACACATGATGTGTCGGTGCTTGGAAAAAAACCACACTGATGATGCAGGGTAAATTTTTCAAAACCTGATGTTACACTGCTCTATCAGTGTAATGGAAAAGTACACACTGCCCATAAGGGTTTTTGAAAAAGCTACACTGCCAATCGTGAGTAGGCCAAAACCAAACCTGAGCCCTGGTTGGCGCCATGCAGTGTGACTATCGTGGCATGTGAGAAGTAAGTGAGCAACATGGCCAAACCCTGTGATGTGGCTAAAGAGTTTCACCATTCATGCTGATGGCATATCACTGATTCACTGCTGTGCTGTGTGGTACCATGTTTTTCCACATTCCAGGCACCAGAGGAAGTGTACCCTGTCATTACAGATTTTCTGTCGAAGACTGATGCTGCTAACGGGGAGCCAATCAGGGCTGCAGACGAGTTCCCTTCCACCATGTCTGTCATGGCAGAACAGGATGCTGGCATGCATGCAGTCTAAACACTGTAAATATTTGTCTACAAAATTGCAGATTTGATGTAGTTGTAGTGTTCATCTGAGCTTCTGAGGCAGGTCAGGTGATTTACGTTTACCGTCATGCATCACTGTCGAGACTGGTGGCTGGTGGTTCAAAGCAGTAGAGCAGGCTAACCGCTCTAGGATGCACAGCATCTTTTTTTCACCAGCCCATGTGAACTACCAATTCCGACCCGCCCTGATAATGATCGGTTGCAAAAAAAATTATTGCTAATGTGCTCCATTAAAAACCGGCCACACAAAGTAATGCACCAAGGTAGCACAACTTCTGGTCTATTTCTTTGAAACGTGGATCATCTTGCAATAAAGCACCTTACAGCATTCAGATAATACCCATAACAGAATAAAAAGGTTTCCCTCCTTGGGAAGCAATTTCCTCGATTGGAGATGTAATCCCTGAAATCCCGCCTGGGAGTACGTGATGAAAATACCACAATAGATGCCGTGGGAGAAGCCACGCAAATGCCACCACGTCCAGCCAGCGGAACCTGCAGATACAAATGCAGAACACAACAGCTGATTAAGAACCGTCACGGAACCCGTTGAGGCGAACCGCAATAGAGGTGAGTGATGGTACGACGAAATGTGGGGAGGGGGACAAAGGCACAACCACTTGGTCATCTGCGTGCCTGGGTATAGTTCCGCCCCGTTTGACCGTGCTCTAGGCGACCTTGAGCGCTGCATGTGCTACGGTGAACAAGGCACACCAGTGACTCTAATTGAGTCGCCATGCGGAAACATTCAACGAAGTTCGATTGACTACGCTCACCACTGCTGGGGAGGATTACAAATCACGGTAGCGTACTTTTTACTCCTTCGGAGCGAGCCGTCGGATCGGCCTGTTTAGCCGCATTTCGCGTTACACCATGATCCTTGCGCCGGAAACATGAAATCAAAGCGAATCTGAAAGGGTGCGTCGGATGGTCGCAAATGGTAGGAAACAAAACAGATACAAGTTGGAAAACTTCAGTGAAATGAAAGTTCAATAAATAAACGAAGGAACAAACCAACGAGCGGAGTGCAACAAACTCTTTGTCGAGGGGTGACTAAGCCATCTCAGGAAGGAAACAGAGGTGGCATGTAATAGTAATGCCCTTTCGCCTACCCGGCCGTTTTTTTAGGAGGCTTCGAGCGCTGAATGGGTCACGTGATGGACGCACCAGTGACTCTATAGAGGCCCCCACGTTACATGGTTTATTGTAAGTCACGATGGTAGAAACTATCATAGCGATGCACTGTCAATAGCGAAACTCATGAGCAGAGAATGGGCGTAGGAACCAACGTACCCACCATGAACTTGGACCGACTTTCAGAGCATTCGCAGCGCGCCTCGAGCCTCTAGGGGATCAGCTGGCGCTGTCATGATCTCAGATGAACTCGGCCATTTAGCCTCCACAAGGTCGCCGACTCCGCATCAGCCGCATTGGTTGGGAAGCCTCAGCCCCCACTTTCACGGCTACGGCATAGTGCAAGCTTCGTCAAGCCTCCCAGCTACATGGGAAGAACACAGGCAAGGATGGAGTAAAAACAGGGCGTGGAATGTGATATGGTGGAAGAAATGGCTGTGGCGGGGTTTTGGCCCCAGTACCAGGGGTGGGAGCTGCTGTGGCGAAAGTGATGGCGACTGGATACAATTCGCCTGGTGGCTTACCCCAGCCTCGCACGACATCACAGATTCGCCTCTCCGTTTCAGCATTGAAACGAGTTGATTCGTTTTCTGTACAAGGCTGACGTATACAATTTATGAAGACTTGTGGTGCATATTCACCTGCAAGCACCCATGGCAGTAGCAACTGGAATGGGGCTTCTCACAGGGAGAATTACGGTTCTACATGATATCAGGCCATAACGCTTTATTAATATTTTCTATTCGGCTCATCAACTGATCGTTGCGTGCAATGGAAAATAGAGTCAATTGGGTTTCTTGTTCTGGCCTAAGGAAAAACATTTACCAGAGTGTACATTTGCAAAGAGCAGAGAATTCACGTGACAACACATAATTGTACATGTCATGATGCCAACACGGTTGGGTAGGGTTCCACCAACTCCATTGCCACATGTCTCGGCCGCATGTCCGGGCTCGAAATCCTTCCGTCATGCCCGCTCCCGTCCCCTGATCCTTCATTCAAGCCCGCTGCCTGTCCATCCTCCGGTCTATGGCACCTGCTGCATCACAAGGGTCCAGCGCAGTCGAACTTCTTAGGGTTTCGTGTTAGGAAGGTGAGGTGAGGCTAGGATTCTCATGTTGTTGCAAGTTAGTCTGCATCAACCAAAGCTGGCTAATTTGTATGAGGTAGCCTGTCCATTGAAACCTGACCATTACCTTTTCATCCATGTTCTGTTATCGACGTTGAGAGGTCAAATTCTGTTGTTTTGTTTCTCGTGTGTTCTCCTCCGAATGTTCTTGTTGCGAGACATTTTTTGCAAAATCGGTGTATAGTAATGTTAAATTTAGTACCGAAGAATCAGGCAGTGCTTCAACACCTTTACAAAACATGCCTCGGAAAGTGCACTGCATTTTATATAGGGGGAAACGACAGGAAACTGCAAGAGAGAGTCGCGCGCACCCAATTGTGATGCTCTTTGCTCTCTGCACCTGCCATCCACATCTCCTTCACCAAACGTCCTAAATGTCGACTTTTAATTCCTTTAATCACTTATCACGTCTCCCAAATCAGGCTCTGTTGCAGCCGCGTGGTGTCAAGCCTCCTACTTGACTGTGCGGAAAGTTGTTCCCGATTCAATCTGGTTGCCTAAGAACTTTCACTCGAGTCATTCCCATGGAGGGAGAAGGCAACGCCAGCTCTGCAGGACCGGGAGGGGGGCGCCTGCGCCACGACCAGTTGAATCCGCAGGTAACAGCTTCATTTCACAATGCTCTCGTTAGCCGCACACCATTTCCTCCCAATTCCGTTTCAAACTGGCCCATAAGACCTCTTCTACCTCCTTCCCCCATCTCCCGCAATTCCCTTTATTTTCACCTTGTTTTCTCCCACCCACTTCGACTCGACCCACACCAGCTCCTCCAGCAACGCCTGCCATGGCATCTCAAGCCCCATCAGCACCACAAGTGGTATCAGAACCTCACCTCCCACCACCACCAGCAGCACAGCCACCAACCGCCACAGCTGCCGCTCCCACCTCACCAGACAGCATTCCCAGGCCTCCTCCAAAGCCGTATGAATCTGCTGCTGCCGCACCAGGCAGCAGCAGCACGGCCAGCGTTTCTGAGCCTTTTGTCCCGAAGCAGCCGGTTCGGGAGGACATGGTTCGGCAGGCCGTGAGCTTCCTCTCCAACCCTAAGGTTCGGAGCTCCCCGGTTCGGTTCCGCCGAGCCTTCCTGGAGCGCAAGGGCATGTCGGCAGAGGAAATCGACGAGGCGTTCAGACGCTGCCCTGTGAGTTACTTTTGATTATGGGGGGAGGGAAAGGGAGGGGGGCTGAGGGGGAGAGAGGGGTGGACAGTGTAAAGGGCATGTCAGCAGAGGAGATTGACGAGGCCTTCAGACGCTGTCCTGTGAGTCATTTTGATATTGTTTCTTCTTTCAGACAGGGAGGGGGGATGAGGAGGGGCAACAGCTCACTGGGAAGTTTTGAGAAAATGTGCAAAGGAGCTTCGGTTGAGGGGCATCAGCGTTACCTCCCCCCTCCCCCGGTCTCCCACCTCGTCCACCCCTGCGTTACCCCCTCTTGTCCCTACCAGGACCCTTCAACAGGGTCAGAGGACGTGGAGGTGGGCTCTTCTTCCCAGCCCCTGCCTGCTGCTCGCAAATCCCCTGCTGCCACAACCACTGCTGCTGCTACAGAGCCAGCTGCCGCTGCCGTCCCCTCCTCCTCCTCCTCCTCCTCCTGCTGCTGTTGCTCCTGGTCCGCAGCAGCAGGCACAGGCGCAGCAGGCATTTTCATGGTCGAAGCTGGCGGTGGCTCTGGCTGTTGTGGGGGCAGGCACTGCCGGCACTGCTGCCGTTGCAAAGGTGAGTTATCAAAAGCGAATGTTGTCTTTATTTCCCACTCACCCTTTTTTTTTTCCGTCATTACTCGCCAGGCTCTCCCCAGGCTCTCTCTCTCTCTCTCTCTCTCTCTCTCTCTCTCTCTCTCTCTCTCTCTCTCTCTCTCTCTCTCTCTCTCTCTCTCTCTCTCTCTCTCTCTCTCTCTCTCTCTCTCTCTCTCTCTATCATTCCACATTTCATGCTCACTCTCCTCCCCCTTAGCCCTTTTCACTCACCCGCCGTTGGCGTGTCTCATCGTGCTTCCGTCCACCCCCCTGCTTCCTTTTGTCCACCTGCTTGTGCCGCTGTTCCCTTGATCGCCATCTATCATTGCTATCTTCCTGCGGCTCTGCCATGCAGCGGCTCGTTCTCCCACGCCTCAAGACCTGGCTTCAGGAAACTGCAGCACAAGAAGCTTCCAAGAAAGGTGTGCCTAGCTGCAAGCATGTTGCTGCGCTCCTTTGGGCCTGCTTTTGCAAGCACATTGCTCCATTGTTTTCGTGTGTGCTTGTTGTAGCTACCGCCTCCAGATTCACTTTCCCTACTTATTTTCTTCTTTTTTTCCACGTTTCCTTGCATTTATGTGCATGTGGATGTTCCTGTGCGGTGTTTGTCTGCATGTGTGTTCGTCCTTCCATGTGCAAGCAGGCAAGCGGCGGAGCAAGCAGGCTGCAAAGAAGAGCAGCAAGGGGAAGAAAGGAAGCAAACGACGAGCACAGGGTACTGATCCTGACAGGCCGGAGGAGGAACTGGAGGATGGGAAGGAGGAGGTGGAGGAAGAGGAGGAGGGAAGTAATGACAGCAGCAGCAGCTCCAGCAGCAGCAGTGAGTCAGAAAGGGAGTCGGAGACAGGAGATTCAGACAGTGAGGAGGAGAGGGGGAAGAGGAGGAGGGGTAAGGGAAGGCACGGTGGAGGGAGGAAAGGGAAGGGCAGGGGCAGGGAAGGAGGAGGGAGGAGGGGAAGCAGGAGGGAGGGAAGCAGCAAGGATGAGTCGCAGGCGGCGCTGCTGCGGGCATTAGAAGCCATGACTGCAGAGGTGCAGCAACTAAAGGCTGCCAACGTTGCTAATGCTGCTGCTGGTTCTGGTGTCAGTGGTGGTGCTTCAGGTGCCGGAGTTGTGGGAGCAGCAGCGGCTGGCATTGCTGCTGCAGGTTCAGACATGCGTTCTGGTGAGTCCAACTGACATCCATCCACGCACGTGGACTTAGGGGTTTTCCAGAAGAGCTCATAATGTACCTCTTGCCACCCTCCCCCCCCCCCCCCCCCCCCCCCCCTCTCCTTTTGCTCCCTCTCCGCTGGGCCCCCTCTTGCCCCCTCTCTTCCATTTCATCCTACCCCTCCCCCACACCCTCTTCCTCTCAGCCTACGTCTCTCCGGCTGTTCTTTTCACTCTCCAAATCATGAGTCTCTCACACCAATCCGTCTTTCCATCTCCCCTAAACCCACCCGCTTCCCTTCACCCAATATCAGCCCTCGCATCTCGCCAGCCCACCACCCAGCAGCAGCAGCGCAGTGACCCCCCCTACGCCCAGCCCTACTCGGCTCAGTCCTACTCGGCTCAGTCCTATTCCCCCCAGCCCTACTCCGCCCAGCCGTGGCGCCCGTCTAGTGCCCCCGCACCCTCTTCGGCCTCTGCTGCTCTGGGCGCTGGAAGTAGCAGTGCGCTGACTGGTGGACCTAGTGCAGGTTCAGCTGGTGCAGGCTCAGGTGGAGCAGGGGCAGCTAACGGCCCTCCCCATCCCAAGTCCTTTTACGAGGTAAGGGATTCTGTTCCTTGACTTGGCTTTCAATCCCCCCCTCGTTCCTCTTGGATTTTCCAGATTGAACGCTTTGGACCCTTATGAGCGCACCTTATCCCTCAATCCATTATGAATACTGAGGAAGTTTCTAAAGAGATACAGTTTTAATTGGAAAGGACGGATAATTCATCGAGCCATTTGTTGAAGGCGGCATGAGCGAGGAGTTTTTTTCTTACCTTTTTCTGGTTGGGGAGGGGGGGCAACTCCAGCATAGTTGAATACTGTCATTATCAAATCTGCCCATGTGTTGGATGCTGCATGAGCAGGTGATGGAGATGGTGAAGCGAGGAGAAACACCCCCAGGCATCAAGGTAACTGCTTGTGGGGAATACTCACACAATGCACTGTTCGAAACTGTCTGTGCTCAGGTGAAGGCCCTTTCGGTTGAAAGATGAACTCGTTGGGGACACAGAAAAGGTGTCGTGCCATGTTTTCCTTTACCTCTCACTCCCCAATACCCACACTCCCACCCGCATCCCCAACCTCCCTTCCCCAGGACATCAACGACAAGCCTCCCAATCCGGAGCATCGAGGTGTGTTTTGAGGTGGCTCAGAATACACCTCAGCAACTGTCTGCCATTGTGCCCCTTCCCGCATCCCCATCCCCATCGCTATCCCCATTCCCCAGGACATCAATGACAAGCCTCCCAATCCGGAGACTTCTGGGTCTACTCAAAAGTCACCCCACACTCCCACCCGCGTCCCCATCCTCCACATTCCCATTCCCCAGGACATCAACGACAAGCCTCCCAATCCGGAGCAGCCCCCCTCAGACTCCCGCCTGGCTCGCCCCCTCAAGGTATGCCGGCATGCCACCCTCCGCCCCGTCCCTGTGCAACCACGCGCCCTGTGCTGTAAGCTGTTTTTGAAGAATCTGCAAACATCGCATCTCGATGCATTCATACCATTTCCCTGGCCCCGTTTTCTCCCCCCCCCCCCCCCCCCCCCCCCCCCATACACCTTACCCTTTTACTCCTTCCTCTAATCGATGTGTTTCTGTTACCTTAATTCTGTCAATTGTGTCTCCCCAACCCCTCCTCATCCCCGCATCCCCTTCTCCTGTTCCACGCTCTCCCTCCTCACTGTTGTACTTTAATCCTGTGAAGTAGCCCTGGGAGGCTGCAGCAGCACAGCAGGCAGTCGCCAGCAGCACAGCGCCCGCAGCAGCACCAGCAGGAATAGGATCAGCAGCAGCGGCGGCAGGAGGAGTAGGAGCAGGAGTGGGAGGAGGAGGAGGAGGGCAGGCAGGCAGGGCACAGTCTGCAGGCATGGGCTCTGCCAACCGACCATACCCACCCAACCAGCCTTATGCAGTCAACCAGCCTTACCCACCCAACCAGCCTTATGCAGTCAACCAGCCTTACTCAGGCACTCAGGCATATCAGCCCAACCAGCCATACCAGCAGCAGCAGCAGCCGTTCGGCCACCCATCTGCTTACAACCATGGCGTCATGGGTTCAGCTTATGGTTCTACTAACGGGGGTGACTATAACGGAGGGATGGGCTACACTGGTGCTAGTGCTGGTGCACGTAACGGCGGCTCTGTGGATGATGCTCCCTGGTCCCGCCGCCCGCCTGCCACGTCATCATCCGCTGCTGCTGCTGACTCAGCAGCCGCAGCCGCTGCCTCTGGAATGTTCTCCGATTCTCCCAGTGGAGAAGCATCAGGGGGTGCAGCGGCGGAGACAGCAGGGGAAACAACAGGAGGTATCTCAGGTGGAGTCTCAGGTGGCTCATCAGGTGTCCCATCAGCTGCGGGGCCATCAGGTGGAGGGGGATGGAGGCCCCCAGCGCTGCTGAAGCCAGTGCTGCCAGAGGCAGCCACAGCCATCCGCCAGTGGCCCGCTGCTAGAGCACCTAACTACTGGGGCGGCCCTTCCGCCTCCTCCCTTGCTGATCCATCCGGTGCTGAATCCCTTGCAGCTCCGCTGCTGCTGCTGCTGCTGCTGATCCTGCTGCTGCTCCCCCGGGTAACCCTGCTGCTGCTGCTGCTGCTGCTGCTTCCGCTGGAGCTGCTCTGCCTGATGGTTCTGCTGGTGTGGTAGATGCTGCCGCTGGTGGTGGTGGTGCTGCTGCTGGTGGTCTTGCAGGGTTTGGTGCATCCGTACCAACGTTTGCTCCTCCCGAAGCTGCTCCCGCTCCTGCGCCTGTTCCTCTCCCTCTGCCCCCTGCCCCCCTCGGTGTGCCGTCGTCTGCCCCAGCAGCAGCATCATCTGCTGCGGTAGAGGCTGCGGCACCGTCTGTCATGGCTCCTACAGCCGCTGCAGGCACAGCATCAGTGATTGATGTTCCCTCTGGGCCTGCTTTGGTGCTGGGAGGGATGCAGCCCAACAATGGCAACGGTGACGTGGCAGAGGGGGGGAATGCAGCCCCAGAGGTGTAGCACCGACCGTAGCAGCAGTACTGCCTGTAAATGCTCCTCCAGGCACAGCATCAGTGATTGATGTTCCCTCTGGGTTTGCTTTGGGGATGCAGCCCAATAATGGCAACGGTGAGGTGGCAGAGGGGGAAAGTGCGGGAGCAGCAGCACGTGAGGGAGTGACCGCGGCAGCAGAGGTGTAGCACTGGAACTGCTGTAGTAGCATTTAGCAGAGGGATGCGGGATCGAGGTCAAGAGCAGCGTGGGTGGAGCAGGAGAGTTGCAAAAAACAGAATCATTGCCTTATGAAGAAGGTTTTGGTAGTGGAGGATGGTGTTTCTTTCTCTAGGGAACAATCTGCTGTAAATAGAACAAGTGGTGTTGGTATTGGTACGGCATTGGTTTTGCTTTGATACATGGGTGGGCGTTGGGTATATGACATTGGGTTCTGGTTGTGAGCCAGAGAGATCTGTGGAGTACACGGGAAGAGACATTAGGGAACCGAGCAGTTTAGCCATTTTTGTTTTGCAGTGCTTGATTGCTCCATTGCAGCACAGCGGGCCCCTGATTTCCTGGAAAAAACTATTTGATTTCTGCGTTAAGCTTTTGATTGCTATTTTAGTGTACCCCGCATTGTGTCGAAACGATTGGTATTGAGTTACCCCGCACTGCTTTCGCGCTGCGAGCTGTAACATCATCGCCCTGAGCACTTCACAATGCCTCCCATACGGTAGACGTCGCAGGGTCGGCGCATGCGACGAATTCACTCGCACACATCACGCGCTTCGCACGTGCGAGTCACGTCAATGCCAGCATCGTGTCGCCCGCAATGTCATTCGCTCACGCCTTCCCCCGTTATCGCCTTCACAATATTTTCCGTCATTTCCGGATTTCTGTCAACCTCAATGTGCTGCCTTTCCCCGCCGCTTTCGCTCCCTCTCCGACCGCCTCCCCTGCTCCGCCTTCCCCGCTACCCCGCTCTTGCTCCTTTCTCCGCGCAGCTTCCCTTTCCCGCGCGCGTTCCGCCGCCAGCGCCCCGCCGCCCTCCGCGCCACATAGAAGCCCTTCCGCAACCCACCCGTCTCACGCGCAACACGCGCCGCTCCCCTTGCCCTTCCGCGCGGCATGCAGCCCACATTACGCATCCCGGCGGGTAACCACGCGCGCAGCAGCCGCGGGGGTTGCGGGGGACAGGGGAGAGAGGGGCGCGAACGGGGAGCAGCACCGTGGAATAAGCGCGGAAACTGGTCGTGGAGGAGAACCAATTGCAGGTCTTGCTATGCCCGTGGATTTTGAGGAGTGTGAGCGCGAGCAGGCGGAGTGTGTGGTGGTGGGCGCGGGCGTGGTGGGGCTGGCAGTGGCGCGCGGTGGGGGAGCGGAAAGAGGAAGCATCATGCCCGTGGATTTCGACTCATCTGAGCGCGAGCAGGTGGAGTGTGTGGTGGTGGGCGCGGGCGTGGTGGGGCTGGCGGTGGCGCGCGCGCTGGCAGCGGCGGGGCGGGAGGTGGTGGTGGTGGAGGTGGGGGAGGGCGTGGGGGGCGGCATCAGCTCGCGCAACAGCGAAGTGATTCACGCGGGGCTGTACTACCCACATGGATCACTCAAGGTGCGCTTCCCTTACGATGATAATACGATGATACTCTCTCCTTCAAGGTATAGGCCTCGTACTCCACACACACAAAGGGGGGGAGGGGGTGGGGGGCGGCATCAGCTCGCGCAACAGCGAAGTGATTCACGCTGGGCTGTACTACCCTCACGGGTCGCTCAAAGTTCGCCTCTCTTAGTATATTTCTTGCTTTTGAGAACTCCCAAAAGTTTACTCCATATAGCTCTCTTAGAAATAGCGAAGTGATTCACGCCGGGCTGTGCTACCCTCTTAGTATATAGCTCAGGAACTGAGAAATCCACGAGTGAGAGTCCCATGCGACTCGTGTTCGTGATACTCGCTCAAGGTAGTCGCAATACCCCATGTGTGATAAGTCGATGTTTAAAGTCGACTTAAAAATCGACTTATCACACGCGGACTGTTTGTGATACTCGCTCAAGGTAGTCGCAATACCCCATGTGTGATAAGTCGATGTTTAAAGTCGACTTAAAAATCGACTTATCACACGCGGACTGTTTGTGATACTCGCTCAAGGTAGTCGCAATACCCATGTCCACGTGGATCATGCCCCTTCCTCTGCTTCCCATCCTATGCTGACGTGGCAGGCGCGGTTCTGTGTGGAGGGGCGGCGGCAGCTTTACGCTTTCTGTGAGGACAGGGGAGTGCCGCACCGCAGGGTCGGCAAGCTGGTGGTTGCCACGTCAGCAGACCAAGTGCTGCAACTGGAGAAGCTTAAGGCGAGTACAACTGCTCTGCAGTTCTGCCATACCCGCATGCTGCTGCCATGCTGCAACATTCATCCTCTCCTCCCTGTTCTCAACCCCTCAATGCCCACTACCCAGACTTTTCTTCTTAGATACTCCCACCCTGTCTCTGCTGCTCCTTGCTCACCTTCTTGTCTCCGTGCTATCAGACCCACGCGCAGGGCAACGGGGTGGAGGGGCTTCAGATGCTGAGCCAGGAGGAGGCGAGGGAGATGGAGCCACGAGTGCAGTGCCATGCTGCGCTGCTGTCGCCCCACACTGGCATCGTGGACACACATGCGCTCATGCTCGCTCTTCAGGTGATGAGATGACCCTGCAGGCACGTATAGCAGTGGTGAGACAGCCCTGAGGCACCAAGGCCATCCGCACACAGGCATCATGGACTCGATGCTCTCATGCTCGCTCTTCAGGTGATGAGAGAACCACAGAGAGGCACCTGAAACAGCACTGCTGTCTCTCTGCACTCAGTGAAGGGGATGGTAACTGCTCTCACACCGCTTTCATGCACTTGTGGAGCGACTTTTGAGAATTCTCAAAAGTGGCTGCCATCTTGCTCTCACACAGCTTGTGAAGCCTCATATCTCACACCGCTTTCTTGCACTTGTGAGGCGCTTCCTCCAGGTAACGCTGTTGAGAGTGAAGCACTTGTGAAGCGCTATAAATTTGATGCCGTGTTTTGAGAATTCTCTATGTCGACTCAGATTACGGAATCTCTTTACAAGTGATGAATTGACTGTTTCGCCACCCAAGCAGTCCCTGCCATGCATTATCCTCCACACCTGTCTTGCAATCTCATTTCGAACGTCCCATACTTGCTATTTCCCCTCTCACTCTCACCTTCTGCTCTGCCTCTCTCTTTGCCTTCCCTGCGGCACCAACAGAGCAGGCAGAGGCAGAAGCAGCAGGTGCCGTATTCGCTTTCAACTCAGCAGCACTTGGCATTCAGGCCAACCCACCCGACCGCTTCCCACTCCTCACCACCATCCAAACCTCTTCCCCTACCAGCAGTAGCAGCAGCAGCAGCAGCAGCAGCACCACCACCACCACCACCACTACCAGCAGCACCACCACCACAGCTACAACCACGTTGCTCTCCTCGCGCTACTTAGTAAACGCAGCTGGCCTTGAGGCTGTTCCCTTGGCACACCGCACACGTCTCACAGGAGCCCTGCCTGCCCGCGTCACAACACCCCAACTACCTCGTGTCGCAGAGAAAAATAGATTCGACCCAGATCCCACAGACCGCACACGTTTCACAGGAGCCCACGACGCAACATCCCAACTTCCTCCCCTGCACCTGCCTGCCCTCTACCTCGCTCGGGGACACTACTTTGCTTGTTCTGGCCCACCGCCCTTCTCCCGCCTCGTCTATCCGCTGCCAGAGCCGGGGGGGTTGGGAGTGCATGCCACGGTGGACCTGGCCGGTCGAGTGCGGTTCGGCCCCGACGTGCAGTGGTTGGACTCGGTTCCGCTCTCTGCTGCTCACGGCATGCCGATCAGGTATGGCTCTAGTTCAAGGCTCCTGATCCTTATGTAGCAGCCGAAGCAGGTTAAACATTCCTTCCCACTCTTCACCACTCTTCCCCACTCCACCCAACTCCTCCTCACTCACTCAAACTCCTTTCACTCCCACCCCACTCCTCATCAAGGCAGCTATGACTATTCTGTGGACCCACAAAGGGCTGAATCATTCTACTCTGCGATCCGCAAATACTATCCGACACTGGCGGATGGCTCTCTGCATGCCGGCTATGCCGGCATTCGCCCCAAACTCACCGCCCCGGGGGAACCTGCTGCTGACTTCGTGATTCAGGTGAGGTGGGTGGAGAGAGATGGGTGGTAAGGTAAGCAATGGGTGGCAAGGTAAGCAATGGGTGGTGAGAGATGGGTGGTGAGAGATGGGTGGTGAGAGATGGGTGGCAAGGTAAGCAATGCGTGGCAAGGTAAGCAATGGGTGGTGAGAGATGCATGATGTGCCCTGTGTGCTGTGACGGCCTTGTTACACTGCCTGCTACTGACTGCCAGAGTCCTCGTGACTCATCCTGTTCCCTCCCAATAAAATCGTGCCAACAGACCCACACCACCCACGGCATGCCAAGCCTCATGCACCTTCTCACTTGTTACTGCTCAGTATTCCCAGTGCCTTTTCGATTCTCACTGCCCTCATCCCTATCATTTATACCATACCCTCCCACTACAAGTGTGCCAACAGACCCACACCACCCGCGGCCTCATGCACCTTCTCACTTGTTACTGCTCAGTATTCCCAGTGCCTTTTCGATTCTCACTGCCCTCATCTCTATCATTCATCCCGTACCCATTGCGAGTGTGCCAACAGACCCACGCCACGCACGGCATGCCAGGCCTCATCCACCTTCTCGGTATAGAGTCTCCAGGGCTCACCTCGTGTCTTGCCATTGGCGACCATGTGAAGCACCTGCTGTAGTAGCTTGGTGCCTGCTGCTGTTAACATGCTTTCAAGAGCCATGGCCAGCACAGCACGGCATGCCAGGCCTCCACCTTCTCGGCATAGAGTCCCCAGGACTCACCTCGCGTCTTGCCAGTGGCGAATATGTTAAGCACCTGCTGTAGTGTGTGCGTGCGTGCATGTAGCGCACTGCAACGGTGCTGCAGAGTATGGTCCCCAGAGAGCTCACCTCACCTCACCTCACATCGTCTGGCCATGACTCGTGACAGCCATGCACAACATTATATAATGATTTTGAATTGAACTGAAGAACACTATATACTGTACAGTTTGGATACACTTCTTAGATGGCCAAATAGCATCAATTTCTCGTTGACACGTCAACTGTTTTTCATCTCAAGACAAGACACCATCACGATGTTACTCAGCCAAGTGTCAGTCTAACATTGATCATTTCATTTCACAGGGCACATTTCGCCAGACAGTAAATGTGCAACAGTAAATGTGCAATGGCGATGGTACATACACACGTATTGGGGACGATACAATTGATGGCATGGCAGGAAAATGCATCAGGGTATATATACAACTAACACGTATGGTTCCCACCCACCCAATCAACGAACGCATGGTACACACACACACACACATACAACCTACAAGATTCATGGTAGACAACGAACAAGCGAGTGAAACACACGAACGCATGGTATGGTACACACACAAACAAGCGCATGGTACACACACAACACAACGGGCAATGCATGGTACTTACACAACGGGCAATGCATGGTACTTACACAACGGGCAATGCATGGTACACACACAACGGGCAATGCATGGTACACACACAACGGGCAATGCATGGTACACACACAACGGGCAATGCATGGTACACACACAACGGGCAATGCATGGTACACACACAACGAACAGGTGCATGGCACATGAATGTAAACGAATGACAACCACATGCTCTGTACATACTCCATCCACTCATTAACGAGGATGGTGATGCTGGGGAACCGTGACGATGACACTCAACATACGGGTGCAGCAGGGATAAAATAGATTGGAGGTGATAGATGGAAAGGAGACGAAATCCGGGGATGGGGGGTAGAGCGCGGGAAGGAGGGAAGGCAAGGCAAGAGGGTTAAGAGGTAGGGGAGGTCGAGGAGGAAGGGGGGATGGAAGAGAGAGGAAAGGGAGGAGGGAATGGATTAAGCGAGGTAAGGGAGGAGGGCAAGGGAGGAGATGGAGGAGGGAGGGGGGGTAGGGGGGAAGGGAGGAACGGTGGGGAAGGGAGGATTGAAGGGAAGGAGGTCACGAGACTAGTGGGCTCCCAACGACAATCCCAAGGTGCAAGGTGAGGCATCACAGGGAGAAGAGAAAAGCGGGAAAAGGGTAAGACAAAGGGAAGGAAGTGGTGGGGGTTTGAGGAAGTGTGGATAGAACAGAGGTGGGAAAAGTTCCCCGAGTCCCATCCACACTCCCTCACTCCCCCACCATCTCATTCCCTTTCTCTTCCCTCCCCACTCTCCCCTCAACCCTTGGATGCGCCCATCCCTGTACCCGTTATTGCCTTGGTGGTGTGCACTAAAGCGAGTTGCTTTAGTAACTCAAACAGCCGCGCATGGTTACCACCCTACGAAGTAGGGTTACCAGCTTGGCAGCCAATGAGAGAACACGGATTGCGCCCAAAGTTCGTGCATTACCAGAAAGGGGCCAAAATTGGCCGGACAAGGACAACAATAGCCACATCAGCAATGCAACTACGAGGCGATTAAGACGCGATCGATGCGCTTAGTAGATGCGGAGGGGCTTGCCCATGGTGCTCTTGATGTAGAGCGACTTGACCTGTGAGGGGAGCGCAATGGAAACCCGGCGGGAAGGAAGGAAAAAGGGAGGGGGAGGGCGGGGAGAGACGGAGAGGGGAAGAAATAGTGAGGCGGTGCAGAGACGAGACAAATCAGTGGAGATTAACAGCGCCTGATGCCGGAAAACAGAAAAAAGGTGCGAAAATAATAATAATAGTAGAAATAATAATAATAAAAAGAAAAGCACGCACGTTCTGCCAGTTCTTCTTGAGCAGCGAGACGAGGAAGTTGACGGAGAGCTGCACGTTCTGGAAGATCTGCTTCTCCTCCATGTCGCAATTGCCCACCGCCACGCCCATGCACAGCACCTTCTTCAGCTGAAACTTGATCGTCGACTTCGCCTCCAGCAACTGTGAGGGGAGAAGAGAAGGGAAGAAAGAGGACACACGTGCGAATTTAGCAGCAAGAGAGATTCGTCAAGATCCAGCAGTAGGTGAGGATCTGCTTGATGATGGCCTCGGACACCAGGAACGCGTGGTACCTCTTAACAAATCCCAAACCCTAGAGTTATACCGCGTACAAAACTCTCACCTTGCTCTCGAGGGGCTCGTGGTGGGTGACGAGCGTGGGGAACTTGCCGGCCTTGTTCAGACCGGGACCGAGCAGCCTGGGGATCTGCTTGATGATGGCCTCGGACGCCAGGAACGCGTGGTACTTCTTAACGAATCCCAAACCCTAGCCTTATATCGCGTACCTTGCTCTCGAGGGGCTCGTGGTGGGTGACGAGCGTGGGGAACTTGCCGGCCTTGTTCAGTCCGGGACCGAGCAGCCTGGGGATCTGCTTGATGATGGCCTCGGACGCCAGGAACGCGTGGTACTTCTTGGCGAGCTTCTTCACGAGCTTCTTGTTCTTGTTCATCTTCTTCAGCGCCTCCACGCCCATGCAGTCCAGATTGATCTTCTCCGCCTGTTAATAGGATTGGCGAAGGGAAAAAATAGGGGTGTTATTTCGCCAGCTTCTTCGCCAACACTCTTGGCGAGCTTCTTCACGAGCTTCTTGTTCTTGTTCATCTTCTTCAGCGCCTCCACGCCCATGCAGTCCAGATTGATCTTCTCCGCCTGGCGAGGGGAGATTGGCGAAGAGAAAAATATGCATGTTACTTCGCCAGATTCTTCGCCAGCTCCTTCGCCAACACTCTAGGCGAGCTTCTTCACGAGCTTCTTGTTCTTGTTCATCTTCTTCAGCGCCTCCACGCCCATGCAGTCAAGATTGATCTTCTCCGCCTGTCGAAGGAGGAAATAAGGGAACGAGGGAGTTAGAAGTTGAAAGAACAAATGCTCTTGCCGCAGCAGCTAAGGACCTCACGAACGCGCTATGCTTGCCCAGACGCACAGATGCACTGATGGCAGCTGCGTACCACCCACTTCTGCAATGCCACACGTGATTTGTGAAAACCGGATTCCCACAGCATCACGCGGCACTTGCAGCGACCCTAGCCACGTCTCAACGTTATATTTCAAACGATAAGCCACACCTATCTCCTCAAATTGGGGGGCATCTCCAAGCTTCCAAACGCGGTGCTGGAATCGACCGGTATGTAATCGAGGTACACCTAAGCTTCTGAACGACCAGCCACACGCACCTCCTCGACGTGCTGGGCATCTCCGAGCATGCACACGCGGTACTTGGGGCGCGGCACGTGCGGCAGCTTGACGGAGCCGCTGAAACGCTTGTCCTTCTGCGGGTCGTAGTTCTTGAGCCCGATCTGCAGCTCGATCGTCTCCGAGAACTTGCGGTTCTTCTCGCGCGACGCCGCCAGCAGGTTTGAGATCGCCTCGCGCAGCACGTCGCTCTGCAGCTTACTGCGGCGCGCAGGGGGAGGGTGGGGAGTGTCGAGGGTGATACAAAGAGCACAGTGCAACCATGAGTGAAACCCTAGAAATCTCCGTGAATTTTCAGCAGGTTTGAATTCGTCTCGCGCAGCACGAAGCGCTGCAGATTACTGCACCGCGGGGGAGGCAATTAGGGAAATGACGTGACGAGGGAAGCATGACGTAGAGAGCAAGGGGCATGAGGATGACGAGAGCAGTCGGGAATGTCCGAAACAATCGCCGAGGAGAAAACGCCAGTTGCAGATTTTTCTGTGGGAAGAAAAAAATGGACGTGTTTCCACCGCCACAGGAAATGGCCCGGAAGCAGATATACTAAGCGGATTGGAAGAGAATACTAAAGATGAAGTTATGGCGAACTGGGTGAGGCAAACCACCCGAGACAGTAACTATCACCATCCTGATCTCAAGCAAGTAAACTTCTATTTCCAGTGTAACTCTTCGTGGAGCTTACTGACCTCATGGTGGCCCGCTGAGCGATACAACGGAAAAGAGGGGGAGAAAGGTGGTACTAGGAAGCTAGCTTCTGGAGGGGAGAAAGGAAATTGGGGATTGGGGTAGTGAAGACTGAAATAGAAGGGGGTGCGGAAACAGGGGTGTGACTGACGGGAACAGTTGGAGAGGAGAACCGACGGTTTTTGGGGGGGGGGGGGTAAGGAAGAGAGGAAGAAGAAGCATGTGTGATGGGGTTCGAATAATAACAAGACTTTCCTCTTGTATTTGCTTCGAAACGAGTGCTGCTATTAGCATGGATGCACAATCAGGGCTTCGTTGTTCAACACTGAAACTTGCTTCAAACTTGTGCAAAGTGAAATGGAGCTTAATCATTATTATATGACACTGGTTTTCTTGAAATACTTATAGAGGCTGACTACGGACAATGTTTTTCTCCGCGGCGGAGCTGGAGGTTCGGCAACGTAACGTGGTTCCGCATGACAGCACTTTTCCAGAAGATCTCAGGTTGTTGAGGGTTCGATCCCGGGCAAACCGACAGCCCTGGGCCGGACATCGCGCATTTTCCCCTGAGGAGGACCCCGTACCTGTCGGCGCGTAACAACCCATAGCCCGCGAGTGGGTGCGCGCAACCAGCCAGGGCCAGAGCCCAGTGTCGAGCCGCACGTGACCGACCACCAGATCTGTGCCGTCGATGCGTTTCTTTCTCCATCTATCGCAGAAACGGACGGTTATCAAGGGAATCACCTGGCCGAACCCACCTGTCCCCACAGCCCCACCACTTTCAGCGAATCGCCAGCTTTCCCATCCCACGTCGGTGCTGCTGAAGCGGCTGAGCGGCATCTCCCCCCGCCCAACGTGACTTGCCTTGCCATACTGTCCGCCCCACTGCACACGACGTGATGGGTTCGGTGACTTTTCCCTCTCCTACAAAGAGACAACCTTCTTAAAATTATTCGAACCGAGTAAAACCGAAGAAAGCTTGCTCTTCCTCCATGTGAGCTCCACACCTCTCAAAATATAGCCTCGTCTACATCACTTCGATACTCAAATCCTCCGGGCTAACATTCTTTCATCTCCTGTTGATTGCTGTCGCTACGACTCAACGCGCCTTCCTTGCCTCCCTCACCACGTTTCAAGATGGCGATCCGACTTCTACTGCTAACCATTGCGCTAGTCTCGCTAGCGTCAACGGCGGCGGCGTACGACGCGGCGGCAGGCTTAAAAGCGATTGAAGCCGCGCTGAAGACTAAAAACTACCAATCCGCCATCACGCTCATGAAGACAAGCAGTAAGTGACACGTCAAGTCGCATGCAAGACCTGCAATCGCTGTGTATCCTGTAAGACGTTTTGAAAAGAAGAAACGCAGTGAGCGTCACGACAGGTCGAGAGCAACACCAGCACGGGTCGACAGGTCGACAGGCCGGTGCTTCACTCGACTCGACAACAGGTTGTTTCCAGTGGAGCTGCTCTGAAGCTGCCGGCTCCTAAAAGATGTGTTTTGGGTCCACTCACTACTCGCTCGAAAGCCCTGATCCGGAAACGTAATGTGTCAAGTTTGACAGAAAGCACGCAGCAACTTTCCGTTTTCATTTTAGGTAGATCCGTGAACAGCTCCTTCGGCTTCGAAAAAATTACAGTCTACCGTTACTGCCTTCGGCTCGCTAGCAGTAGACAACGACGCATCGTCTCTGCTAGTGGCGAGCAGTGGTAGTCCCATCCTTCTGCGTCGCGTTCTGCCGTGCTTTTCAAGCGAACGTGGTATCATATGGGTCTTATCCATGCTCTCTCATAACCGTTTCGTTACCGCCTTTCGCCTTTTAGCTGTTTACCCAACTGGTCACTTTTGGAAGACACTCATGAACGCAAGCCAGATGTGAAAGCTGCCCACAAAAAAAAAACCTTTACATCTCTCGCCGTTTCCCTCTGCATCTGGCAGCACTCATTTCTTCGCAATGACAACGTTGCCCTTGTAACACGTGACGCTGCATTCCCCTCCTATTTTACATTCTCATTAGACGAGCTTCTCTCACCATTTCTCACCTACCCCGTTCTTCTCCCCTCCCCTCTTTTCTCTCTCCCATCCTCTCCTCCGCTCCTCTCTCCCTCCCCTCCACTCTCTTCTCCCTTCCCCTCGTTGTCTTCCTCCCTCTCCTCTCTCCTCTTCCCCCCTCCCTCCCCATCCCCCTCCCGTTTCCCATCGCCTGCAGAATTCAACGACACGCTCCTCACGATCCTGCCCAAGTACAAGGTGACGCTGCTGGTGGGGCAGACCAAGGCGTTCGGCAAGCTCAGTAACTGGGCAGCGATAAAAAAGAACGCTCACACGGGGTTCCAGATCGCCGCGTTCAACATGCTCGGCGACCTCCACACGAAGAAAGCCATGCAGGGTTACCCTGTCGGCAAAACGGTAGGCTCCGTGATCAATTTGCTGTTTTTCTTCGTCCCTTTTTTTTGTGAAAGTTTTTTACTTCAGTTGATTATTGTAGAATTGTAACTGATGTGTAGAATTGTATGTTCCCTGTGGTGTTACAGTTCGGTACGGGAGACTACAACTACCTCCAAACGAAGCTGAAGTCCGCTGGCAAAAAGATCATGATCGGAACTTCCACCAGCAACGGGTCGATCGTTGATTGGACACTCTACATGGATGCGCAAGTGATCATCCACGGTGTAGACACCGTCATCATGCCACCCAAGTTCAAGTAAAAGTGTTTTGGGGCTAACCTCCTAGTGTATTATTTTTGCATCTTAAGTAGGGTAAGGTTAATAAATTGCTTCAAACGGATACATAGGTTATCTTCACATACCGCATAAGTGCCATGCTTGCATGAATCTGGTATTTATCATACGCTGTGGATGTTTCTAGCATGAGTGGTTGCGGATTTTTCTGGCATGCGTGCTGCTGTGTCAGAAATTGTATTTCTATGTATAACTGCATATTAGCTTAGTTAGTGTAGTATCTATTTCATTGTTGGTGGTATACCCCCCTTGGCCACCTTCCCTTGCCCTATTTCTTGTAACTCTCTCCATAGTCAAACTGTCAGAATGAGGAATGGATGATGCATTGATGTTGGTTGGGGTACATATAGCTAACCCTAAGTTTTGTACCCCCTAAGACAAACCTCACTATAGGCTACAACATTTGACACACCCCCATAGCCTAAGTGAGGGGTGTCTAGCAGAACCAAACGAGTACGGTCACAAGACCAGTCCAAGAAACGAAGCTCAGGGTGGATCACAACGTCACCACACAGTCTGAGCACAAACAACAGTGGCCACAAGGCCAGTCCAAGAAGTAACAGAGGTATATAGAAAGCAAAGTAAACAGTACACTCAAGCCTAAGCAACACGAGAACCAGTGTCAACAAGGCCTAACTGCACACAGCACCTCTGGTGGTCACAAGGCGGAAGCGCCTTGGTGAAGATGTCTGCAGTGTTGGCCTCGGACTCCACAAACTCAAAGCGAGCCTGTCCACGCCTCTGCAACTCTCGCAGAAGAAAGTACCTGACGTGAATGTGCTTCACTCTGCTCTCCAGTCGTGGCTCTCGACAAAGGAGAATAGACGCCTTGTTGTCAGTGAACAAGGTCGGTGCAGAGCTCGGCCGCTCACCAAGGTCGGTGAGCAAGAAGGTCAACCAACGCAGCTCCTGTGCCGCCATGGCACCAGCGTAGATCTCAGCCTCAGCTGTAGAGGTCGAGACCGAAGAGGAGCGCGTGGACCGCCAGGAAACAGCTCCAGAACCCAGGCTGAAACAGTACCCCTGAGTAGACCTGTGAGTCTCAGCGTCGTCAGCGTAAGAGGAGTCACAGTGACCAGTAAGTACGACAGACTGCTGCCCTCCAAGAACTAGCCCCACGCCTGACGTCGTCGCTAGGTACTTCGCCACCCTCACAGCTGCTGTCCAGTGAACAGGACGGTGTCTCCCTGGCGCAACAAAGCGCGCAAGAACGCTGAGAGGGAAGGCGAGGTCCGGGCGAGTACAAGTCATCAGGTACATGAGGCAACCCACAAGCTCTGCGTAGGGACCACTAGGCTCGAACGGCTCGTCAGGAAAGGGTCCAGTGAGTCTGTGGTCAACAGCAAGAGGTGTGCGCTGTACTGTGGAGTGCTGAAGCCCGAACCGCTGAAGGACCTGCTGCACCATGTGCGACTGTGAAAGTGTAATGGTGCGAGCAGCTCTGTCCCTGGTGATCTGCAGGCCAAGGTAGTGGCGCAGCTCACCAAGATCAGTGCAGGTGTGTCTCTTCTGCAGTTCGGACTTCACGTGTGCCAAAGCAACCCTGTCAGGGGTGGCGAAAACAAGGTCGTCAACGTAGACCAGAACAAAGAAAGGTGTGGGGCCACGACGAACGAACAGCGACGGGTCAGCAGAAGACGGCTGGAACCCAAGGTCAGACAGGGTAGAACGCAGGGTGTCGTGCCACTCACGAGGAGCCTGACGAAGACCGTAAACCGGTCGCCTCAGCCTCCACTGGGTCCCAGGAGGGAAAGAGCCAGTGAAGGCAGAGGGACGACGCAACCAGACCTCCTCGTGAAGACTGCCCTGAAGGAAAGCAGTAGAGAAGTCAAGAGAGTGTAACTCGTAGTCTCTCTGTGCTGCTACGTGTAGTAACACCCGAAGAGTGGTCATCTTCGGGGTGGGCGCGAAGGTCTGAAAGAAGTCAACTCCCTCGCGCTGACTGAAACCTCTAGCCACGTAGCGTGCCTTGAAGACCGGAGGAGATCCCGGTGGCCGCTTCACCCTGTAGATCCACATGCCGTCGACTACGTTCGCCCCCGGAGGGGGAACCTCATCGACGTAGGTGCCTGTGGATCTGTAGGAGGCCATCTCTGCGTCCATGGCAGCTCTCCACTGAGAGGCCCAAGGCCCTGACACTGCCTCAGCGTAAGTGCGAGGAGTCGGAATGTCAAGGGCGTCGGGGTCACCCTCAGGGGCGAGGAGCATGGCACAGAGATGAGGGGAAGCGGCGGCCAGGAACTCTAGCTCAAACTGCCTGTCCTCTA